CCAGAAGTACCACCACAAGCAGTAGGGTCTTCACAAGTCTTCTCACACGTGACCGCTCCTCCAGCCCCTACCTTCTTTTGGTAGTTCACCTTACAAGAGTCACAAGTAAACGAGTTAGAGAAGGTGCACGTTGCACAGCCGGGCACTCCATCTGTCGGATCGTCGCAGGGGACGCACTTCTTGGCCCCGTCATTCTTTAAGAAAAACCCTGGCTTGCACTTTTCACAGGTATCTATAGCGCCTCCTGGCCCGCACTTTCCGCAATCGCCAGCGCACGCAACGCATACGGCGGGGTTACCGTTCCCGCTGTCGTAGTAGCCATCGAGGCACGTCTTGCATTCTGGCTTAGCGCCGTTCTTGCTGCAGGTCCCGCAACCGGGGCTTCCCTTGTTATTATCTGTCTTGCTGCTATCGTTGCTACATAGTATGCATTCGGCATCTCCGTCGCTCAAGAAGTTCTCACCAGTTGCTCCGCTTTGAGTGCAGGTGCCGGCGTCTATACACGTAGTCGTCCCGTCGGCCTCTTCCTTGACTATCTTAGCTCCATTACATGCCGTGCACTTTGGGCCCCCAGTTGCCGGGTTGTACTCACACGTGGTGCAATCAGTTATTGCAGACGCCTTGCAGGTCATTGTCACAGGGTCAGCATAAGTGTTTCCAGTGCATCCATCACTATTCACGCATGCATTATCCTTCAGGAACGTATTTCCCTTACAAGAGGTACACTGGGTCTCTGTAGTCTCACAGGTCAGACAGGACTGATCACACTTCTCACATGTCTGAGCGTTCTTATAGTATCCATCTTGACAGGCAGTGCATGTAGCTGCTCCTGCACTCTGTGGTGCCTGACACTGTGCGCAGTTCTCTACTCCCTTCGTCGCGCCATCTCCCACCGTGTCCCAGCAGAGGATGCACTCACTACCAGGCTTCTGAGGTGTAACTGGGTTCTTGAACAGGCCGTTCTTTGTATTACAAGCAGTGCATACTCCGTTACTGGCTGCTGTGCATATCTCACTGCCAGGTCTTGTCCTGTTGTAGCACCCGCCCATGAAGAGGAGTCCCACACCACCACTATCACCCCACACACCACATAGCACTATCACTATCACTATCACTGTACAGCATTCACTACCTAAGTCACGCCTTCCCTCTACATATGAACCACCAGCAGAGGAAGCCCACGAGGCCCCCCACAACGACGACCACGGCGACGGCGATCCCCGCGATGGCCCCTGTGCTGAGGCCGCTCCTGTTGGTGCCAGAGGACGCACAGGAGGTCCCACTGCTGTCAGGGCTGTATCCATCGTTGCACACACAGACAGAGTCGGTGTCAGTGGAGTTGCTGGGGCAGCTATCCACGCATGACTTCCTTCCAGGGCTCACCTTCTTACCACTACTGCATGCCTCGCACATGTCATCCCTGTTGCAGTGCGAGCATCCACTAACGGTACATGGGAAGCACCCACTGCCATCCCTGTTGGGCTTCTTACTATTGTCACAGGAGGTACAGACAGCGGCAGCCATACCAACTGTTGTCAGAGCTACTGGTGCTTTACACTGTGAACAGTTGAGTACCCCCACGTATGCCTTAGAGGTACTATCAGTGCCTACTAGTGTGCCAAGGGGGTTGCCACAGGCCAACACGGACCGATCAGTGGTCTGTGCCTCTGGTACTACGAAGTACTTATTACCATCATTGGCAACTGTGCACTTGCCCCCTTCAGCGGTCTTGCACATGAGGCTTCCTGGTTCTGTATCATACTTATAGCAGCCTCCCATGTACAAGAAGTATCCTGTAGTACATGATGTACATGTATGACTGTTACAGTTATTCCCCTCTTTCTTTTCATTCCCAACACATAGTCCATTAATGGGGAACTCACTGTCCTTTCCACAGTATGAACAGTAGTGAAGCTCCTTCCCTGTGTTGTCGATTACGATGGCATCACAGGCGCCAGAAGTACCACCACAAGCCGTGGGGTCCTCGCAGGTCTTCACACATGTATAGTCATCCCCCGCATCACCATTGGACTGCTTCTTATAGTTGGGCTTACATTCAGTGCACTTGAATCCACCGTTGCTAGAGCAGACACTGCAGCCTTCGCGGCCACCATCTGTTGTACTGTCACAGGGGACACACTTCTTCCCCTGTGGATCTGTAGTAGTTACCAAGAAGTATCCAGTCTTGCAGGTTTCACACTTATTTGGATCACCAGCAACAGAACATGTGGCACAGTTATCACCACAAGCATCACAAGCTGTAGCACTAGTCTTAAAGAAGCCCGGAAGGCACTTAGTGCATTGTTGTGCTGCAGTACAGGTTGCACAATTAGCCACTCCTTTATTTGGGTCTGTTCCTGTTGTATCACTACATAGATAACAAGCTGAGTCATCATCTGCCTTGAAGTGATTCTCGTCTACGCAATCGGATGTAACAGTAACACATGTCGTGGTGCCGTCGATGGCCGTCTTCACCTTCTTATTGTTATTACAGGCGGTGCACTGGGGCTTACTGACGGTCGCATTGTACTCACACGTGGTGCAATCAGTTATTGCAGAATCCTTGCAGGTCATTGTCACAGGGTCAGCATAAGTGTTTCCAGTGCATCCATTATTATTCACGCATGACTTGTCAGTCTTCAGGTACTTCCCCTCTGGGCACGATGTACACTGATTCGGACCACTTCCATCGCAGGTCAGACAAGCGTCATTACATTTGACACATGCCTGAGAGTCCATGTAGTATCCATCTCTGCAGGTACTACACGTGGCTGCTCCTGGACTACTGTCTGACTTGGTACACTGTGCGCAGTTAGCCACCCCCGTATATCCATCTGCTCCCTTGATATCAGAGCACAGTATGCACTCCCCACCAGGCTTCTGAGGTGTAACTGGGTTCTTGAACAGGCCGTTATCTGCCTTACAAGCAGTGCACACTCCTCCCTCAGCCTTTGTGCATATCACACTCCACTATCACCCTCTATCACCCATTATCACCCACTATCACCTTCTATCACACATTGTACAGCATTCACTACCTAAGTCACGCCTTCCCTCTACATATGAACCACCAGCAGAGGAAGCCCACGAGGCCCCCCACGACAACGACCACAGCCACGGAGATGCCCGCGATGGCCCCTGTGCTGAGGCCGCTCCTGTTGGCGCCAGAGGACACACAGGAGGTCCCACTGCTGTCAGGGCTATATCCATCGTTGCACACACAGACAGAGTTATCATCAGTGGAGTTGCTGGGGCAGCTATCCACGCATGACTTCCTTCCAGGGCTCACCTTCTTACCACTACTGCATGCCTCGCACATGTCATCCCTGTTGCAGTGCGAGCATCCACTAACGGTACATGGGAAGCACCCGCTCCCAGCCAGGTTGGGCTTGTTGTTGTTGGTACACGCTGTGCACGTGGCGGCAGTCATGCCACCATCAGATGGAGCTGCTGGGGCTGTACACTGTGAACAGTTGAGTACCCCCACGTATGCCTTAGAGGTACTATCAGTGCCTACTAGTGTGCCAAGGGGGTTGCCACAGGCCAACACGGACCGATCAGTGGTCTGTGCCTCTGGTACTACGAAGTACTTATTACCATCATTGGCAACTGTGCACTTGCCCCCTTCAGCGGTCTTGCACATGAGGCTTCCTGGTTCTGTATCATACTTATAGCAGCCTCCCATGTACAAGAAGTATCCTGTAGTACATGATGTACATGTATGACTGTTACAGTTATTCCCCTCTTTCTTTTCATTCCCAACACATAGTCCATTAATGGGGAACTCACTGTCCTTTCCACAGTATGAACAGTAGTGAAGCTCCTTCCCTGTGTTGTCGATCACTATTGCATCGCAGGCGCCAGAAGTACCACCACAAGCAGTAGGGTCTTCACAAGTCTTCTCACACGTGACCGCTCCTCCAGCCCCTACCTTCTTTTGGTAGTTCACCTTACAAGAGTCACAAGTAAACGAGTTAGAGAAGGTGCACGTTGCACAGCCGGGCACTCCATCTGTCGGATCGTCGCAGGGGACGCACTTCTTGGCCCCGTCATTCTTTAAGAAAAACCCTGGCTTGCACTTTTCACAGGTATCTATAGCGCCTCCTGGCCCGCACTTTCCGCAATCGCCAGCGCACGCAACGCATACGGCGGGGTTACCGTTCCCGCTGTCGTAGTAGCCATCGAGGCACGTCTTGCATTCTGGCTTAGCGCCGTTCTTGCTGCAGGTCCCGCAACCGGGGCTTCCCTTGTTATTATCTGTCTTGCTGCTATCGTTGCTACATAGTATGCATTCGGCATCTCCGTCGCTCAAGAAGTTCTCACCAGTTGCTCCGCTTTGAGTGCAGGTGCCGGCGTCTATACACGTAGTCGTCCCGTCGGCCTCTTCCTTGACTATCTTAGCTCCATTACATGCCGTGCACTTTGGGCCCCCAGTTGCCGGGTTGTACTCACACGTGGTGCAATCAGTTATTGCAGACGCCTTGCAGGTCATTGTCACAGGGTCAGCATAAGTGTTTCCAGTGCATCCATCACTATTCACGCATGCATTATCCTTCAGGAACGTATTTCCCTTACAAGAGGTACACTGGGTCTCTGTAGTCTCACAGGTCAGACAGGACTGATCACACTTCTCACATGTCTGAGCGTTCTTATAGTATCCATCTTGACAGGCAGTGCATGTAGCTGCTCCTGCACTCTGTGGTGCCTGACACTGTGCGCAGTTCTCTACTCCCTTCGTCGCGCCATCTCCCACCGTGTCCCAGCAGAGGATGCACTCACTACCAGGCTTCTGAGGTGTAACTGGGTTCTTGAACAGGCCGTTCTTTGTATTACAAGCAGTGCATACTCCGTTACTGGCTGCTGTGCATATCTCACTGCCAGGGTGTGCATCCTTGTTGTAGCACCCGCCCATGAAGAGGAGTCCCACACCACCACTATCACCCCACACACCACATAGCACTATCACTATCACTATCACTGTACAGCATTCACTACCTAAGTCACGCCTTCCCTCTACATATGAACCACCAGCAGAGGAAGCCCACGAGGCCCCCCACAACGACGACCACGGCGACGGCGATCCCCGCGATGGCCCCTGTGCTGAGGCCGCTCCTGTTGGCGCCAGAGGACACACAGGAGGTCCCACTGCTGTCAGGGCTATATCCATCGTTGCACACACAGACAGAGTTATCATCAGTGGAGTTGCTGGGGCAGCTATCCACGCATGACTTCCTTCCAGGGCTCACCTTCTTACCACTACTGCATGCCTCGCACATGTCATCCCTGTTGCAGTGCGAGCATCCACTAACGGTACATGGGAAGCACCCGCTCCCAGCCAGGTTGGGCTTGTTGTTGTTGGTACACGCTGTGCACGTGGCGGCAGTCATGCCACCCTCAGATGGAGCTGTTGGGGCTGTACACTGGGAGCAGCCATCCACCCCCACATATGCCTTAGCGGTACTATCAGTGCCTACTAGTGTGCCCAGGGGGTTACCACAAGCCAACACAGACTGTTGAGTAGGCTTTGCTTCTGGGACTACGAAGTACTTATTATTGGCATTGGGTGTATCACAGACACCAGCTGTTGTTGCTTCAGTGCACATGAGGTTACCGGGTGGACTTGCTACCTTATAACAGCCTCCCATGTATAAGAAGTATCCTTGAGCACACTGTGTACATACACCTTTAGCACAAGTATTACCATTTATACTACCACTATCAACACACTTCCCATCAATTGGTATCTTATTGGTCTCTCCACAGTAGGAACAGTAGTGCTTTGTGGTGCCCTGATCATCAATTATCATGGCATCGCAGGCACCAGAAGTGCCCCCGCAGGCAGTGGGGTCTTCACAAGTCTTGGTGCATGTAAAAGGACCGGTACCACTCTGCTTGTAGTTGGGCTTACAGGAGTTGCAGGTCAACGAGCTAGAGAAGGTGCACGTTGCACAGCCAGGCACTCCATCTGTTTGGTCATCACAGGGGACGCATGTGCCAGGACCACTACCTTTCATGAAGAACCCGGGCTTACAGGTCATGCATTGGTCTTTTGTATCCTTAGCACAGGTGGCACAATTATCACCACAAGCTTCACATGTAGCCGTACCACTACCACCAGTTGCGCTATTGTAATATCCGTCGAGGCACTCCGAGCAGGTTGGCGGTGTCGCCGAGTCCTTGGTACACTTCTTACACCCGGCAATGCCCTGGTCATTTGGATCGGCTCCAGCTGAAACGGTACTGCATAAAACACATGTTTTGTCCTCCTTCATAAATAGGGCCCCGTCAGCGCCTTTACATCCAGCGTAGTCTTTTGTCACACAGGTCGAGGTCCCATCAAGGGTCGTCCTGGGGGTCTTATTGGTCCCGCAGTTGGTGCACCTTGGCTTCCCCGTGGCATCATTATATTCACATGCGGTGCACCCAGCTATGTCGGGATCACATGCCTTGCAGGTCCAGGTCTTCTTGTCTGCGTACTTATCAGCACCACATTCAGTAGCCTCTACACAAGTGTTACCATCCTTCAGGAACTTCCCCTCAACGCAGGCGGTACACTGAGTCGGAGTATCAGCTGAGCAAGCAGAGCAGCCGTCTCCGCACTTCACACATGCACTGTCCTTCGTAACGAACCCTGCTTGACACTCTGTACACGTGGCCGGTCCGCTAGTGCCCGTGTGGGAGCATTCTGAGCATCCAGCGACTCCCATGACCCCGTTTCTATCTATAGTATCGGAGCACAAGATGCACTCGCTACCAGGCTTCTGAGGTGTAACTGGGTTCTTGAACAGGCCGTTATCTGCCTTACAAGTAGTGCATACTCCATTACTGGCTGCTGTGCATATCTCGCTGCCGGGCCCGTCGGTTGTCTTGTAGCACCCGCCCATGAAGAGGAAGTACCCGTCGCCGCACTTCTCGCAGGTGGTTGCCGTCTTGTCGAGGGCAGCCCCGTCTGCTTTGGTGCACCCGGCTGCCGCGGCCTGGGGGGAGCCGAAGGGCCGGCAGAAACCGTCGACCGGGACGCCTCCGGCCTTGCACTGGGTGCAGATCTCTGTGCTACCGACCGTCTCGCACTTTTCGTGTGCGCAGGTGGTCAGGTGGTTCCCGTCTTGCTGGCAGGCCGCCATGAGCGCGCTCGCTACGAACAGGGGTATCAGTTGGAACATTAGAGGGTCCTCTGCGGTGGCCCCTGCCCCGTCTGTGGCCACCCAGCACGGCACACGGGGGGAGCGCTGTTCCACCCCTGCCTTGGAGGCCCCTGTCTCGACTCGGCCCACAGCACCAGAGCGCGGTGGTCTTCCACTCTTGGGCGCCGCACAGCCCGTCTCCGTGCCCAAGCGGCTCACCCCAGGCACTCACACGACGGAGACCCCCGCGGCAGTGCTACCGGCAGGCGGGCTGTGCTGATGTCCGGCCCGGCGCAGAGCCCAGAAGGCTCAGAAGTCATGGCTCCTTGGTGACTGCCATGTCATTCTCCTCGCTCGGTTGACATGCGCGCTGCTAAGAGGGCCCTCATTCACTCGAGCTCGTGCCCCCCTGTGGTGACTCTGCTCGACCATCAGCGAGGGCCCTGGTCCTCCTCCCAATAGGCCGGCCTCAGACCCCTCGTGATCTGCCAGACCGGGCAGAGTGATCGCGGCGCCCGTCAGAGACCGGCCCGACGGGGCCCGCAGTGCAGTGCGCCTGGACCCACTGAGATCGTTCACTCCCCCAGTGGGCCACAGCTTCCCCTGCCCTGCTGACAGTCCTCCAGCGAGGGATATTTCGTTGTGGGACAGTCTTCTCGTCTGTTGCTGTCACACAGGGCCCAACCGGTGACCGTCGGACAGTCCCGATGGCATGCCTGAAGCCCCGCCACGGCAAGAGACCCCCTGCCCGAGAGGCCCGTGCAGTGGCTGTGGGGCCATCCACTCCATGCGGGCCCGGTGCAGCGCTCCTGGAGAGTCCTTGCCTCCGGTGGTGCTGACAGGGCTCCCGAGGGGCCAAGGCGTCAGCCGAGGGACGGGGCCGAGCAGGACTTCTGGCCCGCATGCAGATGTCCCTGCCGTGTGTCCTGTCCTGTAGAGACCCGAGACGCTGGAGGTGTCCCTCGGCATCCGGTCCCCCTGCTGTGCCAGTCGGTGCAGGGGAGCAGCGTACAGGGCCCTCATGGACAGTCTCCGCTCCAGACAGAGCACCAGGGGTCTCAGCAACCGATCGGCCGATGCAAGGGGCAGGCTCTCCTGCCACGACGGCGCTCTGCTGCTAGGAGGGTCTGGCGGACAAGCTATCAGCACACGCACTCTCCTGGGCTGCTTCGGGGCACTCCAGCGTGGCCAGCGGCTTGCGGACCGGCTCAGTGTCGGAGGATGAGCAACTGTGTACACTAGAGTCTCCGAAAACACATATCACATCCAAGCCACTTCACTTAAGGGTATCTTTGTGGGTACATGGCCTCCTCTGCCTCACGAAGGAGAACGGCCCTACTGCTTGGGGTAGACAGCCTGAGTGAACAATATGGAGCCATCTATCTGTCGTCATTGGTCTGTTGTGAGCAGGTCTCGCCTTCACGGATAAAAAGGAGATTGGGCGCTCCGAAAAGAGCTCACCCTACGAGCTACACACGTGACACCGGCATTCCCAGCGGCCGTGGCAAGCATAGGATGATGCTTGCCCAACTGGCCAGAGAGACCCTTCTGTCACCGCCTGCAACGAGCTGCCGGGGCCCTCGCCTGCGGGCGCTGTCCGCAAATCTCGCGAGTAAATTCCCGCTCAATTTTTGGCGATGTCCGGAGACGAGGGTTGGTCGTGTATCAATATAAAGACCACAGTGGTGGTAGGGAGGAGCTGTCTGCATTCCTCGGCTGTTCTGCGGGTGTGTGCTCGGTCTAGGTGTGCACATAGGTCCTTTTGGAGATCAAGCCGTCCTGCAGGCTCGCTGGTCTACTAGGGTGCCTCTTCTTGTTCTCCCTTCACGGTGAGTGAAGCTCAGGTCTTTGTTGTCATTCTCAATACTGTCCATACAGATCAGCAGCAGCTAACGGGGCGTTCTCTCCTGGTTGGGATTCCACTCGACTGCGTGTCCAGTCTTGGGCCCCTTCTCGATCGTTGTCGTCGGGTCCCGGGGATGGGCTCATTCGGTTGTCAGAAGTAGGATGACAGGAGGCGGTCGCTCTGGGTGACCAGGCTTTCGGCCCGGCCCGTCTGATCAGCTTCGTCGGGTGCTCGTTCGCCTCTGCAGCCATGTGGGCGATGGCGAAGGCAGCCCGGACAGAGAGCTTCTCGACGTCCACGTAGAGCTCCTCGAGGTGCCTCTTGGACTTGGGGTGGAGGGATCCGTCTGTCTCGTCCCTGTACTTCTTGACCTTCTCGTTGTAGTAGGCATCCATCTGGCGGGGCTGGATGACGCCCACATCTATCGCCTTGCACTTGTCGACGAGCCAGATGTCGGGCTTCTGGTTCTGGTCGCTGAGGTGGCTGTGGGTCTTGACTTCCAGCTCCGGTTGAACTTCCCTGAGACGCGGAGGTACAGGCACGCGACGATCATGTTGTGCCTCGTGGTCCTGGTCCACGCCGTTTTCGGGCAGTTCATGTCGTGGTCGAGGGTCTGCCGTGTGGCAGCCCGGGCAGGTGCCTCTTGTCTGCGCCATGATCGAGCCATCTCTCTCCTTCAGGGCCCTTTCCTCCTCGGTCAGCACGCCGCCGCTCTGTCCGGAAGCTGGTGTATGCGTGAGGAGGCGGTTGAAGTAGGTCCCTTCCCCTGCAGTGCCTGGCCTTCCACCGACAGCTCCACCGGGTCTCTGGCTCCCTTGTTGACGTCCGGGGAGGCCCATACCCTCCGCAGCTCGTCGTGGCAGAGCCCCGGCATGAGCAGGCCCGGGCCGCCCTTCTCCTTCGGGTACGCCAGGAAGTCGACCAGGCGATCGCAGCTTCTGTTAGTTATTTTGCTGAAGCCTTGTGCGATGTCTGTCGAGCTCCTCGTAGTCCGCCTTGTCCGATGTTACTTCGACCAGGGGGGCGTAGTTCACCATCGGGACCACACAGAGTGACACCAGGATGAGCTTCTGGTGGGTGGTTATGGGGGCAGTCTCAGCACCTGCGATGGCCTTCGGCGCGGGACTGGCAGGGGTGGGGGACACCGGGTGGTTGAGGAAGGTCACCTCCTCGCCCGCCATGGTGGACTTGCATTTGTCGCTCCTGATCGTCAGGCCCATGGTCTGCTGTGTTATCGCGCCTGCCGGGTAGGCCTCGTCGTGGAGCGTCACGATGTCGTCCGCTAGGCAAGGAAGGTGATGCCCCTCTCCCTGAGGCGTCTCAGAGGCGCTCGGTAGCCATGCAGAAGAGGAACATGCTGAGCGGGTCGCCCTGGGGGACGCCGCAGACCTCGCACTTCACGTCCCGGCTGTGCCTCAGGTCGAGGAAGTTCCTGATGTAGTCGACCAGGACCTTCGGGACGCCCGCCTCGTTCAGGGCTCTGACGACCTCCGCCCTTGGGAGCGAGTTGAAGGCCTTCTTTGTGTCGAGGGAGACGGCGTGCATCCCCGGCCTGCTGATGAGCTCGTGGGCCCTCCTCACGCCTACCGCGTATGCGTTCTGCATGAAGGCGATCTGTTCGCACGAGAGGTAGTTGGCATGCTTGATCAGCCGCTTCAGCAGGACGCGGTGGAAGATGTTTGTCACCGTCTTGCCTATCGCGATCGGACGGTATCCGTCGGACTCCTTCGGGATGAGGATCGCCCGGAACTCGAACATGGCCGTCACCTCGGGCATCGCCTCGGGGTGGGTGGTCAGCTCGTTGTACGCCTGCGTGAGGTACTTCACGAAGCTATCGTTCTGCTTCATCGCTTTGAGCTGGACCGGCCCGAGACCAGACAGGCCTTGTTGAGGGTTCCAAACAGGACCTTCCTCATTTCTTCTTCGGTTGCCACTCCAGCCCCGTCGAGCTCATCGATGGAGGGCAGTCAAGGCCAACGTGGCCTTTGGGAGGACGCACGGGTGTCTCATCAAGGGCGCGGAGGGCCTTGGCAACTGCTCCGAAGCTCAGCGCGTTGTTCACCCTATTTGGAGCGGTGTCTCCTTCTGGGTCTGCTATGCTGTGCTGCTTGCTCCGGGCCTCCTACCAGGGTGTTCAGGCCCTTGTTAACGAGGAGCGCGACCCCAGTCCCGGCCTGCTCGATGCTCGCGATCATGCGCGCACCCTGGTGGATGAGCATGGCAAGCTCTGTCTGGTTCGGTATATGGGATGGAATGATCAGTTTGTCGTCGCCTAGCATTCTGTGTCTGTCATCGTTTGCTTCTCTCAGGTGCTCGGTCAGTTGCTTGGCGCTCTCGCACGGTAGGCCACAGAGCCAGCGTGTGTGTCCTGCTGAGAGAGTAAATGTCTTCGGAGTGGTCTCCCAAGTAGAGACTCACGGCTTGCTCTCTGGGTGTCCCTGAGGTACGATTTTGCATTCGTAGTGCAGATCTGGTCCTCGCGGGCTCTCCTTCGCCTCAGGTCCAGCTGTGCTCACGCCCGTAGAACAGCCGTGGAACGCACAGACCCCAGATCCACACGTGGAGGGAACCCCTCTTTGCCCCCGCTGTGGTTATCGTTGCAACCCGCGGCCAACCCTCATCTCCGGACTGGCTGGGAATTGAGCAAGAGTTTACCCGTGAGACCTCTGGACCATACCTGCAGACAGGCCTCAGCGGCACCCACTGGTCCGGGGCATCACGGCAGGCAACGGCGAGGGCCCGCGTAGGACACTGCGCTCGAGCGCCGGGGCCTGGTGCGTGGGCTGGCACTGTCTGCTTGTCACAAGGCTGCAGGAGGTGCCCGGACGGGAGAGAGTTCCCCAGACGTGCCGCTCGAGGCCCTCCGGTGATATGAAGAAGGTGTGGCGGCTCCTCGTGCTGCAGATCGCGTAGGAGAGATCCGAAGGCGCAGCACCTTGAGTGAACTCCAGCATCCTTGAGCCAGTTCGTGTAGTCAGTGATTGACCCCGTTGGGACCATTGAGGGCCTGCCACCATGCACCGCTCTCCATGACAGGGAGGTTCGGTGGAGGGAGGTGCGGAGCTTCCCTGCTTTCGTCTCCACGCCCTTTCGTTCACGCTGCTGGGTGCCTTCTTGGCTTTTCGCTTCAGGGTTCTGTGAGGTTTCCTCGGTGGCGCTTTCATGGGAGCAGCCGCGGGTCTGTTGTTTGATGAAGGCTGGACGTTAGGGCGTCTTTTTCCGCCGGAATTACGGCACCGGATTCTAGGTTTGGATTTTGGGTTCTGGACTCTGTTTGGGAGTAAGCGGGAGATCCACCTGTCCAGGGCGGTAGTAGCTCGCATGGGAGGTCGCTCAGGTAGCAGGGGACAACCCCACCCCGGTGAAGTGGAGAGTAAATTAAGTTCAAGGGGCCCAGCGACGCCGGGAGCGCTCTGTCTGGCCTTCACTACCTTGTGGCGTCCACCCGGCAACTCCTCCTGCCGGCCTGCTTCTAACTGTCGACTGGACCCACTGACCTGGGGGACTACGAACAGGAGGGAACGCCGGCCTCCGGGACCACGGCTGGACGGTCACCGAGAGACGACCCCAGCCAGTAAAGCCAGACCTCGATAGCAGCCGTCGCGACAGAGGAGACTTCTATTGAAAAAGAAGTGACAACCCAGGCTCGTTCACCAGACGGCAGATTAAAAAGCGAGGCATACTAATGGACAACGTGTGTCCTTGCAAAGGTCTGAACCCTGGACAGACACACGAGCACCCCTGGACACGCACATCGCATGAAGCGACCGAGGAATACAAGAGACTCTAATATACAAATGGAGGGAAATTCCCTTAATATACCATCAACGATCAACCCTTGTCTCCACACTGACCATGACTTGGGTGAGACTTACTTCTGAAGTCTCTGGACCACGCCTGTAGGTAGGCTCCAGTAGCACAGTCTTAAAAATAACTGGTGGGTAGAGTGGTCATCATGACCTGGTGGCACTGGTGTGCTGTTTCTATGCCTATTGGTGTACCGGTTATGCACGCATATATCACGATGCTATGCAATGTGCCATGTCATCGTGGCTCGTAATGTGTGGCCATGCCTCCTCTTTAACCGATGTCGCCTTCCAACATCACGGCCTATCACAGGGCTCGCACATCAGATGGTGACTGCTCTGTCATACGCGATCGCTGTGAGACCGTCGGCCCCGCTGGCAAGGACCCGGTGGAGGTGACTACCAGGATGCAAGGCACAGTGCGGAACACAAGGCCACGGATCATGCATAGAGACTTGGAAGGACCGGATGATGAGGCGTCCTGCATCGAATGGGGACGGTGCAGAAGTGGGGGTCAAGAGTCACGGGGAATTGCTTTTTAGCTTCTGCTTTTCGTCTTCGACTTGTGGCCTTAGGCATCTATGTGGAGGTTTGCGCATAACTTTTATGGTGCAACCTATAAATCTATAATGATACGATAACTGATGCATCGGCTACCTAAGTAAACGTCATATAGTTATTTTGTGTGATGTACTCTATAAATAGATCAGCATTCCTAAAGTAATTGCTATGCTACTGGATTGGTAAGCTCTAGCATTGGATGGCTAGAGGTCAGGTTACGAATGGTTCCCCATTCGCATGTACCTAACAATCTGAGCAGAGCCACAATGTTGCTACTAGCTCCCTGCCTTTTGATAAGTGCTCTTGCAGCATCGTGCAGTGGGCCAACTGCAAGTAAGTGTAAAGATGGTGAGTGTGATATGATTGGCAAAACGGAAGTTTGCACACAGTGTAAAACCGAAACAGACCACCTTATTGATGGAGAATGTGTACCAGCAGGGACTGACCAAGCAGCTGCTAAATGCGCTTCCCCTGCTCAAGGAAAGTGTGGCTCTTGCGGCGATGGATACTTCATGTACAAGGGCGGATGTTATGAATTTGCTGGCGAATTGGGCGGGCTTATCTGTGCCGATCCAGTAGGGGGAGCGGCAAGCGATAAGGTAATAGGGGTTTGTAAGGATTGTGTGGAAGGATTCTTTAAGAGTCCAGTGGCAGCCGCTAATAAGCAATCGTGCATCTCCTGTAATGACACGACGGGGGCAGATCAATACCAAGGTGTAGATCAATGTAAAACATGTACTCCTCCAAGCAATACTGGCCCTGCTACATGCACCGCGTGTGATGAAGGCTATTTCGGCGCAGGTACTACGACCTGCACAGCTTGCGGCGACGAGAACTGCGCTACATGTACAGAGGCGACAACCACAAAGAAGTGCAGCAAGTGCAAGGCTACCGGTAAGATGTATTTAAAGAAGGAAAGCGGTAGTCTAACGGGGATATGTGTAGAAGGAAATCAGTGCTCCACCGATTCTACCCTCTACCCAGATGATACCGAGCCTAAGAGTTGCAAGCCGTGCACGGCAGGAACGTTTGAGAACTGCAAAACATGCACCAAAAGTGACACCTCCGTTACCTGCACAGCGTGTAAGGCAAATATGGTATTTGGACTCGGAAAGAAGTCGTGCATTAGTAGCTGCCCTGATAACTCAGAAGCCAAGACCGAGAATACTTGCACGTGCAATGATGGATTTAAGCTTAACGAAGAAGAAACACAATGCGTGCCAAATGATTCCCCTTCAAATCCATGCAATACTCAGGATTGTAAGGCATGCAGTGGTGCACAAACAAACAAAGAGATCTGCACCGAATGTCTGTCCAACAAGTATCTGGCGCCAACAAGCCAGTGCATAGATCACTGCGAATATATTCTAGGCTACTACAGTAGCACAGAGGGCAACAAGAGGGTCTGCAAGAAGTGCGAGGTCGCCAACTGTCTCGCGTGCAGTGAAAATGGCGGGTGCGGTCTCTGTAAGGACGGCTTCTACGGCGAAGCGTGCTCCCCTTGCGATTCCAGCTGTAAGACATGTAGCGGAAATACTGCCAATGATTGCACAAGCTGTAAGTCTGGAAGCGCGCTCACCTACGGATCCACAGGAAACACTGGCACATGTGGGGCCGAGTGCGCGGCGGGCACAGGCACAGGTAAGTGCAGGGAGTGCGGTCTGACTGTTGAGGGGACAAAATACTGCTCTGTCTGTAGTCAAAACAACGAGTATCCCCAGAACGGTGTCTGTGCTGTTAAAGTCAGTCGCACAGATAAGTGCAAAGATGGAAGCATTACCGGTGGCGTGTGCAATGTCTGCGCAGACGGCTTCTTCAAGATGAACGGCGGCTGCTACTCCACCAGCCAGCTTCCGGGGTCGACAGTGTGCTTGAGTGCGCAGAGTACAGGCGGCACCTGCAAGACTCCGAAAGAAGGATTTAGCCTGACAGGCGAGAGCCTTGTGGCTTGCTACACTGGGTGCGCTGAGTGCACCACCACTAAGGACTGTTCTAGGTGTATGGACGGATATGTGAAGGTTGGCAGTGCCTGCACGAAATGCCACGAAAGTTGCTACACCTGCGAAGCCGGTGCTACTACATGCAAGGTATGTGCTCCTGGATATTACAAGGAGAGTAGCAGTAATGGGCTGTGCAAGAGGTGCTCCGAGGGGCTGGCTGGATGCAGGCAGTGCGCGACACCTGTTAACGGCAAGTTCATATGTTTCGAAACGGATGATAATACCGGCGACAATACTGGCGGAAGCACGAACAAGAGTGGCCTCAGCATGGGCGCCATAGCCGGCATCTCCGTCGCAGTCATCGTCGTCGTTGGGGGTCTCGTCGGCTTCCTCTGCTGGTGGTTCCTCTGCCGCGGGAAGGCGTAGATTTAGATGTGACTTAGGTAGTAAACGCATACTGGTGCCGTATATAGACTTGTAGGCAGTGCTCTGAGACACGCTCGAGCAATGCATGTCCACGGAACCCTCTAGTAATGATCAGCTATTGCAATTCACCCATCAAGTACTCCTCGTAGGACAGGACGACGCAGGCCTGCTCGGATGGGCGAGGCTTGCTTGGATCGCCACGAGCACTAGCTCTGGCGTTGTTTCCACTTACGAGAGCCGGGAGCTCCTGGTTGCCGAAGAGAGGCCCCATAAAGTTCATTACCCCTAAACAGTCAACTTGTTACTACAGAGGAGCACGGCACAGTGAATAGTCAGTGAAGCGAACTATCTTGGATGATCTGTAAACAATACCGTGAATCGCAAGTTTACCGTTACACGCGTTTCCTTTGTGACTACGAAATAAAAATGTCGTCTGCGGATGATTTAGGTCAGTTCCTTCAGAAGCACGACTGCGCCCCGCCCCTCGCGCCAGAGAAGGACACGAGCGAAGAGGGCGCGGGCAAGAACAGTCTTACTGAGTCTTCAGAACTAGATGATGAAGGCAGCGTGGACGGAAACGGCGTCACCACACTTATGGAGGCAGCTAAGAGGAACGATGTGGATGCGGTGAAGCGCTACATCCCTTATCAGGCAAGAATGGTGGCGAAGCTTGTCAATGTGGGAGGCATAAATATATATGAGGGGACAGCCCTGATGGTCGCCGCGGTGCTTGGACACGCTGAGGTGGTGAGGCTGCTGAGAAAGCATGAGAGTTGCATGAGGAGCAGTAATGAATGGACAGCCCTTATGTGGGCAGCATTTATTGGCCACGCTGAGGTCGTGAGACTACTTTTAAGGACTGAAGGTGGCATGAAGAAGGGTAAGGGCTGTACTGCTCTCACGGTTGCAGCAGGCTATAATCATCTAGACTGTGTCAGGTTACTGCTGGAGAGGGAGAAGAATGTCGGTGGCGAGTCTGCCATCCGTATGGCTAATAGGTGGAATCACTCTAGGGTAGTATCTCTTCTTGAAAGCAATGGTATTAGGCTAGTGGATCCCTACTTGAGGATACCGCCTAAAGAACCTGTGAGTGAACTCGCTTAACTGTTGATCGAATTTGATGATAGATCGTAGTCCCCTCCAGCTGTGCAAAGGGATGGCCAGCCACTAGGGTGAAGTGATGGCTGTCAGTGGGTCACACAACCATCCGTTTCCACAGAGGTCAGAGGGGGCTGGCCTTCTCACCCCCGGCCAGCACTGGAACACCAGGGGTAGGTGAAACGATTGCACAGGCAGCCTTCTCGCCTCTTATGCAGAAGCTCTCCACAGACATGGGATCGCTATAGACCTGTAGATATTAACCTATGTAAAACGACCCGTTTCTAAAACAGTAAAGTACCAAAATAATAAAACGGGATGCACGCTGCTTCATCTGAGTCTGCAACGGTGGCTCTCAGGGTGCCTATGTTCACCCCCAGGGAGCTCCACGAGCTGATAGACGACGTGCTTAATGAAAGCATCACGGGCGCAGTCTACTCCCTCAAGGGCTATCCGAGTCTCGCCGTGAAGGAGATCATCCTCGATCATCTGGACAGGAGCAGCGTGGATGCCAGCAGACTAGAGCTGATTACCTTCCCCGAGCTCTCCCACCCAGGGATCCTCAGGTACCATCAAATTATTGAGAACGAGGGCTTCATTTACATTGTCATGGATCGCCACGACAAGACTCTCAAGCGTCTTCTCACCAAGTACAAACGAAAGAGAAACTTTATCTCTGTTAGCGTGATCCTCTTCATTGTGAAACAGATCGCTGCCGCCCTCGCCTATCTCCACAGCGTTAGTGAGGTAGATGTTGAGGAGCTTGTTCACTGCGATCTTAGGCCTACCAATATCCTCATCAGCGCAGATAACAAACACGTCGTCCTTGCTGGCCTTAGCCTCTGCATAGACGCCCTGTGGAGTGAGAGCACTATCATGGGAGTGGCGTACATGGCCCCCGAGATTCTCCTCCGTAATGAGACCAGCCATGCTTCCGACATGTGGAGCCTCGGGGTCATCATTTATGAACTAGTAACTCTGAGGAGACCGGACTTCCTGGAGGGTGAGGAGCCGGCAAAGGTCTTCGTCGACGGGTGGAGGCCAGACCTGAGCGGTGTAACTAGTAACTTCATAAAGGGCATTCTAAAGAGGATATTTGTACTAGATCCTGAGGAAAGACTGACAGCCAAGGAGCTGTATGAAATGCTCACCACATTCGACGTCCCAGTTAGTGAGCTAGAACCTCGGCAAGTGGTACTAGAAGGCAAATGCGGCTCCTTGGAGGATGCGCTAAGTAATATTAATACCAGGATCGCACTTCTGGAAGCGGATGCGGAGGCCAAATTGGACAGGATCACTGCTCTTGAGACAGCCCTCGAGAGTAGGCAAAGTAAAATCGACAGTTTGGGACAGGAGCCTCGAATTAAATTCACCAGGATTGATGCGCTTGAAGATCGGGATAAAGAGTACCTAGCCATAATAAGAGTACTAGAAAATAGAATCGCACAACTTAGCACTGGATTAGCTACATCCAACTCTCAGTTCAATCTCCTCTTGCTCCCTAGGCTGATACGTGCTGCACACACGAATGACATGGAGGCCGTTTGGACCTTGGTCAACGAGGGATTCAATATTGGTCAGCGCGATGAGCAGAAGATGACGGCCCTCATGCACGCAGCCCAGCAGGGGCACATCGGTCCTGTCAAGCTGCTTGTTGAGGAGGAGAATGGCTTCAGAGACAAGAATGGCTGGACTGCACTCATGCACGCCGCACACAGCAACCACCCTGAGGTAGTTGAAATTCTCGTCCCTCATGAGCATGGAAAGAGGAATAACAGTAGCTGGACTGCCCTAATGATCGCTGCAGAGAATGGTAGCGCAGAAACTGCCTCCATTTTGATCCCGTACGAGAGGGACCTAGTCGACAACGAAGGTAATACGGCCCTGACGATTGCTAGGGATGCAGGGCACAAAATTGTTATGGATATTCTTGAGCCAACCGATGAATTTGGTGTCACGGCATTAATGCGAGCAGCAATAGGCGGCCACACAGAGGTAGCAAGACTACTAATAGACCATGAAAGTTGTGCACAAGATGTTTTTGGAACAACTGCTTTCATGGAGGCCGCATCTAGGGGGCACTTAGAGATAGTGAAAATGCTAATGAACCGTGAGAGCACTATGAAGGACCTCAATGGCGTAACAGCCCTTATGAGGGCGGCCTCTGATGGCTATCTGGAGGTAGTAAGACTATTGCTGGGGTGTGAGGCTGGAATGAAAGATAGTAAAAATAAGACTGCTCTCATGTATGCAGCACTTAATAGCCACTTAGAAATAGTAGAACTGCTAATGAAGTATGAAAACGGTATGGAGGACAATTATGGTATGCTTGCTATCATGTATGCAGCATTTACTGGCCACTTAGAAATAGTAAAACTGCTATTTGAAAAGGAGGGACACCTAGTAGACAAATCTAACAAGTTCTTTTTTAGTGAGCTTGAGACTAGGGGCTATTCCGAAATATTGTCTCTCCTTAGCAGCAGTAGTACACTTGGTGTCGATGGTCATAATGATCCTTAGACTGCTTTGTGACCTCACAAGTAAACCTATCGTGTCTCTTCAAAAGGAGCAAAGAACTCTGGAAGATAGACTTTACAAGAGGAGTACCTCACATTCCCAGCCCGTGCCAAAATACTATAAAACAAATCTTGATTTATGAAATTTACCCTGTGTCACCGAAGCTAGTTTATTAGCTGCTGCTTGAGTAAGTCCTTCATGCGAGTTGCCATTTCACCAAGAGGGTCTTTCACTCAGGTGCCATCTAACTCTAGCGAGAGAAGACCCCTATGCCTCCTCGCCCTTCGGGGTCACTGCATGTTCTTCGCAGTGCCTTCCAAGGGCTTCTCCTTTCCTTCGTTCAACTTCTGTGGGGGTCGGCTGCTGCCTGACACCTGGTAAGCACCGCTACCCCAAGGCCCTATTGTCAGTTGCAACGATCTGGCCCTGGCAGCAATGATCCCTGCATGTAGTCCAGAGTCGCTCGGTGCTACATGATGAAGGTCGCATGTGTCATGGCCTTGGAATGTCTACTCGGGTTCCTTCTCGCCTCCTCGTGGAGTGGACCATCGATCCTGCCGTCGGGGTGCGCTCACCATGTGTCCTCCTGGACTGTAGCGTGTGCCCGTGGACCCCCAGGTCGATCCCTGGTTGGTGCGGAAGAGACGCCCGGCCCGCCCTTCTGCTCATGGACACATTCACTCCATCCACCGGTTGCTTCCAGTGGTGTGCCGCTGAGGCCTGTCTGCAGGTATGGTCCAGAGGTCTCACGGGTAAACTCTTGCTCAATTCCCAGCCAGTCCGGAGATGAGGGTTGGCCGCGGGTTGCAACGATAACCACAGCGGGGGCAAAGAGGGGTTCCCTCCACGTGTGGATCTGGGGTCTGTGCGTTCCACGGCTGTTCTACGGGCGTGAGCACAGCTGGACCTGAGGCGAAGGAGAGCCCGCGAGGACCAGATCTGCACTACGAATGCAAAATCGTACCTCAGGGACACCCAGAGAGCAAGCCGTGAGTCTCTACTTGGGAGACCACTCCGAAGACATTTACTCTCTCAGCAGGACACACACGCTGGCTCTGTGGCCTACCGTGCGAGAGCGCCAAGCAACTGACCGAGCACCTGAGAGAAGCAAACGATGACAGACACAGAATGCTAGGCGACGACAAACTGATCATTCCATCCCATATACCGAACCAGACAGAGCTTGCCATGCTCATCCACCAGGGTGCGCGCATGATCGCGAGCATCGAGCAGGCCGGGACTGGGGTCGCGCTCCTCGTTAACAAGGGCCTGAACACCCTGGTAGGAGGCCCGGAGCAAGCAGCACAGCATAGCAGACCCAGAAGGAGACACCGCTCCAAATAGGGTGAACAACGCGCTGAGCTTCGGAGCAGTTGCCAAGGCCCTCCGCGCCCTTGATGAGACACCCGTGCGTCCTCCCAAAGGCCACGTTGGCCTTGACTGCCCTCCATCGATGAGCTCGACGGGGCTGGAGTGGCAACCGAAGAAGAAATGAGGAAGGTCCTGTTTGGAACCCTCAACAAGGCCTGTCTGGTCTCGGGCCGGTCCAGCTCAAAGCGATGAAGCAGAACGATAGCTTCGTGAAGTACCTCACGCAGGCGTACAACGAGCTGACCACCCACCCCGAGGCGATGCCCGAGGTGACGGCCATGTTCGAGTTCCGGGCGATCCTCATCCCGAAGGAGTCCGACGGATACCGTCCGATCGCGATAGGCAAGACGGTGACAAACATCTTCCACCGCGTCCTGCTGAAGCGGCTGATCAAGCATGCCAACTACCTCTCGTGCGAACAGATCGCCTTCATGCAGAACGCATACGCGGTAGGCGTGAGGAGGGCCCACGAGCTCATCAGCAGGCCGGGGATGCACGCCGTCTCCCTCGACACAAAGAAGGCCTTCAACTCGCTCCCAAGGGCGGAGGTCGTCAGAGCCCTGAACGAGGCGGGCGTCCCGAAGGTCCTGGTCGACTACATCAGGAACTTCCTCGACCTGAGGCACAGCCGGGACGTGAAGTGCGAGGTCTGCGGCGTCCCCCAGGGCGACCCGCTCAGCATGTTCCTCTTCTGCATGGCTACCGAGCGCCTCTGAGACGCCTCAGGGAGAGGGGCATCACCTTCCTTGCCTAGCGGACGACATCGTGACGCTCCACGACGAGGCCTACCCGGCAGGCGCGATAACACAGCAGACCATGGGCCTGACGATCAGGAGCGACAAATGCAAGTCCACCATGGCGGGCGAGGAGGTGACCTTCCTCAACCACCCGGTGTCCCCCACCCCTGCCAGTCCCGCGCCGAAGGCCATCGCAGGTGCTGAGACTGCCCCCATAACCACCCACCAGAAGCTCATCCTGGTGTCACTCTGTGTGGTCCCGATGGTGAACTACGCCCCCCTGGTCGAAGTAACATCGGACAAGGCGGACTACGAGGAGCTCGACAGACATCGCACAAGGCTTCAGCAAAATAACTAACAGAAGCTGCGATCGCCTGGTCGACTTCCTGGCGTACCCGAAGGAGAAGGGCGGCCCGGGCCTGCTCATGCCGGGGCTCTGCCACGACGAGCTGCGGAGGGTATGGGCCTCCCCGGACGTCAACAAGGGAGCCAGAGACCCGGTGGAGCTGTCGGTGGAAGGCCAGGCACTGCAGGGGAAGGGACCTACTTCAACCGCCTCCTCACGCATACACCAGCTTCCGGACAGAGCGGCGGCGTGCTGACCGAGGAGGAAAGGGCCCTGAAGGAGAGAGATGGCTCGATCATGGCGCAGACAAGAGGCACCTGCCCGGGCTGCCACGAGGCACGACATGATCGTCGCGTGCCTGTACCTCCGCGTCTCAGGGAAGTTCAACGCAGAGCTGGAGGTCAAGACCCACAGCCACCTCAGCGACCAGAACCAGAAGCCCGACATCTGGCTCGTCGACAAGTGCAAGGCGATAGATGTGGGCGTCATCCAGCCCCGCCAGATGGATGCCTACTACAACGAGAAGGTCAAGAAGTACAGGGACGAGACAGACGGATCCCTCCACCCCAAGTCCAAGAGGCACCTCGAGGAGCTCTACGTGGACGTCGAGAAGCTCTCTGTCCGGGCTGCCTTCGCCATCGCCCACATGGCTGCAGAGGCGAACGAGCACCCGACGAAGCTGATCAGACGGGCCGGGCCGAAAGCCTGGTCACCCAGAGCGACCGCCTCCTGTCATCCTACTTCTGACAACCGAATGAGCCCATCCCCGGGACCCGACGACAACGATCGAGAAGGGGCCCAAGACTGGACACGCAGTCGAGTGGAATCCCAACCAGGAGAGAACGCCCCGTTAGCTGCTGCTGATCTGTATGGACAGTATTGAGAATGACAACAAAGACCTGAGCTTCACTCACCGTGAAGGGAGAACAAGAAGAGGCACCCTAGTAGACCAGCGAGCCTGCAGGACGGCTTGATCTCCAAAAGGACCTATGTGCACACCTAGACCGAGCACACACCCGCAGAACAGCCGAGGAATGCAGACAGCTCCTCCCTACCACCACTGTGGTCTTTATATTGATACACGACCAACCCTCGTCTCCGGACATCGCCAAAAATTGAGCGGGAATTTACTCGCGAGATTTGCGGACAGCGCCCGCAGGCAGGCCCCAGCAGCACCACCACGTAATATTTTCACTGGTGTATATTGCATAGCCCCTTAGCACCTGCACTCGAGGCCAACACCACACCAGCTTTTTGATCGCTAGGACTACCCGGGGGCGAACGAAGTGCTTCATTCACTTAGAAGTATATCTCGGCACGACGCCTGCGCTGTCTTATTGCATTGAGGTGATGGCGGCCGCCGTACTGTGTCTGTAGAAGCAGACGCCTGCGCGCATTGCTATCGTCTATCTTCTGCAGCAGCGATGCGTCGAAGCTCCCGGTAATGTTCTCTGGCTTGGACACCATCTTGGCGACGCTCTTGACATCCTCTTCTGTCAGGTAGTTGAACCTCCGAGGCTTCTTGTCTGGGCTGTCAGACTCAGCCACCGGCTTCTGAGTCTTCTCCACCCCATTGATGAAGCCGCTGCCGCGCAAAAGAGTCACGGGGTAGACAAGGCCGCGCAGTATCTCAAAGACTGTCCCGGCACCCAGCGTGTTTATGGCGGTCTGGAGCAGGCGGAGGCAGCGCAGGAGCATCACGTTATTTTCGTAGAAGGAGCAGCCGCCGCGAACCCTATCGACATTTTCAGTGGACCCGGTCTGCAGGATATTGATCAGCTCTATGACGACGGCCTCCAGGATGCGGCCCTTGATGTTGCTGATGCCCTCAATGCACTCCTCATAAAGGCCCGAAAGGACCCCGGGCATCGCCACAAAGCGGCGCATCACCTGCTCCAGGATGGTCTGGATGTACTTGCAGGTCTGGGGGTAGCGCTGCGACGTCCTGCCGGGGTCAGCAAGAGATCGGTGCGTGGCGCTTTTATTAAGACCGGAGATGGCAGACGTAGAGCGGGTGTCCTCAAAATAAGGGATCAAGTTGTTTAGCTTCCCTTGCAAAAGAAGCATGTAATCCAAGTTTGGAGGCCTCCTGCTCAATCCAAGGTGCTGAAGTTCATTATTGGCATTATTGGGATTATTAGTGTTGGTCGCATTTTGGGCTCGCAGATCCAGTTCAGTCTGACAAGCTGCTGCAATTAGATAAAGGTCTTTACGACCAATAGATGTGCGGAAATAGCGTTCCGAAAGATTCTGCAGCGTTAAGATGGCTTCCTGGAGCTCTGCTGGAATAAATAGATCACTCTTTGAACACATAATATAAAAGGAGTTCGACCGAGCTCCACTGGGGAACGGTGCCCCGTCCGATAGTATTTTATGGAAAGGCATTAGATAACGTCCATAGGGAGATGATATCAGCGTAAGTAAGGCATGCGCCTTTCGCTCAACCTCCAGTTGTTGTGAAATGTAAGCAAGGGCATTCCGAGCATAAGGTTTAAGAGCATGAAGCTGCTTATTATCATTGGATAAACCTCCTGCAGACCCTCTATTTGCATTGGGATTAATGGATGCATTTGTAGACATTCCGGCGACAGTTGTATTGCCGCGTGAATTAGGACCGGTAGACGATGCACGCTTAGCGCCTCCATCAGTCTGGTGCATCTCTCCAGTGATGTTTCCGTTTCGGAAACTTAGCAATCCTACCTCTGCAGGTTGTCGAGTACGCCCAGGCTCAAAAGTGGAGGTAACACAGTATGCCCCACTAAGTGTGTGTTTAGTGAAGAAGCCCATGACAGTAGCGTATTTGGCAGCAAGAGACTTTATTGCAACAGCTTGTGCGAGCATGGACGGCGACACAGACAGCGCCTGCTTTGGCATCAAAGAATTGTGCTTAGTCTTGTCCGTTTTGTCTGTTGGCGCGGGAGAAATTCCTTCTCCAGTGATCATTGAGTCCAGAAGTTCTGCGCGAGCAGTCTGGATATCGTCGTTCATTTGACGAAGCTGCTCTAAAATAGGGTCTCTTCTTTTTGCTATCAGACACTCTAGCCGACGACGCTGCTCTCTTCTGCTCTTTCGTCGGTCCATTGCGGCATCCTGCTGCCTTAGAGCTGTCTTCATCTCGTCCATGGAGGTGAAGTATGGTTCTTGGAGCTCCGAAGGATTATACACTCCAAATGGCTTGAATGCAGGTCGTGCCTCAACTCCCTCGTCACTCACAGAAATGGTCTCGCTCCAGCAATCTGAAAAGTTCTCAAGAAGGTGCTCATGTTCCTCCCCAAAGGAGTAGTCAGCATCCTTTATATCCCGCTCATATATTTGCTTGTATTCCTTCACCCATTCATTTTTGTTTGCAATCATTACTGAAAGTTCGGAAGTAAGATTTGCGTAGCTTTCCTTATGTTGAGCAATGAGCGTTTTATTGTCAGCAACGACCGCTACAAACTTGGAGATGGCCGCCTCCTGCTGTTCTTTCTGAGCCGTAAGATAGTTTATCTCCTCCTGAATTGTGTCGTTCTTATTGGCAGACGACTTCAGAGTACCTTGCAAAATCTTAATCTGTTCTGTATTTGCGTTCATTTTGCTCCTTATGGACTCTTCAAGCTGTGCTATCTTACTGAGGAAACCTGTGCGCTCCTGAATGATAAATTGGCACTGGGAAGCGTGATGCTGATGTTGAAGGATCTTTGTGTTAAAGTCGTGGACACGAAACTTGCACTCATCAGCTTTGATCTCTATCATCCCTAATCGAGAATTAGGTGACAAGAAGAAGGACTCTCCCTTTGCTTCCCATGCATCAGGGCCAGATAGTGCAAGGCGATGAGAAACACTGGCGATCTTGGCAGCCTTCATTGTCAAGTCGTATACTGACCGGGACTTCTCCTTAGTGATCATATTCTTGGAAGAATTGGAGTGAACAACTTCCCATGCTTTCGTAGCTATCACAGTTGCAAGGGTCTTAGTCAGATGGTTTGTGCAGGTGGTCACGCCTGCAACTCCAACACTATTCCCAGTGTCAAGGGCTGCAGTCTGCGCCAGCTCAGACTTGACGATAAAATTAAGCAGGCGATGCGTTCTAATCTTATTGATGGCATAGTACTTCGGATAATAGAAAGACTCCACTGTTTTTACGTCCATAGTCTTCGCAACTTGAATCTTGGCATCTGATGCGAGCTTTATATTCACAGCTGTCTTAAGAGCATTCGGGGACGGAATAAGAGCCGACAAATAACTGTGATAGTTTGTGAAAGCTCCTGCCCCCTGCCCAGTAACAGTAATTCCAGTTGCACCAGAAAGTTGAGTGCGTCCTTGCTCGTTCTTTGCATCTAGCTTGTCCTTGTCGCCGTCCAGTCCGGCAGAAACTTTGTGGCGGTGGCCTTCATCGGCGGTCTTGGTTTCCAGATCTATAATACCAAGAGAGAGAACGGTTCGTCGATATTCTTCAGCAGCCTTCCGCACATCCTTCTGGCAGATCCTGAGCTCTTTATCTAAGGCTTTAAGAGGCTGAACCCACGGATCCAGTCTTCGTCGCACTGCTGTAGCACGCACAGCGCGTTCGAAGGTCTCCTTGTCCTTGTTTGCTATCTCCCATTGTTGGTCAAGCACCTCTCGATGTAGATCATCCAGGGTAACCCTGATGCCCTTCTCCTTGTAATATGCTATCTTCTGCCGCATCGCTGCATCAATTGCACAGTGTCTTGCATGGCTACCAGGGGCTGCGGCAAGACGCGGACGGCTCAATGTCACGCCCCCGCACGAGGAAAGGTCTTGCACCGAAGAATTGCTCGGGAAGCTGTAGTCGCTTGTCTTTGAGCGTTCTACAATAATCCCAGACGGCCCCTGTACTGTCTTATCCAAGGCAAACTTTTGGACTGATTTCATAGCTTGCTTTCTCAAGTCACGGGGTAGAGGGATCATAGACTGTGGCGACATGGTGGAATATTCATCGGCTAAGGTCTCGGAAGTCACGCGGCAAAGACCGAGTCGCTCAGCGATCTCACTTCCGCGTTTACGAAGAGCCTGCAGAGTCTCCTCCTCACGGTTCATGCTGTCCTGACTGTTCGTTGCATTGGCATATCCTGTAAAACTTAAAAGGCTCTTGCTGTGGGCGCCATCCTGGAAGCGGTAATTAGGAAGTAGGTTTTCGTCCATGGCGAGGAAGGGGTGTGAAAGAGCCTCTGTTGCACTTAGTCGGCTTTCAGGATCAAACTCAAGCAGCTTCCTGCACAGATCAAAGCAGGAAGCAGGCAGTACTGCCAGGAGATCCGGATTATACCATTCAGCAAGCTCTTCCAGGGCGATAGCTTGCGGCATCGGAGCACCAGCTGTGAGACTAAAGTCAGCCTTGAGCCTGGACATGCCCTGAATGAACCTGTCTGTTCCAATTATCGAGCGAATAGCCAGGATCTCATAAATATCCACAGTCGGATTGCCACGGAAAAGCGACGTTTTCCCCGTCAGGATCTGTATAAGAATAACACCGACACTCCAGCTATCAATCTTACAATCCTGGTTTCGAACTGGAACAAGGATCTCAGGCGCTCTGTACCCGTGAGTTCCACTATGTGCCGATGGTGGAAGCGGGCGGAAGGTTGAATGATCCTTGTTTATGTAGCCCGCTATGGGAAGTCGCTCAGCCGTGTCGTCATTGGGTCGAACAACATTCGTTGATGCGGCAGCATTCGAGCCTGTGACATGTGCAGCCGGTACTGTCTGTCCTTCTTTGAGAGACATGCGCGCAGTGTAGTATGTCTCCTCTCCCTGGGCTGTCAGGTCGGTCAGATACTGATTGCTTTGACGCATAAGACGGTCTAAGTTAATGTGTATGACACCCTTGCGCGACTTCGACTGGCCTCGGAGAAGCGGAAACTCTCGGACCTCGCGTAGCGTTTGGGCGAGGCCAAAATCAATAAGCAGCCCTTTTCCTGTTTTTCGCTCAAAGAGGAAATTGCCAGGCTTTATATCACGATGTATTATTTTCAATTTCTCTAGATGAGAGAGGGCAGTCAAAATGGAGCGCATATAGGCCTGGATTTCTCTTGGGGTGAAGTCCAGTATAACAGACTTGAAATCATCCGTGTCTGAGTAGGAAGTGATGACGGTTGTTTGCAGCGTGGCGTCAGAGAAGCGAATTTCTTTGATTTGCACGATATGCGACTTCCCCTCCAATCGACGGAGAAACTCTATTTCCTTGAGGAGCTGGTGCGGTTTGGCTGTCAATCTGATGCGCTTGATGGCACGCCTTTGGAACTCTGGTGTATAGGCCAAGAAAACTTTTGAGAACGCGCCCTTCCCTACGTGCTGCGTTATCTTGTACCTGTCGAATGGAATCTCTGGGAATTCCTGTCTGTACTGCGTGTAGTCCGCGGTTCCCGTGTCGGCCTGGTGGCGTCGGGTCATTTCCTTTTTAAATAGTTTAGCTAAAGTTTACAAGTTCTTTGCAGACTGACTAATCTACCACTGAAAACTGAGCAGCATGGAGACGCATTGATTATAGGGTGAGTCTGGAGGGTGACTCTTTGCTCGCCGCCTGGCTATATCAAGGGCTGTGTCCCCAGCTGCATTCTTGATTGGTGCTTCTGCGAGTAAGAGAGAAACAAGATCTACTTGCCCGCTGTCTACTGCATGCATAAGTGCCGTCATTCCCTCAGCTCCCTGGATCCCCATTTCCACAAGTAACAGACGAGAGCAAATTGCCATACGATTGATGATTCCTAACATCAGGGCCGTGTAGCCGTCAAAAACCTTACAATAGTCTTCTCGAGATGCCCGTACCCCTATTACATCCCCACGCTTTGCACATTCCATTAGGCCTGTGCGGTGCAGAACTGGTATGCCCGACCATGCATGCAAGATGCCAGAGTCGCACTTCTGCTTGAACGCATCTATCTTTCCGTGCTCAAGAAGGTAGTGCAAATAAGTTGCAAAGACAAAGACCAGATGGATGTATCTCCCTTGCACAGCCTCTGAAAAGAAACTACAGGCTGCTTCATCTACGTTCTTAGTGTAAAGACCAGCCAAGTCTGGTGAGTGCTGTGCCTCATATGGCAAGAGGAGATTCACAGCATCCCAGTTGTGGCCTGCAGCGGCAAACATTATCGCTGTAAAGCCCGCCTTGTTTGCATAGGAAACAGTGTCTGCACACTCTTTGATACTTTGAGCTAACGCCCCTTCACACTCGTTGAAGAAGACAGAGCGCATTAAGGGAGTAATATTGGACATCTGCTCTTCTGCCTGCAGTACACATGCACAATCCTTGTGACCACACATCATGGCTTGCGAAAGTGCAGTGCTTGAAATTTTGGTAACCATCTTGATTTCTCTTGAAAGTAGCAGCTTGACGCAATCCAGGTGCCCGTTCTGGGCTGCGTATATCATGGCTGTGTTGCCCCATTCGTCCTGCCTTCGACTCTCTGGTAGCAAGAGTTCCACTATCGTGTCGTGGCCCCTCATGCATGCCATCATTAGAGCAGTTGTCCCCCAATTGTCAGCAATGCCTGCTTCCATGAGAAGGAGCTTTACAGCTTCAACGTTGTTAAAGTGTGCTGCCAGCATCAGCGCAGTTTGGCCAGTAGTGTTAACGCATCCCAGCTCACCTAGTAGGAAGGGGATCACGTGGAGATTGTTTCTTCGAGCAGCCTCCATCAGGGCCGTGTATTTTCCATAGATAAACCCTATTTCATTATAGTTTTTCAAGAGTGCTTTAACGTCACCTTTCTGTGCTGCAGAAATTAAGTACGTTCTGATTGGTGACAGATCAGGATTCCTCGCGTTGACGCGGATACAGAGGTCTCTATCTGTGACACATGCTTGAACGATAGTCGCCAACTCTGGTGTATATTGTTTTTTGGCTAAAATTAACTTATCTTCTAAGATAGATGACAGTATTGAGGCCCCAGATTCTGTTGTAACGTGTTCTGCAAGGCACTTAATGCTCTGGGAGGCTATCAGGCTCTGAATCACACTTCGCTCCTGTTCACGGCTCTGCTCACTATTGTCAGATTGTGCAGCACCAGGTTCTGAACATAAAGTTGTAGGTATCGTTCTGTGTGCTGTATCAGGAAAAGACTCATCTGTACTGCAAGCTGTGCCACGGGCAGCTGTCTTCGTGACGGCATCTATTGCTGATATGGCATCTCCAAAAGAACTGAAAGAAAACCCCGAGGTTGTCCCGGCCAAATCAATAGAATGCGGAAAGGTAAGACAGCTAATAATAAATGTCGCCAGGACTCTGGAGTATCCACAGCCACACAATCTATCGGTACACTCCAGAAGAATCGTCGGGTCTAAGGTATGCTCAGCTGTGCCTTTCGACGATAGAGTGCAAAGTTCGAATAACAAGGCCCCTAAATTTGATACACTATATTCTATTAATTGCTTTTTGGTGATTGGATTGACAATTGAATTATGATCTTTGGTACTTGAAGCACCTTCACTAACGATGCTGACAGGGGCGTAGACGGTGTATATGAATTTATCAAAGTTCTGATCTACTAGAACAGCTTTTTGGCTTAATCCGTAGAGAAGATTGTACTCCATCCCGATGCTCATATCAGCTAAGACCACGCGAGCCAGATACACGATGATGTCCTCACTCACATAGGTTCCTAATTTGATATGATGTGCTACAACTGCCTCCAAAGGTACCCCTCTGGAGAAACGGTACCGTAGCCTAATCAGGTATCTGTTCTCATCCATGGTTGCAGTTTTTAGCGAAAGCAAGAATGGTAGCGCGTGGTTGATTGCGCTTTGATCTTCTTTATTGAATAAATATTTGGCCCAGGTAAAGAGGACGCCGTCTTTCATGGTGTCTGGCAGCCCATCTACAGAAATAGTTCGAGAATAAAGTGCAGAAGCGTCAACATCTATATCAGAAAGCATCTGATTAACGCACACAATGGCCATTTAAAAACGTTGCGCAACAGATTTAAAGAAACACAAAGTGTAGCCGCAAAAAGCCCTGATCCACGCTGAAGCCCCTGAAGTGCTCTTGGATACCTGGTGGCGCCGCTACAGGAAAGCCTGAAACCCTTTCACAAGAATCAGCTTTTGGAAAAGTTCGTTATAATTTTACAGATTTCAAAATTTAACTAAAATCACAAAGATCAAAGATCCCAAGATTCAACAAAGGCTCAAAATGGATTCATACCGCTCTACTGTCTCTACAAATGGCGGTGAGAACAGGGTATCTATCCTAACCGATAGACTTGTGCGCCTACAGTCAAAGATAGAGCAAAACAGACTAACTAAGATAGACGCAATACAAACAGAGATCGAGGACTGCGAGGAGCGTTTAGATGAAGCAGAAGCATACCGAGAGGACGAAATGCAGAAAATAAAGGAGTATCTGGTCAAGCTTTTCGAACTCATTGGCAGCGAGAAGAGGGCAATGGCGTATGTCCAGGATAGCAAGACGATAGAGCTCCGTGATGTTGATGACGTTATGCAGGCGACAATAGGAGACTTCAAGGTGTCACAAAAGGAGTCCACATCGAGGATGACCACTGTCTCGGAAAAATACTATGAAGAAATGGATACACTCGTTGCGGCCTTAATTGCAGAGCAGAATGAGACATACGCACGAAATAAGAAAACAATGGAGACAGATCTCCTACAGCTGCAGGAGGAATTAGAGCAGGAGGAGCTCATGTCTTCCACCATTCTATCAGAACTCGAGACGACTGCACGCAATAGCATCGCGGAGTTACGCCAACGACTAAAGTCTTTAGAGCATGAACGCAAGAAGGCTGAAATACAAATTAAAAATCTCATAGTTGAGGTTCAGTCTCGGCTAGACACCCAGATTGCCAAAGAGACACAGGAGCGCGAAGAGATTGAGCAGACCATGCTGTCTATTGTAGAACAAACTGCAGTGGGGTATCTTAACATGAATGATAACGTTTAACTGCATGACAAATCCCTCAAATGTCGATGCATATCACTGATCCGTTCGCAGTGGTGACCACTATGGAGCTCTTTCTTGCATCACCCTGTATACCAGTTACATGCTGATTGCTCTGGACGACATTGATTGTAGTGCATACAGTCTTGGACGGAAGGTTGATCTTAAGGCACGATCTTGCCGTGTCCGTACCTTGTGTTGTATAGACTCTCTGTTTTGATAGCTTCTCGTGACTAGATATACCGATGAAATTTTTAGAGGCACCTGATCTTAATCGTCCAGAAGCAGGGGACTCGTCAGGATACATGCAAATAGACCCCTTGTCATCTCCGATGATAAGAAAGCGACTGATGTCTTCTTCATATGTTTTCTCGTGAGTGGACTCCTTTGAATCACTTAAGGCCAGAATCCGGGGAATAGCTGCCCCAAAAATTCCAGATATTGTGTGTGCCTTGTACTTTCTGGTCTGCAGCATTGAGAGTAAACAATACCGCTTAATTTGAGAGTCTGCTGTGGACACCAGCAATTCGTTTGTTTCATCAATGACAGACAAAGCCAGGACCCTTGGGGCTGGGATGCTGGTCTGTTTCCTGTGCTGTACGGTATATGTTTGGAACTCATAGATGGGCCGCAACGTGTCTGCACCTAGTATATATATTTTTCCATGGGCAGTCCCTACGATTATGACGCCTGTGGGCGGAGAAAACTTATTCTTTGTAAAGGCTATGCTCGTTACCATTTGCGGGGCAGTCCAGGAAACCTTGCGCTTTCCAATGACATCCCACTGGTACACATCGCCAGCACTTGTACCTGTGTACAAAAACTGTTCGTGAAGAGGATGAAATAGGACACACGTGACAGGTGAGTTATGGGTCAAAATCTCTAAACAGGAGCCCTTGATTGGGCTCCATATCTTAACAGTCTTGTCCAGGGAGCCTGTGGCTAAGAAGTTACTTTTCGACCAGGAGCACGAGATCACGTCTGCGATGTGTCCTTTAAATACCCTTATGGCTGGCAGAAAAAACGGGATACGATTATTGTCTAGTGCGGATTGCCTGTTGGAAAAATCCATTATCAGTTTGTCCGAAGTCAGAGACTGAGCGTCTATTGAGGGCTTATTAGATGGAGCATCTTTACAGCACAGGGTAGAGTGCTGAGAAACGGTCTGAGAGAGTTGAGAAAATTGAGCCTTTGAGGGTCTAAACTTTATAACAGAATTAAATGGAGATGTACCTCCCTCTTGCAACTGTGATTGTGATCTAGTAACAATCTCATATGGCTTTTCGTCTGTAAGAGAGCTAGCACTCTCGTCATCAAAGTTCTCGTCCTTGCAATCCAAAGGTTCCAGTATAGGTATCAGGTTATTTGGCACGTTAGCTGCACTGCTGGCTTCTGCTTCGGCAGCCTTGGATAACCTGCGTGTAGAGAGCTTAGAAGAGTGGTTCAGAACTGGTGAACCAATGTACTGAGATAGGTTTTCCTTGGAGGGACTCTCACAAATGGGTGAAAGAAGCTCAGGCTTCTTGACATGGGTGAGAGTGGAGACATCAAGCGATGGCTTACATGGTTCTACGTGTACCTGTGCTTTATTTATGTATTTCCATATTTTAACAAACCCGTTCTGGCCTGCAGTAGCAAAGAATGACATATCTCGAGAGAACTCGGATGTCCAGATCGGTCCATGATGGGCAACCATGAGCTGAGACATCCACACGTAATACTTTCGGCTCTTCTGGCTTGCAGATGAACCACTGTATGATGCTAGTCTTAGTCTGTCATAGAGAACGCTGGCCTTCTCATTCTTTAACTTGTAAGGTAGAATAGGTAGCAGACAGCTGCTGCAGGAAGACAGCTTGCTCTGAGCATCTGCCATGGGCTCCAGTTGAATAAAGTTTGCATCCCATTCTGAGTCTGAGTCGCGAGCCCGCGCCGAGGAGAGGTTAAAAAGAGCCTCTCCTAGGCTCGACTCCCGTTGAGAGGGTGATTGTGGTAACTGTGATGCATTGCCTTGTGCTACTGCATGAATATATGGCTTCACATGGAAGCTTATTTCACTGCCAGCAAACGTTTCGACGGTATCCGTTAGCTGGGGGCCTGCTTGCGTCTCATACTTGGACACCATGTTGATAACTGCGAAGCGCTGCCCAACGCGCTCTGGGACTGCGGGCTTCGCAGACGCATGAACGCATGATGAGGATTGATCTTCAAGCAAAGACATTTGTAATGTATATTTTTGAATTAACCGAGTAATCCAAAAGACCTGGTAAGGAGTCACTGATCATTCTAGAATGCAATGACGCAGCGGCACAAAGAGCACTAAGTTTTCTTCTCTTAAAAAAATTATATTGAGATTGGTCTTTTGAGCCAGTTCTGAAATGTTGAGAGTGACAGAGTGCCGGCAGAATGCGAAGATTGTGCACTGAAACGCATCATAAGGAAAGTTGAGAGATCGTTCTGGGGCCTGATTAAAATCATTTTAAATTTAAATCAGCCAAATTCCAGAGTCTGGACGGGCGGAAATAAAAATGCGTGAGTGCATCTCGGTCCACATCGGCCAGGCCGGAGTCCAGATCGGCAACGCCTGCTGGGAGCTCTACTGCCTCGAGCACGGGATCCAGCACGACGGCCAGATGCCGTCCGACAAGACGATCGGGGGCGGCGACGACGCGTTCAACACGTTCTTCTCGGAGACGGGCGCCGGCAAGCACGTCCCGCGCGCGGTCTTCGTTGACCTCGAGCCCACGGTCGTCGACGAGGTCCGCGCGGGCTCGTACCGCCAGCTCTACCACCCCGAGCAGCTGATCTCTGGCAAGGAGGACGCCGCCAACAACTACGCCCGCGGGCACTACACGATCGGCAAGGAGATCGTCGACCTCGTCCTCGACCGCGTCCGCAAGCTCGCAGACAACTGCTCCGGGCTCCAGGGCTTCCTGATCTTCCACTCCTTCGGAGGAGGCACGGGCGCCGGCTTCGGGTCCCTCTTCCTCGAGCGCCTGAGCGTCGACTACGGCCGCAAGTCCAAGCTCGAGTTCGTCGTCTACCCCTCGCCCCAGATCGCGACGGCCGTCGTCGAGCCGTACAACACGATCCTCGCCGCGCACTCGATGCTTGAGCACTCCGACTGCGCCTTCATGGTCGACAACGAGGCCATGTACGACATCTGCCGCCGCAACCTCGACATCGAGCGCCCGACATACACGAACCTCAACCGCCTGATCGCCCAGTGCATCTCCTCGATCACGGCCTCGCTCCGCTTCGACGGCGCCCTCAACGTCGACCTGACGGAGTTCCAGACGAACCTCGTCCCGTACCCGCGCATCCACTTCCCGCTCTGCTCGTACGCGCCCATCATCTCGTCCGAGAAGGCGTACCACGAGAAGCTCTCCGTCGCCGAGCTCACCAACTCCGTCTTCGAGCCGGCGAACATGATGGTCAAGTGCGACCCCCGCCACGGCAAGTACATGGCGTGCTGCATGATGTACCGCGGCGACGTCGTCCCGAAGGACGTCAACGCGGCCATCGCGGTCATCAAGACGAAGCGCACGATCCAGTTCGTCGACTGGTGCCCGACAGGCTTCAAGGTCGGCATCAACTACCAGCCCCCGACCGTCATCCCCGGCGGCGACCTTGCGAAGGTCCAGCGCTCCTGCCTCATGATCTCCAACACGACGGCCATCGCCGAGGTCTGGTCCCGCATGGACCACAAGTTCGATCTGATGTACGCCAAGCGCGCCTTCGTGCACTGGTACGTCGGTGAGGGCATGGAGGAGGGCGAGTTCTCCGAGGCCCGCGAGGACCTCGCCGCCCTCGAGAAGGACTACGAGGAGATCGGCGCCGAGACCCTTGGCGACGGCGAGGGCGAGGACATGGAGGAGGACGACGCCTACTAAGCGAGTGAATTTCTCCCTTAATTTAGATTTATGATTACCGCAGGTTCGCTGTACGCGACGATCTCCGAGCATGACAGCCTTGTCTTTGAGACGCGTGCGGAAATCGCCATGCGGGGATTCATTGCCTCGCGGGCGCAGAAGCGTGCTGACCGTGAGCGCGTGGAGGAGCTACTTTGTGAAAAACGCCGAAGCCTCGAGGAAGACCGTGCCTCCCAGATCTCTCGCCTTGAAATCACGCGTACCTTTCGCATGGCAGAGGCCGTTCAAGGTATAATTGATAGGGTGCGAGATGCCGCTAAAACAAGCCTCAAGCAGATTGATCGCACTCCAGCTTATTACACAGCACTTTGCAGCATCATTCAGGAATCTATAGATACTCTTGGTGATGATTGCGTTTTGGTTTCGCGTGCATGTGATTCAGATCATGTCAGAAACTATATTGTCGGTAGGCAGTTTTGTCATACTGTAACGTTGTCCTCCACGGAATCGCTTCCAGAAGATGTAATGGGCATCCGCTTGTACTCCGCCTCTGGAGCCGTGACCATAGAAGAAACATTCAATGAGAGGATCGACCGAGCAATAAAGCTCTGTGAACCGGAACTAGCCCGAATGCTCTCTCCTCCTGTTGCTTCTGCGATCTCGTAATTACATAGTGTTTAAGTAAACCGATTTCTCTTCTGATGATAGACTTAAACTCGTTAGAAAGCCAGTACGCCGCTTTGCAGACAATTCTTCAGGAAAATCTTGCTCATCCCAAGGTAAGGGCTGAGATTTCGGGCACGTTAGCGGGGTTTCTTGACATTCTGCCGTGCCTGAAGCTAGACCCCAGAGTACTTGTCAAGTTTAATGCGCAAGAGCAGGCTCATTACACAGACATCGTTAACGCCATTGCCTCTGCCCTGATGGCTTACTTCACGGAGTTATGCTCGATTAGAAATGTTCTCTCCATCTGCAATCGAGTTTTCATGCCATACCATTGTGCTGAGGTTATCCAGCCCGAAATTATACGGACAGTCTTTTGGAGCTATGGAAAGGGGATGCTCAGTGACCTGGACATCTTGAGCTACTGCAACATGGTCGTGACCGGCTCCTATCTTACTACGTTTCACTGTGACACGGAGCAAATTCTCACGACAAATACAAAGACCACTAACACGGGGCAGCATGGCTCCAAAGGCGCGAAGAGCTCTACTGCCAATGTGCTTGACCCACGCAATGCTTACTTCAACGAGCGGCAAAGAATATCCAATTCGTTGCTCCCCACGCTTGCTGTCTTTAAAGCAGAGATAAGCTCGACGTCTCTGGGGCTATCTAATGAATGCTATCTTCTACTTCTCGCGGCGGAACTCGTAAACAAACTCTATCATCTCGAAATCATTTCTGAAAACGAACTGGAGTACGAGTCCCTCTGCACAAGGTCCCTTGGGCTTATAATAACTATCTTTAACAATGTGTGGCTGCGAATCTCGGACGCTGGCATGGAGCTTAGTGAGACTTGGCAAACACGAAGACACACATACACCAAAGGTTCATCGGCTATGCATGCATCGCATAATAAGGAGGAAGAATTTGACCTTATGAGCCTGCAGAACAAAACAACCATCAACCTAGAGCCGTACCGCCAATTTCTTGGCAACCCTATGGCCCTTTCCGTGTCAGATGCCTTGCAAGACCTTTCTTCTTCATCGCAATTCATTGCTATTGATGACGAACCAGAAGAGAGCCCGGCTCATACGATCGCAGAGAGTATGCTCATCCAAAACGCCCTGGGTGCAAGCGGGTCTGTTTACCAAAACATGCCCAAGTCTCCGATGCAGATCCCTTTGAAGTTAAGTAGACGCGGACTTGTACTAAGCAAATCGACACAGAATTTACAAGTGTCAGATATATCTGCCATCAATCCTGGAATCCCGCAGTTTAACATCCGAGACCCCAGGACATACTATAAGCTTAATAACGAAGATGCAATTAATATGATAGAGAACTCCAAGGCTGCCGACACTGACATTATTGTCATGATGTGTAAGGTGGCTTGTGATCTATTAGTAGCCACCGCAGAGTATCATAAAAAGGTGTCCTTACAAGATGACACACCCAACAACGTGCTCTCTGGAGGAATGAACCTAAAGTCTAGTAGAGATGCAATCAGCAACAGGGTTGGTACCTCTGTCTGTACGCATCGACGAGGTGGTAAAGCCACGGTCAACCTGGCACGCTCTGTCGGAGAAATACAAAAGCCACTTTCAATCGAGCCTCCAGTTGATAGAAGTAAGACAGTGTCAGCCTACTCAAAGATGCGTGAGGGCTATGATTCCAGTCTGGTGCCTCATACGCTCAAGACACTCGATAAGATTGCTGGGACGATGCCATCAAAATGGAACAGCACAGAGCCTCGTAATATTTGCCCTCCAGGCACGCGATTTAATAGGGTAGAGGTGGGGAAGAGATACGCACCCGGGACCATTGGGGGTCCAACCTATCTCAATGACTTGAAGACCGTGACAAAAGATGACATACAGGCGAAGAAAGCATGGATTGAAGCTCCATATGGTACACCAATGCAGCTGAATTGCTTCACTAACTATAACACCATAACACACTCTCCGCCCGGCTCAGGTACTGTGCGACTGCCAAGCGTTGCTATTTATCCGCCATCTCGCTCTTTCACCCTCTCTAAGATGCGTACACAGAACTTAAAGGACTACATCAAGACCCTCACTGAGACTTACTACTATGCCCTTTACACATCATTCTCGTCTTGGTCATCTATCCGTCATGCTCTGACGTCTATTATTTACACGCGGGCCTTTCTAATACGTGACATTTACGATATTCATAGTATTGAGGATGCGTGCTACCTGTTTACAACCGAGTCCACCATTAAACAGGCGATCTCAGCAACATTTATTGGCCGTGCAATCACAGAGCTCTTTAATTACATCGGACATCTTGGTGCCATGACTGTTAAGAACACTAGTTTCATAAGCAGCAGGTTGGATGAGCCTGTAAGCACAACCAAACAGAAAGCAGGACCTGGAGAAGTTAAGTGCATAACCTGTGTAGACGGTGATAAGGCTGTGGCACGGGAGTATCCAGACTCGCTCGTATTGACAACTAAAGACCTATCATCAGACAATGCCCTCGTAATTCAGTTACGCCTTTGGGCCTCGCAGGTCGGCAGCAAGCTTGTCCATGGCGGACTAGATGTTGGATCAGTTCCATATATACACGACGTGAGAAAGGCCATCTACTATGTGCATTGCAACAAGCTGTGGGGTCGCTTCGATCCCGATGAGCTGTGCTGCATGCTTGTGGTTATGTGGTTCTTTAGTTCTGTCCTGTTTGAGGATTGCCAATTTGTAGACGTTAGCAGGTCTTCCTATAGCACGATCCCTGTCGTGCTAGCAGAGTCAAAGCCGATTGAAAGCCTATCATTCGAAGGAGAGCATGAGCTAGAGCTGTTAGACATAATGATGGTCTTGATCCCTATGAGCGAACGGGGAAGTCCCCACCTACTAAGGGCCGTGAAGCTCCTTCTGGGAGACTTGTATCTGTATCTGGATTGCCCCTCCAGATGCCAAGCGGCTGTTTTCAAGTTCTATGAGATGAGTGCCTAACCGTGTAAGTAATCGCAATACTACTGCATTCTTGATTTAACTGCAAGCTAATAAATTATTTTTTAAGAGATTGTTGTGGGATTATTGATATCAAGATTTATATTAAATTTTTTCATTTTTTAGGCATTTTTCACCAATGCGAATTAAAATGGCCGACCCAGCACCCCAACAGCCCGCTGAACTGTCCAAGAAGGCTCTGAAAAAGGCTGCAAAAGAGGCAGAAAAGCAAGCGAAGAGGGCAGAGAATAAAAGCAAGCAGGCTGGAGTGGACTTTGCAGAGGCGTATATTCCTCCGGTTCTCACAACCGCTCAATTTAGACGCTTGCGGTTTGGAGACGCTCCTCTTCACATGTCACAACCGGAACTATCATCATTCCGCAAGCTGACTGATATAGACAGGCCTCTTACCCATCTTGTTGGCCATAAGGTTTGGGTCCGTGCACGGATTCATACGGTCCGCGCTACTGGAAAGAGCGCGTTCCTAATGCTCCGCGGAAAGATGGCGATTCTTCAGGCATGCTGTTTCGTCCCGGGAAAGTCGGAGGGTTCGGCTGAGAAAGTAGACGAGTACAGAGCAATGATCAAATACATCAACTCTTTGCCCCCTGAATCTGTTGTGGAAGTCTGTGGAGCTCTCTCCTCTGTGGATGCACCAATTAAAACGGCCAGTGCAGAGCATAGGGACTACGAGCTTCAACTTGAAAAGATATACGCTATATCGCGGGCAGCAAGCCAAATGCCTCTACAGGTGGATGACGCTATGCGTCCAGACTCTGTCTATCAAGCACCAGACAGTCAATATGTGCGCCCGGGCAAGGACACCAAGCAAGACTATAGAGTCATTGATCTCCGCACCCCGACCAATCAAGCCATAATGCGCGTGAGGAGCGCAATTGCGCACGAATTCCGATCCTTCCTGGATAAGGCTGGCTTCATTGAAATCAATACCCCCAAGATAGTTGCCGGAACGTCAGAAGGCGGAGCAGCCGTTTTTAACGTTAATTATTTCAACACTAAGGCATGCTTGGCCCAGTCGCCGCAGCTCTACAAGCAGATGTGCATCTCGAGTGGTTTTGGTCGTGTGTATGAAGTTGGGCCTGTCTTTAGAGCTGAACATTCTCACACCCACCGTCACCTTTGTGAGTTCATCGGTCTTGATTTAGAAATGGAGATATACGAGTCGTACACGGAGATCCTTGTCCTGTTAGGGGATCTTATGAAGCACATATTCAAAGCGGTAGAGGCGAGGTGTTCAAAGGAGATGTCCATTGTCCGCACACAATACGACCTGACAGCTCCTGAGCCTCTTGTCTGGGCAGATGAGACTGTAATTGTCACTTTCTGCGATGGGATCAAGATGCTCCAAGAGGCGGGATATGAAGCCTCTCCATTGGATGATCTAAGCACTGAAAATGAGCGGGCACTAGGAAAACTCATCAAGGAGAAGTATAACACAGATTTCTATATTCTTGACAAGTTCCCTCTGAATGCCAGGCCATTCTACACCATGCCCGATCCCCACGACGGCAGGTACTCTAATAGTTATGACATGTTCATTCGTGGCGAAGAGATATGCTCAGGGGCCCAGCGTGTTCACGATCCGGAGCTCTTGGAGAAGCAGTGCAGAGAGCGCAACGTGGATCCAGAGTCTCTGAGGTCATACATAGACGCTTTCAGATACGGATGTGCACCACATGGCGGGGCAGGACTTGGTCTGGAAAGGATCGTTATGCTGATGCTTGGAATTGAAAACTGCCGTCAGACGTGTCTATTCCCAAGGACCCAGGAGAGGCTGACTCCGTGAGGTCCCGTAATGGCGTGGCATCAAGTGCGTGCTATGTGATAGTGAATTGGACTCTTGCTTTTGTTCTGGGTGTTACACACCGAATTCCTCCTTCAACAGGGAGCGTAGTTCTGTGTTTTTGAAACATGTGACAAACGCGGTCAGGGTGATGTCATGAACGGTGGAAGATACCTTACCATTCTGCATGCCACCCACCACGTAAAGACGCCCTGAGTTCACAAATACTACCGGATCACAGTAAGATGGAAAGTCTGGCCTCTCCATCCTATACACGACATTGGTCTTGTGATTGTAAACATATCCACGGAACTCTAGAAGGCCCTTCTGCTGTGCTCTTGGAGTCAGAAGAAGTAGCAATTGATCTGCAAGAACAACAACACCATAGTGGACATGCTCAGGAATGGGGAGCAATTGGACGCGCCACGTTCCTGTGGATACAGAATAGAAAAGACACTTATTGGTTGGAAACTGTCCTGCTACCGCGCACGTGGGAGCAGCGATAAGCCCATTACTGAGTGTAATGAGAGTCATGCTTGATGCAACAAATGGAAGCTTACCTGTTTCGGAGAGTGTTCTCTTAGCGAAGTCCAGCAAGTAGCATTTTCGAACAAAGTCACCTCCGCAGAGGAGGACAATATCTGGACTCACTTCTATTATCGAAAAGCGCCACCTACTGGCTACTGTTGGCCCTCGGAGTTCCTTTAGCTGATTGCTCTCTGGACAGAACGTGAAGAACTCGAGGGGGCGGTCAACCGAAGGTATTGCAAGCAGCAGAGCCGTACCAAAGCGACAGATAGCCGCTGATGACACATCCAGCTCTGTTGCGATGTTGAAACGAAGGTAGCTAACATTTAAGAGACCGTCCCTTGCAACAGTACATGCGATAGAGAGCTCTGAGGTTATTGGCAGACGGTTTGAACAAACAGAGTACACCTTTCCATCTAGGGTGCATGATTTGTGACCACGGATAGCAGAATGAATATTAGCTGTACGCGTAGTAATGATGGACATGGCAATTTATTTCTTTCTATCTTTCTTTCTACCGAGCAACTCTGAGGAGATACTAGAACTTCTAGTGGCTTTTGCATATGCCCGCATCAAGCTGATATCGTATACTAGTTTGCAAGTGCTTTAGGTAGCCTTCGACAGTGCTTCAAACCTCCCACAATTCTAAAAGTTGATTTATCGATAGATGTCTTCTCCTCAGCGCTCATCCATTATACCTCTTCTGAATGTGCATGGAGTTCTGGAAGCATTCTCTGTTCATACGAATCCCTCAAAGAGAGAGATTTTGCTCGATGATGGATGTCATGCTCTAATCATTCACGCCGACGGCTCAGTACGGCTCAGCTCGTCTCTTGCAAGCGCCAATGCCACGATCTATCCCATATCTAACAACATAAACACATTCTTTTCGTTCTCAAGACAGACCGGACTGCTGCGCTATAATGACAAAGACCTTGTACTGACATCATCGGATCCCCTTCTTAACGCGTCGGCAGCACGTCTTTCTCTAAAGATTGTTTCTCAGTACGTGACTCATCAACCCTTTGTGCGATTGCTGCAGGAGAATAGCATAGAGCATCTCCATGTTATTGTTGGGCACACTCACGCCAGTTTGTTTACTGCCATGCTAGCAAAGGAAGATACCAGGATAAAGGCTGTGCACCGCTTTTCAGATTTTGACGAGAGGCTCCTGAAGGTTGTGCCCCTTCTCCACGAGCATCAAGGAAAAACTGATCTTAGGCTCTGGGCTCTATTCGAAACAGGTAAGCTGTGCATATATAACATTGACCTATCTGTGCCAGAGATACTGGACATGGTTGTTATAGACAGATTAAAAGTTGAGGGAATAAAGGACATATATTGCAATCCATATACGCTGGAGATTCTTCTTCGATCCAGGTCAGATGTCCTATATTACTTGCTGCTCAAAGAGCCTTATACTCATGTGGAGCTAACCAAGCTTCACCCTGACGAGCGTGTCATCATGGGTCCGTCGAGGACCCCAGCTGAGACGACGTTCTTCATCATCAGATCCCGTGACAAAGGCCTGCAAACACAAGTCCAGTGGATGGCCCTCTCTCACAGTTCAGCCACGTGTGTCACTGTAGCAGAGACTATCTACCCAAAGGTTCTTCCTCATCTCTACTCTTTAGATCCACAGATATCTATGCATTTCCATGATGCAGCTTGTCTTGCCGTGCATGAGAATGGCGATATTGACCTTCTATTTTCATCATCGCCTCCCATGTCAAATAAAAGCCTATCTTCGAAGATATCTTCACTAACGAAGGAAGTTGCTGGCCTAGAGAGAGAAATAGCAAATATGCAAGCCCGCTTAAAGATGAACAATGCATCTCCAGCGCCATCTCCCCGTCACACGTCGTCGTGGGCGAACACTCCCTTGGCAAGCATTGAGCTGGACGTTAAGAAGCACTTCAATCAGGCGCATAACCTGCAAACAATTACTCTTTCTTTGAAAGCCGTGTGCAGGATGATACTTATTCAAATACCACCATCGCTCAAATTAGCGACTGCAGAAAATGGGCTTTCTACGGAGCTGGGGCTGCTTGTCTTTCTTAACACATCCACCTGTGAGTTTTCATTGGTGCGATCGCAAAAGTATCTGCCCTTTAAGCAGCTAGCTGTCTCGGTAGCTTTTTTCCCCTCTGGCCCTGGCTCTGATTCATTGTTCGAGCCGTCTCCCATCTACCTCAGCAATCTCATCATAGATGGATTCGAGCAGATTATCTCTCCCCCGCCAACAGATGATGACACCGGTGGGCCATACGCTGTTTGTGCAAGCGTTCCATGTACAACAGTGACCAACACCAAAATATACAATACTGCAGATAAGAACACAAGGCTCTACGTAGCCGACGACTTAACGTTGCAGGCACGTCCTGTGCAAGACGGTGAACTACAACTAAGTGGGGATTCACTGCATTTGATAATTCAGGGTATAGCGTCTGCAACTGACCAGCAGTATAGTCCTGCACTTCTGCGAAACACTGACTATTGCAAATCCTTACATCTGGAGGAGACCATTCTGCGATCAATTAGGCTAAAAAGCCTGGCAAGTCTTATGATGTCGATGGACTACTATAGCTATATCTCTCTCGTGAGGGATTTAAGATTGGGGACAGACCCTGCGTTGGCACAATACTCTGATCTTCTGTCGGTGTCATCTAGAGGATTAAATGCTGTACATGTGGCGTTGGTAGGGGCCTCTACAAGAATGGAAGAAAGTGTCGAGCTAGCACTTATATGTGCACGAACAAATAACCTAGTTACGTAAGCCAACCTGAGATGAGGCCTGGACCCAGCAAATTTCTAACTTCTCAAAAAATACGGAACCGGATCATGTCTGACAAGGCCCTCAAACCCCTAGTTGCTCAGATAATACACCGGTCCCATGAAGCAGGCATGAGCGTTGAGCCATTTCTTGCAGATTTTGTTGCGCGCTACATGTTACTTGCATATGCAAGCTTTCCACCCGGTACCTCTGACTTGTCTGGGGGAGAATTTGATAGGATGCTTAATTTATCTGTGTCCCTCATTACGGGGTCGAATGGCCCGCATACAACCCCAGCGGATACCACGTCGCATACTCTTCGGATACTGGCCACACATATTAGCGAATTTACGTCCTATCATGCTCAGCTGGAAGAGAGCCGCTCAAATGTCGTCAAGCAATGTAGAGACACCTTTGAGTTACTTTCTCGTGCAGACCAGGTCGATTCCATCTATGCCCACCTGGAAGCCCTAGTCACCGCTATTCATCAGCCTCTAAATGTTTTCGGCGCAACGTCTGATAGCAAGCTCCTGTCAAATGCCCTCAAGGTTTCCCTCAACTCTGTGCTGCCACACTCAGACGTTCTGGTCTTCAGGGACATGCTACTAAAAGAGAACAGCTTGGACACTAATGGACAACAGAACCACGTGGGAATAAAGCAGCTTGGAGAGCTCGTAGATGTTGTTTCTGGAGTTACAGTAGTCGGAGACCCTCCCCTATCTCAACTACAGGCTTTAGAACACTCCATCTCTACTCTTGTTCGAGCCGTGGATGTACAGTATGCACAAATATGTGGGATTTATACTGGTTCTGTCATACCACTGATGTTATTTGCTATCGACCTAGGCTCATGCGGAGATCCCTCTCTCCAGGCCAAGTGTCGCGAAACGATAATTTACAGTATTAACAGGGTTAGCATTGTAAAAGCCTTTGCTTACTTTGTCAGAGAAGTCCGCGTGCTCTCTCTCATTATTTCGAAGACATCTGAGGATATTCGGCATGGAATAACCGCGTTGCAGAAGTTGCTGAACGAACGCGAGTCGGTGCCGAAGTCACACGTATACCCAAAGTTTTCCCTGATTGCACGCCAGCACAGAGAGATATACTTTGCATGTAACTCTCTGAACCAACTAAAGCACTGGCATACCAAGCTTATGGCATTCATTGACGATTATGGGTTTACAATCTTACCAGAGGTGAGCGCAAAGTACCCGCTTTATACAATGGATGAACTCAATGTCGCCAGGACATGGTATCAAAAGACGTACAGTGTCCTCAGCACATCCACACCCATCTTTCCGGTACTTGAAAAGCTCGATGAGACTACGGTTAATTCCCGTATTCTTCGGTTTAGTATAAACATGTCGTCCAAGATAGGAACTACAGCAAACCCCCTTCCATACATCAAGACCCTTACCAACTTTGGCCCGCTAGATGGTGAAGATCTGTTTGGAATTAATTACCTGTTTGGCGGCATGGACCCTGTTCTTTGTTTTAGTCCCGCAGTTAGTAGGCCAGGTGCACCCTTCCCCGTGGCCCTTCCAGGATATTCTACGTCTCTGAAGAAGGGCAGTGAGGTGCAAACAATGAATACTACAAACCTCAGTCTAGGGAATGACCAAGCGGAGCTGAGTCAGGCGCTGAAAATGACGCCTTCAGATCTCGCCTCACAGATCCTTTCTCTTCCAGAGGGAGACGGCCACGCCTTTGTGGCGTTCTCCTCTGTTCTGACTAGGAGTATTTTCCTGGCGAACCCTATATTGTTCATGGCGTCACTTCTGTCCCTGTCCTTGTCATCTCCAGAGTTTCTACCGCTTATCTTGCTCATGGACTTGTCCCGTGTCTGCACCATTCTCCAGAACGATCTCCTCAATAAAGATAAAGATGCGATCGTGCAGGAGCAGGGCGATTATCAAATCGATCTCCACCCCTGTTTTCACAACGGTGTTACGGACGTCAGTCCACCTGTTAACAATATGGCAAGCATGGTATTGACAGAGAGCAGCGACAAAAAGATGCAGTCAGACTCATGTACATTTCTTCGTGGTGTTCCTGGCTTCGTCCCTTTGGTTAATAAGACAATCATGGTCAAGTACTTGTCTCTTACAGAAGCCCTCACCGCAAATGAGACAACCCACTACGTGCTCAATTCGCCATTCACCATTAAAGATGTCTTGGGTGATACATTTCTAACTGCGTACTCTAGTATGTGTTCTGAGGACGTGTTTGTTCAGTATCGACGGCTGGACTCCATGCTTTCAACCATATCATCAGATGACCTCGTCATAGTTGGAGCTGATGGGACATCCAGGCGTCCGCGGCCAAGTGACGATGCCAAAGGTACCAGGCCTTCTGCTACCAAGTACTCATCAGCGCTACCACAGGAGGCTGCTATACAGACCCCCCTGCACTTCTATGAGCGAAACATTGTCCCGGGGTATACTTCGTCCGAATGGGAATTGCGGGCAAGGGCGTTGAGGCTCTATCAGATCAAGCAGAAGGCAACCCATACTACGCAGACTGCAAAGAGCACCTTTAAGGCTGTAGTTGGAACGGAAACCGTGGAGCACACAGACAAGTCTGCCCAAAGCTCTGTTGACGCGTCGACACACGCCACGACACACTTCAGGTATATAACCAGGCCCGTTTCTAGTGCATTTTGTGATAGCATTGCAGAAAAAGCATCTCTGGCTGCATCAGAAGTCAAGCGGAGTGCCCAAGTTGTGATGGAGCTGAATTTTGACGATATAACTGCCCAGGCGAACAAATACAAGGCGATTCGAAGTGCTTATAAAAGCTAGGGATTCTAACCATGATTGGAGAGATACCAGTGCAGGTCCACCTCGCAGAATAAAATAATTCACATTCTAATCAAAACGTTACACCCATGTCTTTCACTGCCTTCTGCCGCATAATGTCTCGGAGCCGGACCCCGTCGTGGCAGCGAACATCTCTGAGGGTCTGTTTCGGGTCACGTGTTTGAAATTTTCCACCTTCTTTACGCTCACCTAGAGGATTTATCAAATAGCACGGACTATCATATTTCTTAGTGGTCGAATATGAGTAGAAGTTTGGTCTGCGCCGTTCCTGTTCCAATTTCTCATGGACCGCATTGCTTGTTCTTTCAATGAGCACTCCATTGACATAGACGTCTCCAAAATTATGTGCATGATTGTTGGTTCCTATTGCCTTATGTGACTGGACAGAGTATTCTCCTGGGCCGGGAGTTGACCGCCACTCAGTCCAGCACTTTTTAGAAAATGGTGTGCTACAGGTGGGCAGCTGGGGAAGAGGAGCAGGATAGACTGTCCTGGTACGGCTGCTCGTCCGGGCTACCTGCACCTGTGGCTTCGTGGTCTGAGGCAAAGGTACTAGAACTGTTTGTATTATGGGCTGGGAGCCGTCTTCCTTAGAACAAGATGTAGAGCGTACTGTGGTCGTTTCTGTATATCGCATGCACCTTGGACGCATGTTTGAGCCTGCTGTCCGTGCATGTTGTAAATCAGAAGTCGCAATCCTTTGCAAATTGCCTACAGAGTTGCTCCTCGGTGTAAAGAGTGAGGGATCAGAGCAAGCAGCCGGAGCACTCCGCTGGCAAAAGCTCGGCTCTCTTGGTTCCGCGATAGAAAAGGAGCAATCTGATTGAGATTGGTCAGCAGCAGACAAAATTGTTCCCCATGGTGTCCCTGACCGGGGTGTGTGGTGCCCCTGGATGCTGGAGCAGAGCGATTGGTACTGCGAGGCAAGGTTAAGTTTGCTCATTTTAAAGTTCCTTTAAGTTCCCGCAGTTATCATTTCTAATCTTTTAATGCCAAAATATGTGACAAGAACCATTAAATTTTTAAAACTATAAGGAGCAATGTCAACAACTGAAGGCTTCGACCAGGCGCTGACCGTTTTCAATCCAGAGGGGAAGCTATTTCAAGTTGAATATGCTTTTCGGGCCGTCAAGACCTCCGGCCTGTCCCACGTTGCCATTCGCTGTCTCGATGGCGTTGTCCTTGTCTCCCAGCTCCAAAGTGCAGATCGGTTGGTTGACACAGCAAACAACACCTTCATCCACGAGATCAACGAGACTTCTGCGTGCATGATATGCGGACGCATTGCAGACGGTCGTCGCGTTATCGATCGAGTCAGAAGTGAGGCAGTTGACTTTTTCAGAAAGTGGAACTATCAACCAACAGCAGACATTTTGTGCACCCGTCTCGCAGACATTAACCAGATATATACGCAAGAGGCCTGGCAACGCCCCTTCGGAAACATAGCGGTGTTTGCGGGATGGGACCCAGAACAGGACCGATCTTTGCTATTTAAAACAGATCCAGCAGGCACCAACACGGGTTACTTCGCTATAGCAGTTGGTGTAAAGGAGGTTGAGCTCGCTGATGCCCTGACTGTACAAGTCAAGAGCTTTCCAAACGGGATCTGTGAAAGCACACAGAAGGGGCTAGACTGTGCCCTGAAGATCTTTCAGAACGTTATATCGACCGGACTCACGGGGGACGACGTCGAAGTGGCCATTTACACCAAAACCGGCCTCAAGCGCTTGACTCCTATTGAGGTGGATAGACGCCTAGGGGAGCTTGCAGTGCAGACAGAGTAAACAAACAGTACTACCCTTTTGAAACATTCTTCTACGTACAACCAATTTTACCATAGAAGTCTTTCAACCCCGGTATGGCTCTTTAACTTCATCCCGAACACTGAGGACACGCTTTCTTACTCCATCTCGTCCTCCAAGAAGTCATCGTCTCGGTTTTCTTCATCGATCTTTTCATTTAGATGCCCTTCAGGCCTTAGCTCCTGGTTTTCTGGAAGTTCCTCGCTAAGCACGACTCCGGGATCGCTATTGCTGCCTCCTGGGTCGCTGTGCTCTCGAAGTTCCTCAAAGTTCACGCGAGAATCAATCACATGTCCTGCGTTTTCAATACTTTCAACTAGATTTAGATTGTCTACATTGCGAAAACCCTCATTAGTGACTCCACGCGCACCATTCATATCTGCCTCGTTATCGATATCCTCAAGTAGCATATCTTCATCATCTTCTATGCTTTCCATATCCTGCTCTTCTATCTCTCGTATCGGAGCATCGTCCATGTCCACGTGACCCACCTTTAGGGATTCATCTAGATCCTTCCGTTCATCCTGAGGAGTAACGGCCTCCTCCCCAGATTGAGCAATAACGTGACCCAAAATATCTGGGTCATCTCCGTGAAGGTGATGTGCGATCACCGCAACTGTTTCTGGCTCAAAGTTGGGACCCTGGCCATATCTGTCGCTCGAGCCACTATCGTTAATCAAATCATGATCTAAATTCTCTTCATACCCCTCTTCTCCTTCTAAAATAGTACTTTGCTCTGCTAATGCTTGGTTTGGTGCTAATGTTGATGGCAAAACAGTGCCCTGCTCTCCTGCTGGGGATTGACCTACCCCATAGTAGTTCTCATCAAATATCTTCATTGCATCTGTATTTGTATCCACGTATTCTATCACGTAGTTTATACCATCGTTGATAAAAGCCTCCTCAGAAACCAGTGGGATCCCTATTCCAGGAAAGTCACAAAATGTGTCCTCGTCCACATACATTCCACGGTACTTCTTCCGCAAAGGAGAATTGAGGTGAACCAATCGTAAGTTGGTCCGGTCGATGTTTGGATTGAAGAGGTCACTGTCGCTATCGCCAGCGCCGTCAGGTCTATCAGTGCAAATGGGCGACCTGCCTGTATCGGAGTCTTGCCTGGCGTACTTCCCCACGTGGGATAAGTCTTTATATGCAGTGTCAGCAGCTCCAGGCTCTGTAGGGACGCGGCCAACGAGTTGCATCTTCTCTCTGGCTTCATCCACGGAGCTCAGCTGCTTCATGCGTTGTCTGCTCATTTTGATACGGGCAAGCTTTTCACGATGCAAAGGACTGAGTGATCTAAAGTCTATGATTGGCAAGGTGTTAGGCCTATAAACCAAGTCCGCCTCGTCTGAGATGAGCTCTAGTGTCCCTGGATTAAATTCCGGTGTCTCTGCAAACTGAAGAAAGAGAGCAAGAAGGCGCCTGCGGAGCCCTCCGAGACTTGTCTGAGAGCGTCCTCTACTTAGCAGATCGGCTTCCCTATCTATTAGTGAAATGGCTTCTCTGGTTAGGTCACAATCAAACTCCTTTAGGCACCACTTAACTTGTAGAAGCACGTCCAGCCGCTGATCAATCATGGAGCCCTCGAATTTGCTTGCTATGGTCTTTCGATAGTTGCTGATTGACGATGGTGTCACTGTGTATCCTGCGCAAGAGTTGATAGTATCCGCATTCGGCCCAACAAAGCAGGAAGACTCTTCCAGGGCATAATATAGGTCACGCAAAGAAGCAGCTCTGAGACTGTACGGTGTCATCACATCGACAAAACTTCCGTCAGATATTTGCCACTTTCGCGGCTTAGATATTCGGTGGAAAAACTGGCCGACCCTGTCAGAACGGTTTAAGTAATGGGCTTGACGCTTCAGTAGATCGATATTCTGCAAAAGGCGTGTCTCCTTCTCTAGCAGTAGCTCAAAGCTTGCCTGTTTTGCCTCTGGAGGAAGATTTGCTTCCTTGATCGAAAAGGTCTGCTGACGAACCCAAACAGCCACCTCATCGTACAGGAGTTGAAAGTCCTCAGAAGTGCGAGGACAGATGCGACGGTTCAGTTGAAATTGTCGCTCTTTCTCGCGAGTTATGGCAGTTTGATTTTCAAGCTCCTGCTGCTGTTGCTGCACCGTAGCGCGCTCAACACGGATAGAATCTGCCCGGCACATAGCCTTGTACCGTCGCCAACACGCTTGTATAAGAATGATGGCCGCGTCTCTGCGCCGTAGATACTTCTCAGATGTTTCGTAACGGTCGGACCGACCGATCATAGTGTATTCTCCCGGCGTTTTGTCAGAATTTAGTAGGGTGCTTCTCTGTGGCTGAGTGAAGGCCTCTCGCTTGGTTTGTACTATAGCGTTCTTAAACGAATACGTTTGTGTGTCTCTAGTGCACATTTTAGGGGCAGCCAAATGAGATTGACCGGTTGTGGCAGCAACAATCTTGCGCATGGAGTTGAAGAAACGCGTGTAGAGTGTTTGGACTGCTGTGTCGAAGACATCAGGGGAGCCCTCGGTTGCAAAATGCTTGCAGAGTAAGGAGCGTGGAGGAACCTCGATTTGAGACATTGATTAAAATTTTAGATATCTGCTGGAAAAGTTTGCTCCTTAATGCGTGACAATCCTGGTTTACAGAGTGCTTCTTCAAAAAGAGGTAAAAGAAAGGCCAGCCCAGTATCCAAACTACCAAGCCCAAACCCAAACGCACCCACCAAACATCGATCTAAACGGCCCGGATTCTTGTCCAAGCAAATAGCAGGAACTTACGTCCCACAACAAGAAGAGATGGCTCTTTTTAATACGCATATGTACAGCACGCAGACAGATACCATCACCGATCCCCACTCCAACAGCACGGCACTAACAGCAGCATCAACGGCCACTGCCAAAACAGAAAAAAGAGGGCTATCAAGCACCACTCACAAGAGTCTAGAGAGCGTCACCAGCATTATTAGCTCCACTAGCGAGTCCAGTGAATATAGCGCTGCTGATTCTAACGTTGACTGCAAGAATGAAGGCAACGTTTCGCTGGACAACTTGCCGCCTTTCAGAAGCATGTATTGTCGATGGCAATATTTCTACGATCAGCGTCTAAGAGAAATAGCAAAAAGGTACACTGTTCTGCCAGAGAATCACTCAATTTTCAATGAGTTGATCATGAACTGCAAGCTAGAGTACTCGAAATCGTGGAGAGGCCAGATCGCTGCATATGTTTCACTTCTCTACCTCGTCGGGTTTGTCATACTTACAGTTATCTGTTGGTTAATGGGCTTCTATCTCTATCGTAGGTTCATCAAGAGTTTTGAAGCATGCACCATGCTTCCCAACTCCGACTATGTGTTTGACGCCGGCAAGCTTCTTAGCATTAAAAAGCTCCCAAGCCCAGAATACATCTCCATAGTTTATGGTAAGTTTACCGGCTTAGGGTCTGTCGATGTATACCACTGTATCCAGCGCCCTGGGCCAATAACGAACCTTGATGGGACCACGGAGCATCGTTCACTCTCCTATCTACTATCATTTTCCTCCACAGCGACCTCGGTGAACTTTTCCCTTGCAGGCAACGGGATGCCTGCCTCTGTCAATCTTTACGCAAACGCATTGGTAAGCAGACACTTCCCCTTTTCAGAAAAGATTTGCATTCTCCGCACAAACAACTTCGAGGAGCCTATAACTGATGATAGCACGCCAGTCCTTCCAATGAAATTTGAGACGTGCCTCACGCTGCAGTACATATTAGAAAATAGAACGACCGTCGATCTTCGTCCAATCTTCTATTGTGACAACACCATGGGCTGTAATTACAAGATCTATCTACAAACGACTCACAAGTACAGGGACGTGCTCCTAGACCTGTATATAGCTTTGGATTTTGCAGATCTTAACACACGAGATTGCAAGTATATAGGCCTTACATCTACTGACGGCATTTTGCCAAAGCCCGACAACTATCTACTCATAAAGCGTCGCAACGGCTCCAACCTTGTCCGCGATACCATAGCTGTTACGTTTCATTACAGTAACAAGACATTTATCATAGCGATGATTGTGCTTCTGCTTGTAGCAATAGCTGTCCTGGTCCTGTTTGTTTACACCTTGCAAATAGCGCAACAGCGCTTTTATATGCGCACAATCAACAGGGTCCTAAACGAGTACATAACTGATAAGAGGTTCAGAAAGGAGGTTATGGAGGCAAAGTCGAGGCTGTAGTCAATCTCTGCCAACTAATGTTCACAGGCTCTGAATTAACTCTGAAGCAGCATTAAATTTAAATCCCGTAGCACTTCACATGAATATCCCCGTCACACCCGCACAGCACTACAACGATCCCATCCTCCACCCTGCGTGTGCCTATGGCGGTAATTGACCCGTACACAGAATCAAGAACGGCGGTATCTACACGCTTGAGCTCGATGGGGGCGTCTCTATTTTGTGGAAGGTGTGCCTGGAAGATGTAGATGCGTGGATGTGCGTTGATCGCTGCATTCACTGCCGTTACCACGTATCCATCACACGTTGAAATGGCAGTAAAAATGTCACTGTCATTGCATTCTGTGGCTGATATCACTTTTATTGCTCCGGAAGAGTGATCGTCAACTCTGTATGATAAAAGTTTCGTGTCTGGAGTTGTCGTGGAAACTATTACGTGCGTATTAAATATGGGTGCCAAGCCTGTTACCTGTATGCATTGCATACTCTGCGTGGTAAATGTAACGACTGTGGCGTTATTGGATAGCGCCTCTGGATTGATCTTGACAAGACGCATTCCAGATCGGCGATAATTTACGACATCTGCCGGGTCTGGAATGAAGCCTGGCGGCTGTAAATCGTCAGCCTTAATATACCTCTCACGAATAGTGGCAATTATGGTTCCTCCCACGCGTGTCACAAAGCTACAGAGCATTGGCTCGTCGTTCTTGGGACAGAACGGATCTAAAAGTCTGATGGTCTTCGTAATAGCACATTTTTCTCCGTTGAACTCGACAAGTGCAGCAAATCCCGCCCCTACACACACGGCGTGGCCGTCTAGCTCGACTATGGACCACACAGGAGACTTAAAGCTGAGGGACTTCTCGTCTGTCTCTGTCCTGATGAGTGTGCTGTTCATGCTCTCCACGTTTGCATATACACCGAGGGATGCGATTGCAGGCGCTGAGACGCTGTGTACGATGACCTCGGAGGATGTGTTGGAAAGCATCAGGTAGCGATTGGAAATGCACCGCGCCGAGGTCAGAGGGGCTGCCGTCCGATATGTCATAAGCGGCCCAGGCCTAGAAGAGTCGGATTGCTCCTTGGGAACATACCAGACGCGGCACGAGGCGTCGCGAGACGCCGTTATGAAGAAATCCTGAACCCAGGTAACGGCAGAGACCGCGCGCGAGTGCATCTGGAGCGTTCGGAGATGCGTCAGCTGCTTGGATGGAAGCCGCTTTCCAGGAGAGACGCGAAGCTGCGTCGCCGTATCGCTGCTAGCTGAACGTATCTTGGCTTGGTCATCAGGCGGGGCAGGGATAACGTTAGAGTATGCGCTCTTTAGATTACCTAGATTAGCAAGAGTAGTTTGCGTATCGGTGACAAGGGACGTACGGTTCTTTAGTGTCACGCCTTGAGACCCGTGGATTAGCTGTTGCTTAGCGCTTTCCAGTTGTTGGGTGAGGTACGTGACGCGCTCCCTAAGAATGCGGTTTTCTGCTTCAAGTGCAAACAGAGAGGACTCATAGGCCTGCATGTGCCGGGTAATCCCATCAATGCAAAGATGGAAACTTGGAACGGGATCCGGCTGATCTAAACTAATGTCCTGATACTCCATCGACTCTCTTGCACCTTATATTTTTAGATTTTTCCAGATTTTATGCTTTTGTGGCCATCAAATTTCGTTTACTCGCCTCGCAACTAGACATGGTCGGTAAGGGCCGCCTTTAAGATAACAGCCGTCTCAACGATCTTCTTTGCCCGAGTCAGCGCGATCTGGTGGGCGCTAACGTTGCCATTATTAGGGTCTAGGTCTGCAGACGAGGGCGGGCAGAAGATAGAAAAGAGGCCGTAGTAGTTAGTGCCCAGGGAATTAAGGACCCCTAGGGCATCTGGCCCTGCCACATTGCGCTCTACGACTAAGCTAATAGTCGAGTCTAGTTGGTAGCGACACGTACTAGAAATGACGGACCTGTCCTTAAACTGGAAGTTGATGCGGAAGCCCGGGAGGTGGGCCTGGGAGACCGGGGCAGTGCACGTCTCCTCTTTGAGCAGAACCGCACCAAGCTCCTCGTAATCGGCCTCCACATACTCGACAAAGGCATTGTCTACCATCATCAGATGCTTCTTATCATTCTCCGTCAGCTTTATCGGGAAGGTTACCTTAGAGAAGTAGGTCACCCAAAAGGCGGGGTCTACCTCTGCACAAGTTCTAACAAGATCCTCGCGTAAAGAGGCCAACGTCATACGATAGTTACGCTGGGAATGCGCGCACGCCTTCATAGACGCCAAGTAGTAAGCGTTTATCTTTACAGCCACGGATGCGTTGCTGTTTATGACCTCAACGTAGGACTTTAAATCAACAACATCTGAAGCTGCGAAGGTTGCCAACTCGGTAAGACGCGTGGCGAGCACGTCAAAGTCCGGTACCTGACCGCCTGCAACCTGTTTTTGGCGGGCCAGCTGGAAGGAAAGCGACTCCAAGGACGTCGCCAAGAGTGAATTCGAAGGGGCCAGGGCACCGTTCTGGAAGAGGTTCCCGTCATTCTGATTATTCTGAGAGATGTCGTAGACGTCTTCCCGCAGCTGAATGTCAGGTAGGTCCATGACAGCCGAGTGCCTTTTTTGGGAGAAATAACTTTTATGCCGGGATTTTAAATATTTAAAATGTTTTAAATTTTGGATTTTAGGTTTCTTCTATCAGCTTATAGAATCTTGTGTTCCGCAATATGATTTCAAGAATAAGGGTTTTATGTTTTTGCTAACGGCGAAGAGTGTTGGCACGAGAGGTATTGTGCATCCTTTGTCGAGTAACTGGCCAAAGGTGAAGCTAGGATCCGCCTCCACAAAGGTTGCAGACATCGAGCTGAAGCTCTCTATGTGCCCAGATGCCCCTATTATGTCACACCAACCAATTCCGTACAGTAAGATTACTTCACCCGCCTTGTAATTGGTGTCGAACTCTTGGTTTCCACGAGGGGTTCCATAGAGGATGTCTAGGTAGATAGCGAGAGGAGTGGTGTAATCAAATGACTCTATCCTCTCTATAGACCCAAACTCTGGGTAAACCACGTGTAAAACTTTTGCATTGGCGATAGCGTCTGAGAGTGTATTCTTTAGGTTGCAAAAGGGAAGCACTAATCCAACGCGCCCAGCTGTCCTCGGGTCATGCTGCTGGTAATATGCAGCAATAGCAGCATATTCCAGCGCCTTCTTTGTATAGATGTCGCGTGTCTTTTGCAATAATCGCAGTACATCCGCCCTAAAAGACGTATCGTAGGCCCTCTTGTAGTTGTTGACTGCCCTTGCAATATCATCCAGCTCTTCACATATGCGGGCCCGTCGTAGATATGCCTTCCAGCACTCTTTATCACGAGCAAGCGCCAGGGTTGCCGCCTTGTATGCTTCAGAGAGATGTCCGAGTAGGCGTAGAGCCTCTGCCTTGTTGGAGAGTAACGCTGCTGCACGCTCATCGGCCTCTTTCTGCGTAATGACACCATTTTCGATGTCTGAAGTTAAGTCAACCTCCAGAGCTCCATCATAGAATCGCAGTGCCAAATCTAGTTTTTCACGACGTTCCTCGTCCGTCTTTGCTCCCTTTGCTAACTCTATTGCATTGTTTCCCTGAGTCCTGTAGGTGGTCTGAACACAAGCAGGCCCGTCCCCATAGAGAATGTCTTCGACGCCCACCAAAGCGGGACACCGGCGCTTGTCTTCTTCACTGGGCACGTGCTGGATGACGAGGGGGTGGAGAGACCAGGAGTCGGGAACATCGTCGCATACATCTTGAGCCGACATGTTTTTTCTTCGTCACTTAAATCCGTCCCATCTGCCTCCTAGTTGGAGTCGTCTCTCTATTAGAACGGTATCATAATACACATACTGCGAGACCAAAGAGATCTGACTAAGATGAACTTTTGGAGCCCATGTCCGGTCTTGGACGTGCAGACAACAAGCGCAAGGCTTCTAATCAAAAGAAGGTATTTACAAGAATGTCACTCGCGCTTTAAGAGCAGAGCCAGGGCTTCCGCAAACCCTCCTACAGCCCACGCCTGTGAGGTGCACGAGGCATAGCAAAAGCTGCCATCGCCCTGCTGAAGCTCCGGGATTGACTTAAAGCTGCCATTGACGTTAGAGTGGTTATTCAGGAAGGATACCAGGTTAATAAATAACCTCTCAGGCTCATGATACCCAGAAAGGATAGCCGACGTGATTGCGCGGGCATAGACATGAGTCCATGCAGGGCCGTTGTGATACGACATGCCTCCGGCCGTTTCAAATGATGACGAGTCATGAAGATCATAGTAGGCGCGGAAGGCCAGGTCCAGGTGGTGCACTGTTCTCATACCAATCATGTACCAAGGCACCACGTCACGTGGCTTGCCATACTGTCTCTCAGCATGCGTGACCTTGAGATGACGGCGGGCGTGGATGATATAGCGATCCTCCATGACGCCATTATGGAGCTCATGTAAGCCATCCGACACCTCCGTTTTCAAGCTGGTCAGTAGAGACTCGTTGTCCTTCAAGAATGAAAGGCCAATGAAGTAGTTTGGCCTGAAGTATGTATTCTGTGGGTCCACGCGCCTCCACTTCATCTTGCTCTTATCATTCTTACAGTCCTTAAAAGCCTGAAGAAAGTCTGGAGTGATGGTGTCACGAAGCATCCTAGACTTACTCTGCCTGTGAATGGTGCGGATAAGTGCGTCGTTTCCACTGGATATGACAGTACCGGGATTTGTCGAAAGCGTTGCGGTGATCCCATCAGCATCTTCGATGGTCCTGCTGAGCTTGTTCCTCCATTCTTCTATCTCCTCAAACGAGATATGGCCAGTGCATTTAGCAGAAGGCATGAATGCCTTGCCCTTTTTACATATAAAGTCCAAAACACCCAGGCAGCACAGATTAATTTCGATATTGGCACCGTGCCTGCTGCTTCCTGGAACACCACGGTTGACCCAATCACAGGACCCCATCTTGTCCATCCACGTTCCACAGTTGCTTGCATTTCCTCCGGACACGAGACCATAGACATCATCTACAACGATATCAATGTTGAAGCCCTCGTCACGCATGTGCTCATCAATCTGATAACCAGCGTTCCACTCCCTGAAGTGGATACCCTCGTGGTGACGTGAGAGAATCTCTATTACAAGCTCCCTTATTGTAGCTATGTAACGGCTGCAGAGGGCTGTTTCGTTCCCAGAGACAAGGTCCTTCAGTACATAGAACCCATCAGCTAGCTCGTAGTCTTCCTGCCTATCACTGGGGTAGAAGCGTACAACAGCCTGGTCGAGGATGGACTCGTCGCCGGTGTATCGAATGTAGTCTAGAAGCGCAGACAGCATAAACCAGACTGCGTCGCGTGCGTTGTAGCGCGGCCTTCTGCCACTGTCCTGCAGATTTGGTAGCAGCCCGTGGCGCAGGAGCGAGAAGCTTGTGACAATGATCTGCCTCGCTATTGCTTGGCGTGACTTATGGATGGTGCATACCCCAGTCACCGAAAGTGCGATATCACGGCCCCACGAGCGAAACATTCCACGGAAGAAGTGCGGGTATCCAGCGCAGAGAGAGACATTGTTCAGACGAGAATCCTCGTTGTAGAGATCCTCACGAAGCGTATTCAGCAAGCCATCATTGGCAAAGGTGTCCATTTGCTCGAGGAGACTCAGGACAACATTTGCATACTTCAGGTCAACGTTGCTGTGCGAGGGCTCGAAGCCAATAAAGGATAACGACGCCCTGTACATATGGCAAAAGACAAGCTGGAGGTCAGTAAGCTTGGCGACGGTGTTTATTGCGGATGGCGCAATGAAGCCTTCTTTCACTAGAATGGCTGTATTTATGGCTTCGTCGAACACGGCATAGACATGGCGTAGGCATCTAGGTCTCAAGGAGGTTGGAATACGCTTAATCATTCGGACATAGCGGTGGAGAGCCATCAGCACCGAGCTCACAGCTTCTCGAGTCTCATCACTGGTGTCCACATCGTTGGCACAGAATCTCTCGTAGTACTTTTGGTCCCTGTCACATATGTAGTCGAGGAGCCAGTCGCCGTAGCGAATGTTCGCCGCAACTGGGCCAGAAACATCAGAGACATACAAGGAGTCCCGTATTCCATCAAAGCCGCTATAACTGGGAAGGAGATACCCGCGGTCGTTGGCAAACACATATGGCCCCTGCTGCACATAATCGCCCTCGTCTTCACAAACCTGACAAAGGAACCATTTCTGATGGAATGGAGGAATCCTCATAAAGCTATTCTTAAACGTTTGAACACTGGCGTCGGATACGGCGAGGCTCATAATCTCTGAATACTCTCGCGCAGAGTTCTTGCGGAAAATGAGGACGCTGCCCTTGGGGAAGTTGCTGTCATTGAAGCTCAACACAAATCGATTCTCTTCAGAGCTGATCGCGAACGGGACCCTGTCTGGCTGGAGGTCGTCTATTGTCCTGTAGTATCCATCTGGACGATAACACATGTACGGACGCACATAACTTCCGAGAAACTCAATATCAATGACCCCTATCCACTCTGCACAGTTATACTTAAAGGCTGGACGAAGGACAAAGATATATGACTCGCCTGTCGTGGGGTTCATGCGCTCGACAGTCATGAGCTTGTCGTAGTGGCAGTGAGCATAGACTTGTGTATACTTATTCCTTAGCAGCTCAACGTGCAACCTAGACAGGAGAGTGCGTGCATGGATAAGTCCAAGGCCCTTGTTCATCTCAATCCTTCCATCCTTACAAAGCGTATTGTAGTCGCTTGGATTCGTGACCTCAATCTTTTCTGGATACCCTATGCCCATAAGAAACGTTGTGGCCATCCCGCCCCTGCAGTTGCTGCACGCAATAGCTGCCAGAACAAGCAGATTTTCTCGCTGGTGATATGAGACCTCAGCTCCTGGAGGATTGTTATCATGAGTAACATCGAACATCAGTGCAGGAACACAGAGCGAAAAGTTATCCTTAACCTGCCCAACAGGCTCGCCTCCAAAGACAACAGTACCACAAAGCTCACCTATGCTGGTCACGTTGATGAGCTCATGAACAAGGGAGTTTGCTCCCACCTCCTGAAGGAAGCTCGCATCTGCATCAGCGCTGCCTAGGAAGCATTCTAGCATGATGTATATATCTTGATTGACACGGCGAGCTGCCGAGAGAAGATGTCGGAGAAGAGTCTTGTCTGTGGAGTGTGCATTATCTATGCGGATAGAGTTGAAGATGCTAGCACAGCGTTCAATGTAGACAAGAGCAGCGGTCCAAAGGGGCTTATTTCGAGACCCATCAGGGAGATAATACGCCAGCTTTATGCAGTCTCCCCAGGTGATTACGCTACAACGGAGGTAAGCACGGTGTTCGCGCATCGTAAAGTCATAGGCGGCCCCCATAACCCAGCCATTACATGCCATACAGAGTACCTTACCCGACTCCATTTGCTTAAGGGTCTCCGTTGGATTCATCTCGAGACACTTTAGTATGTCATCAGAGGAGAGCTTGTCGTCTAGGTGAGAAAGAACAGGCTGGAAACCATGTAAGAAAATATTGAATCGCGGCCTGTCACTGAAGCAGAGGGCCTGGAACGCCGGCTTCACGTCTACAAACAACCTGTACCAAACGCCTCCACCAATAGCCGAAAGAATTGCTTGGCGATCCTCCCTACTGCGGACGTAGACTCTTTCATTGATAGTTCTACAGATGTCCCTGATAGCCTCTGTGACCTGGTGTAACTTGGCTTGGAGCTCATCTCCCGTCATGGCCTTGCCTTCAGAGTCATCGTCAAGAACGCTTTTAATCTGAGAGATCGCCGTGGACTTGCTGGAAAAGCTATCGGCTATCTTCGAGCTCACAAGACTATCCGTGCAGCTCCCAACCGCAACAGGCTCCCAAAGATTCTTGTTTGCGGTCCCTATGGCCCGGAAAATTCTATCCATGCGTAATGTACTGGCACACCTTTCACGTCCGACAATCGTATACTTTTCATATTGATCTACAACCGTGGAGTAGCAGAATTCTACAAAACTGTGAATCTCGCTCTCTCGGAGATGCCCAATCATGTCCAAAAACGATGACACGACGCTGTCGGTATCAAGGAGCTCGTACTCATAAAGGTGCAGCTGGTCGAAAACGTTGCCGACAAACATCGTGAGGGTGTGACAGAACTCAGATGCCTTCGCGTGATGAATTCCAACTTCACCGCTAGCGCTCTCCCAGTAGCAGCAGCGCAGATTATAGAGAGTGAGGACTCTTCTCTCATGCTCGGAAAGGAGAGATTGAAGATCGTAGTACGCGTCCTTCACGTGTCCAGGAGCATGTATCCCAGTAGCGTCCTTGGATTGTCTGAATGTTCTTATAACTTCCGGTGTCAGAGATGTCTCGTCTCCAAAGACCCCTGTGCCCGAGCCATTCCAACCATTGCGCAGGATGGACGCCTCGATGACTCGAAGATTCATGTCCAGAAGGGCGGCAGGAAGAAGATACGGATAGTCTTCGACATTGAAGCAGTAGCTCGGGTTTGTGCGGATCATCCTCGATGTCGGGGCAACATGGTTGAGCACAACATCATACATTGCCAGAACTCCGTTCTTATTCAACCGTTCCGAGACGAACTCGCGAAGCTTGAGCTCTGTTCCGACGGCCTTGTGCCACTCTGTCCATGAGCTCAGAGAATAGCAGGAGCCAGAGGAGCCGAACCTATTGATAGGTGTGAAGTGGATCATGTTAAAGCCTTTGGAGTCGATCATGTTGCCAAGGATGTCGTTCCACTTGTCAATGGGCCCAAGTGCATGACTGTAAACAGTACACATAGAGATTCCCTCTGTGCTGACAGGAGGATTCACAGTCACAAAGAAAGACTGGTTGTGCTCCGGGGCAATCTGAAAGGCATGCACGGCAATCTCACGGTATCGGAGACGCATCTGATAAAGGCCCGGAGAAAGCTTACCCACCGGTATGTCACAGTTCAAAGCAGTTCCCATGACAGAGAAGTCAAGTTTCAGAGAGAGCTGCTTATTGTGGAGGCACTGTGCTTCCAGATAACGACCCTCACAGAACTCTGCCAAATGCATGAACTCGTAAGGCTGGACCGTCACGCGAAGGATAGCAACAGAGGAGGGATCAATGAAGATGGGCGCATCAGGACTCAGCTTGCGCCCAAAGTCACTTATCACCACTTGCACAGTCGCCATTCTTTTTGTCCTGTAAACTAAAAAATATGTAAAAAGTATATCTACAGTGGAATATTTTGTGGCGCTGTAGATTTACTTATTTTCTTTCTTCAATGTTTCAAGCAAAGAATTTACAAGAGATAGCTGCAAGAAACAAGAATTATTGTTACTTTAATTTTGGCGAAATAATATCTCCAGCAATCCTCGTAAAATCTATTGCTCTCTATTTAATATTCGATGCATCTAAATCTAAAAGGTACCGGAGGCCGGGCTGTGCACTCGTTGGGACCTCATCTGGCGGCAGCGGAAACTTAGTGCGTAGAATTAGTAATTTGGCACGTGGTACGCTGAGTCTGTGGATTATACACAAAACACACAGCGGCCAGAGACAAGGCAGCTCGTCACGCATGTCAGCACCCGTCTCGGGGTCACTCAGTTCAAAGTTGTCCCGGCTCACAGACGATGGGACAAGCTGAAGGAAAAGCTCGTGAAACAAAGCATGGGGGATGACGACGTAAGCTTTCTCTGGGCCTGTGGAGTCGCTAAGCACTGTAACCTCGGTGAGAAGGGTTGTAGTACTTAATATGCGTGTACTCGAACTAGAGGAGTAGATAAGGTGCTGAGACTCCTTGAGTCTTGTGTACCGGTGATGGGGATAGACATGCCCTTTTGTGTGTTGCCATAATAAAGTTACATTAAGAAATTCTATTGTGCAATCTGTTACTTCACCGATATCTTGGAGATACGCAGATGCTAGAGGATCTGGCGTGACTGAATAGCAAATGTCTCTACTGGTAATAGCATAGGGCGGAAGGAGAGCAGCAAGAGGCGGGCCTTCTATGAGAGGGTTATCCTTGCAATCTGTAGCACTATGGACCTTAATCGTTGACAGGGGCTTACTCTCATCAACACGTTTGGGCAGAGGTTCGGGCACATCCGTATTCAGTGTGTTGTCATGCGGACACTCTGAAGCTGTGGCAAACAGCTCTTCAAACGGGTCTCGTATGTACAGGAGAAACTTATTTGGGGCATTAGTGACTGCGATGAAGTCCTGCTGAAAGGTGCTATTTAGGAGCACTAGCACGCACGCATTCCGCCGTGCCAACTGTGCTATCTCTACCGTGACTTCTCTAAGATAGGAGTCGCCATGATATACTTCAGATATAACCACTGGGACGTTTCCGTGGTCAGCGCCGGTGTGTAGTTGAATCGCTCCACTCTTAGAGTCTACTATCTCAGCGTCAATAGGAACAACTGTCTTCTTGTAGATCTCCCCCGCCCGAGCAAGAAGCTCAGATGTAAGAGGCTTAAGATGCATATTTCGGAAGCAGCCGTTATATATCTCCTGACCCAGGATAGTTGTCTGACCTGCACTACTGTGGCACGCGCGCACAAACCCGAGTTGGCTGAAGAGCCTTGTTGCTTCTCGATGCTTGCTGAGAGACCAGTCACGTGGCAGATCTTCCCTCAGGTTCCACACTTGCGATTGAGGCCTGATCATTAACTTGGGAAACTGTGGGACCTTCATGCTAAAGAAGACGTCGCTGAGAAGAAGCATATACCCCGGCAGAATGAGCTTCGGAACCCCACGTGAAGATGTGTCTCCCGAATGTTTACTATCTAATGCAGGATACATGTAAAGAGCCTCGTAAAAGCTGAGCTTAGCCGTGGGGGTTACATCAGATTTTCCAGGCAAGTTGAGGTCGCTAATCACAAGATTCTGCTTGTCTCTGGTTGATAGAAGGGTAGACCCTACAACAAGGACACAGACACTGAACGCGCAGTCATAGCGAGAGCTCGCCTTCTGTCTCTGTCGATGTTGCAAGCTGTCCCACGGAGTAACCTCTTCTGCCAGGGTCGCCTGCACAAGGTCTTGAAGACGGAGGCTCTCCTCATCTGATGTTAATATGTACACATCATCTAAGCCTTCGCCAGTGGCTTCATTGCACTCCAAGATGTCACGGCTCCGCTCTGTGAAGTGGACCCCCTGCAAGGTGGGGAGATAACGCAGAAGAGCAAGGGCAGCGACCCCCCTCGTTTCAGGGATAGACGGCCCGGTGAGGGTAAGTACACCCTCTTGTGTGTAGAAAAGACGGACCTTACTAGAGCTACCACTAGTCATGCCCAATTTAAAAACGATCAATACTGTGGATTTGTGCAATTTTGCTAGGCCTGGAAGCCTTTGGGCTTGACCAGGTCATCTTTGACATGTCTGGCGTGATCTTTTCCGTGCCCTCTTACGTGGAGTGCTGGTACCCTGCTCGAGTTGTCAACGTGAATCCCCTCAGAGGCACCATATGCATTTTAGCTCAAGCAACTGGAGAGCAAGAATGCAATATCCTCAATATCGGGTGCTTTGCAGAGCTCAATATATCGAGCAACTTCAACTCTTTTTTCAGAGTCTTTCCTGTGTTTAATTATAGCGGCTATGAAGATCCTGCCGAGATCTGCTTCAGCTGCTTTACGAACATGCCAAACAATAAGCTTAATGCAATAGACCAATGCGTCCATTCGCTCAGTAGCTTAGAGGTCCTGTCTGTGGCAATATATAATCTAAACATCTACACGTGGATACCAATAGGGCCCGTTACCATCAACACCTTGGACTTTAGCAACTGCTATGAAAATAATGTTGTGACGGTCACATATGACTACCTGACATCTGCCTTAACCATCCATGGAAAGCCTACCTACATGTGTTCGGCACTGACACGCGCGCAGTTACTAAAGATCGCCCTTTACATGGAAGTCAACTCCACTGCACAGTTTCTATTCACCAACTTTGACCTTGCTCAGTTTTCGTTCAACATGCCGGAAATCCAAAGCATCTGCATCTTTCCCTGCAGAGAAGCCATCTTTGCTGTTACTAGGAGGGCAGGGATTGATGGAGTATTTACGTTAGATTTCAAGAACTCCATTTACGGCGGTGCCATGATATTCCCTGTCCAGAAAGTGTTCAGCGACCGCGGGCACGCGTGCTTCATCAACTTCTTGACCACCATAGCCCCATATTATATTGGCACAAGCATTGAGCTGCTCCAGACAGAAGACTGTTCCAATATTAGGGTGCCAGACGATCAGCTAGTGGAAATTCAAGTCGTGATCTTCAACAAAAACTATTCGTCAACTATTCCAATCTTCCAGTGGACGTCCTATCAAGAATTCAAGCTCCTCACACAACTGAGTTTTATATACACAATTTGCCACGATGCACCCAGATTCACTTTAATATGCAACATACTTACGCAGCTGATCTCTTCCAATAACATCATAACGTCTGAGGTCATACTGACATTCCCCAATTACACCACGGGGGGTACCAGAGAAGACCTTGTCCTTCGCTATCCCGTGCCCAACACCAAACTGGGCGCCTGGGGTTTCATCAACGCCTATGTGGCCAGCGACCACATCTCCTTCGTCTCTCAGAAGCTCTTACAGCTACCAGTGGATTCTAATGCAGAGGATACATCCATGAGTGAAGCGATACTATTAGTGAACGTGTATCTGCAAAGTAAGAGCTTGAACAATCTGACTAGAATAATAAGTTTAAAGGTTCCTGTTACAGATTTATCACCTTCCAATTTTAAATTCTATTGCTCAGATCCCACAAATTTCCTAGCCTCCGCGTGCATAGAGTGGCTGGCGCGCTTGCGAAAGGATGAGGGATCGTACACAATGCTACTCACCTTCACTCCAGACTACGACAATGATATAGATTCAATTTACCTAGTAACGCTCATCTCAGTCAGTCCCGTCCTGAACGATCTTTTGTGGCAGCTCCTTTTGCTGGGTCTGGCCGTCTGTGTCTGCATAACCGTAGAACTGGTGTTGTTATTGTGCTGCGAGAAAGATAAAGAGAAGACAGACCCCAATGGTGCGCGAAACCGGTGAGTCACAACGAGTCACAGCTGGCCACAGCATATTGTAATGGTCTTGTGGAAAAATAATTGTACTGGGTTTTTCATTTTTCTTTTATTTCATCTGTCATTTACTTTGTGGATGGCTCTCATCGACTCCAACCCGATTCCTAACGTCACCTTGGAGGCCCCCCTGTACACCTGTGGGCAAACTACCCCTCCGACACTCCCGGTTCATGACTTTTTCGGGGAGAAACCATACCCAGTGGGACGCCTCCTTTGGTCTGCCGATCCCCAGTCGTCAGACTTTGTACCGGCTGATAACGAGCACATACGCAAGTGCATGCGTAGGGCTGCCGAGATACACCGCCAAGTTCGTACCTATGCTAGGTCTGTTCTCAAGGTAGGAGTCAGCATGTACGCCGCAGCGGAGGACATAGAGAGCCGCATTCGCCTCTTGTGCGGCCATTCTGAGGACGAGTTCTGCACGTATAAGCCAGATGACAATGCCTGGTGTGCTCAGGCCTTTCCGCTTGGTCTGTCATACAACCACTGTGCTGCCCACTATACTCCCATCAAGCACGATGACCATATCATCGCTGAGAAGGATGTTATCAAAGTTGACTTTGGGATTCACTGCGATGGGTATATTATCGATTCTGCCTTCACTATTCACTTTGATCCTATGTTCGACCCCCTGGCGCAGGCCAGCTTGGAGGCTACAACAGAGGCAATTAAGCTTGCAGGTCCCGATGTCCTCATATCTGAATTAGGAAATAAGATAGAAGAGATCATCTGCTCGTACGAGATGGATTACAAGAACCAGAACGCACCTATTAAGCTTCAACCGGTCCGCAACCTGTCTGGACACATGGTTGGAAAGTATAAGATACATTCAGGCAAATCTATACCAAACTGCAGAGGAAAGGGAAAAGAGTATGGCCGCATGCTTGAAGGGGAGACATTTGCATGTGAAACGTTTGCATCCACGGGCCGCGGGATGATCAGCGATGAGTACCCTGTTTCTCACTACATGGTCTCGTCGAAGTCCATGTCACTCCAGCCGGCCTTCATCAAGGGGCCCGAGATGTCCAAGAAGCTTTTCACTAAGCTGCGCACCATGTTTGGCACCTTGGCATGGAGTCCCAGGACTCTTGAGTCCATGGGAGAGAAGAACTTCCAACTTGCTCTCGACACGCTCGTCAAGAACGGGGTTGTCAACGCGTATCCCAAACTCAGTGACAAGTCGGGCTGCCACACGTCTCAGTTTGAACATACTTTTATGGTGGGCAGTTGGGGAACGGAGGTCTTCAGCGCAGGCGATGACTACTGATTGACTCCCATGTGGGTACCTATCCTCTTGTAAATAGCCACATAAAGTCAGGAGCTCTTTATCCGTTTGCATAGTTCACTCGTTTGCTTCGACCGTTCTACGAGTTGACCTTCCAATACTGGAAAGCCGGTGTCTCGTAGGGGTGAGCTTTTCGCAAGGCCTCTATCACAGAGTCTATACAACCGTCAGCGACGATCATCTCTAGCTTATCTTCGGCACAGACACATACGTTACCCAAGCTACCCTTGGCTGGATTGGAGCCTGGAAGCGGCCTAAACTGGCCAACACCTTTTGTTGTATAACAACAGCAGTCATAGTTGCCTATTTTCCCTGCCCCCGCTGCAAAAAGAGCCTCTTTAACAGTCTCCACAGCTTCCTCTGGCACGTAAACATCCAGACGATACGGCATAAAAATGTCCAAGTTTTTGACGGTCAAATGCATGAACCCGCATCTCTCGGAGGCGGCGGCAGTTCATAGAGATTACATTTACCGACCCCAGTCACCGGCCAGGCGGCCGCACACCCACAGCTCAAATCTCAATGCTCGCGAGAGATACACAGAGAGCAAAGCCCTTACGGCGTCTGCAACGACCCCAGCCAACGAGCTGGAGCAAAGTGCAAGCATGGAGGCCACAGGAGTGAGCAAGACCTTCATAAAGAACCTAGTACGAGAGGTTCTTGATGAGATGGGAATTAACAGTTTCATTGAAACACAGGAGACACGGCACTTGGAGACTCAGCGGCAGTTTCGCCAGCTCACACAGACCCTAGCAAAGGTGCGGGACGTTCTGGAAGCGAACAGCGATGACATCTTAAACCTTCAGGAACAGATAGATGACACACGACACACCTTAGAGGCGTTTAGGGACGAGGCCAAAAGTACAATGGAGTCTCTTGCATGTGATTCTAATGACAGAAAAGCTGGTGGCGACGCCTCGTGTCTCCTCGCGATCCAGAAGGAACTTGCAGACATTCGATTTGAACTTAGTACAATAAAGACGGTGTCGAAGTTCTTCTAAGATGTAGTATCCACTGGTAGTAAATCCGGCTCTGTGCATGTTGTGGTGGGCATTAGCGAGATAAAAATTCAAAGTTTAAAGAAATTATGGCCTCAAGTGAGATGCTCGATGTGCCCCTATTCATGGCCAACCGTGTTTTAGATAACATATTTGTGGGTGGATGCTATGCAGCGGAGGACCGAGACTTTGTATTTACTAATTCAGTGACGCGAGTGATTAATTGCTGTAGCCACACCTTTACAAATTGCTTTCAGGGTGTGGGGATTAGATATCTTTCATATCAATTTGACGAGGACGGGAATAGCACCATGTTTGATTCTAGGGATGAGACGATTACGCAGGTCGTTCGTTTTGTCAACGAGGCGGTCGAAAAAGACGAGTGTGTTTTGATCCACTCTGTCAACGGTGATTCGCGGTCTGTTGTTTTATTGGCGGGATACTTAGTACACAGGTTCCATTGGCCGCCTCACAGAGCCCTTCAGTTCATCACTACAAAAAGGTTCAGCTCCAAGCCTCATCAGAATTATGTACGTCAGCTTCACGAATTTGCAAATCGCCGGCGCACAAAATACGGAGAGTTCAAGGATATTTTTGGAAGCACCAGAGGACTTAAGCTTAACCACCAGGAAATCTTGCATCGGAATACTTTTCTCAACGCAGTCATGGCACAACCCAATCCAGAAGAGTTAGTGAGGCAGAAGGGAATCCATGCTATCCTCTCTGACTGCCAGATTCATGTAGAAGTCCCTCCGGCTCCAGAGAAGCACATAACCTGGCGGGACGGCCTAGTGACGGCTCAGATACCATCCACATATGCTAACTTTGATGCCAATGGGCGTCCAGTAGGCTCACAATCGTCATTGATTTTCAGACCCCGGACCCCCTCCTATCGCTCGGGGCAACAGGTGAGATGTATTCCCGTGCGGATGGATCCATCGCTGCTTCCTGCGATTAGTTTTGACCTGGATCTCCCTCTGCACAAACGCCGATCAGACGGGTACCTAGCGCCGGTTACAAGTTCCCTCGAGGGCTATGCTGTTGTTGCAAAGCCTGTTAGTATTCTTGCCAAGGTCGGCACAGCGACACGGAGCGCCTATGATGCGTCGTCCATATATGTGCCCCGTGATGAGTTTGAGGCCATCCTCGTGGCTCCACGTGGCGAAGATGTCCGCAACGAGTCCATCTCTGAAAGGAGCGATATCTCTCGGCAGAGTGACCGGCCAACGTCTGCACGCAGGCCACAAAGCACAATGGGGATGCCACCTGTTCACATTTCCCAGATGTCGGCGACACAAAAGAGCCAAGGGATTGGTGGCATGCGCAGTGCCAATCCAAGTTATGGAAAGGCACTTGGGTCTAACTATGAAAATCAGAAAGTGGGAAGGCAGAATGCAGCACCCCTTCTTGCAAATGTAGCCCTTACGAAGATGGGTCAAGCAGGTCAGGGCGCCTACAATCGTACGTCTAGCGATCCTACTGTCAGGTCTGGCAGTTTGACAAAGCTCCGGCCACCGACACCGCCTCGGAAGCTGGAAGAGTTGGCTGCAGAAGCTGCCGCTGCTGCTGCGCAACAGGCAGGAGAGCAGTCTGCGGCACATACGGCCCAGCAGGCGTATGGTCATACCCAACCGCATATGTATTCACAGCAGCAGACCCCACAGATGTCCCAGGCACAACAACAGGCACACACATCAGCTAGGATGTCTCAATCGAATCGCATGAGCTCAAGCTACTCATCAGGCTCCTCTCCAGGAATGTCCCGAAGTGCCCAGCCTCGTGGGAGCATGTCTTCCAGGGGCTCTGACTATGTACAGTCTCGAACGCCCACGCAGCAAGGATCTGTAGGGACTCGACCGGTCTCGGGGCCTTCTAGATATGCCCCCGCCGCCAGCCCGATGACAAATCGAGGTAGCTTTTCTGGTCAGTCGGGGCCTCGTACGCCTACGCTCAGCAATCGTCCCCACGGCTCCCAGTCGCCATCCTCCGCATATAGGCCAATTAGCGCCGGGAGGCCTGCACAGCAGGGTTTCTCAGGAACACAAAGCGGCCGCTATAGCTTCGGAGGCTATTAACTTATCTCCTGTGTATGTGTAAATAAGGCTTTTCGGGCCCGTCATCGTCAGTGCATGATTCCGAAAAAGGAAATTGATTCTGATGCGTCAAAATTATTCAACAAAGTATAAGAAAATGGGCAAGCTTTCCTTCTTGACAAACCCTGCTTCTGTTGCGGTCATCGGCGCCTCCCCCAACGCCGGGAAAGTCGGGAACACGGTCGTGACAAACATAAAGGAGTCCGGCTACACTGGGAAGGTCTATCCCATAAATCCGACGGCCACTGAGATCCTGGGGTACAAGACTTATAAGAGCGTGCTTGATGTCCCTGACAGCATCGACGTCGTCATTGTCGTTATCCCCTCAAAGGCCGTCCTTGCTGCGGCAAAGGAGTGTGCTCAGAAGAAGGTTAAGAGCCTCGTCGTCATCACCGCTGGCTTCAAGGAGATTGGCGGCGAAGGTGTGCAGATGGAGCAAGACCTCACCAAGATTTGCAAGGACGCTGGGATTCGTCTCGTCGGACCTAATTGCCTCGGTATTGTTACCCCGAACCTGAACTGCACCTTCGCTTCTGCCAAGCCGTCCAAGGGCAGCATCGCTTTTCTCTCTCAGTCCGGTGCCATGCTCACTTCCATCCTTGATTGGGCTCTGACCAATGGAATCGGCTTCTCCAACTTCATCAGCCTTGGAAACAAGGCTGACGTGGATGAAGTCGACCTCATCATGGAGGTCGCGGAGGACCCGAACACCGATATCATCCTCCTTTACCTTGAGTCCATCGTCGATGGCAGGAAGTTCCTTGAGCAGATCCCCACCTGCGTCCACAAGAAGCCTGTCATCATCTTGAAGTCCGGGACATCGGCTGCCGGTGCCGCTGCCGCCTCATCCCACACGGGGGCCCTGGCTGGGAACGATATCGCATTCGACCTTGCCTTCGAGAAGGCTGGCGTCCTGCGTGCGGCAACCATGTCTGACCTTTTTGACCTTGGCCGTCTCTTCGTCTCCCACCGCCTTCCGAAGGGTGACAACTTTGTCATTGTCACAAATGCGGGTGGCCCTGGAATCGTCACGACTGATGCCTTCGAGACTTACCACGTTGGGATGGCAGCGCTTTCCGACAAGACAAAGGAGGCGCTTGCCAAGGTCCTTCCCGGCGAAGCTTCTGTGAAGAACCCTGTCGACATTGTTGGCGACGCACCGCCTAAACGCTACGAAGATGCGCTTGAGATCTGCTTCAAGGAGCCCCCAGAGACCGTCGCCGGCGCCGTCATCCTCGTCACTCCTCAGGGGCAGACCAAGCCTTGCGAGGTTGCCGAGCTATGCACAAGGATGTACGCCAAGTATCCTGACAGGCTGGTCGTCAGCGCCTTCATGGGCGGTCTCACGATGCAGGAGCCATCGAAGATTCTGAATAATGCCAAGATGCCTGTCTTCCCGTTCCCTGAGCCTGCAATCCACGCGACTGGGGCCGTGCTCAAGTACAGGAAGATCAAGAATCGTAAGACCCTTGCTGAAAAGAAGGTTGAAGTCTTTAAGGTGGACAACGAGCGCATCAAGAAGATCATCGCTGGCGCCCGCGCTGATGGCCGCACGGTCCTGCTCTCCCACGAGACGTCTGAGATCTTCACCCTCTATGGCGTGAATGCGCCCAAAACGAAGCTGGCAACCAACGAGGCAGAGGCTGCGACGTTCGCCAAGGAGGTCACGTTCCCTGTCGTTATGAAGATTGTCTCTCCCCAGATCATCCACAAGAGTGACTGCGGCGGTGTGAAGCTCAACATAAAGACAGAGGCCGAGGCGACAGCCGCGTTCAAGGAGATCATGGCCAATGCCGCGAAGAACGGACCCAAGGGTGCGGTTCTTAAGGGCGTCGAGATCCAGCAGATGGTCGACTTCTCCAAGTACCAAAAGACAACTGAGATGATTGTTGGTGTCAACCGCGATCCCACATGGGGCCCCATGATCATGGTTGGCCAGGGTGGCATCTATGCTAATTACATCAAGGACGTCGCGTTCGATTTGGCCTACAAGTATGACAGAGAGGACGCAGAGGCGCAACTCAAGAAGACGAAGATCTACGAGATCCTCAACGGTGTGCGTGGCCAGCCTCGAAGCGACATCAAGGGGCTTCTTGATACGATGGTCAAGCTTGCCCAGCTGGTCAACGACTTCTCTGAGATCACAGAACTGGACATGAACCCGCTTCTTGTCTTCGAGGAGCAGAAGGAGGGGAAGAACCCAGGCATTGCAGCTGTTGACGTCAAGATCACGCTCTCGCACTAAACGGGAAGTAAACTAGCGGCCAGTGAGGTTGTTGTCGAATTGTAGCTCGTAGTTCCTCTGACACTTTCAAAAACTAATGGACTGTCTTGTTGCCGCTGTTCTTAGATTCCACAGTGAGCTGTTGAAGGGCTTAGAGACAGAGGACATAGACAAGTCCAGCAATAGTCAACAACTGAAGCCCCTGATTCTGACCACTATATTGAGCTCTTCTCAGGAGGTGCACAAAACCCTTTTGAAGACTTCACTCCTATTAGACAATGCGTACGTTCACGATGCGCGCCAGTTCCTAGGTCAAACGCCGCTAAGGGCGCTCCTTGATTGTACACTCAGTGAAAGCCAGGTGTATCCAGCAAAACAAAATCTCTCAGCCCTTCGTCTACCGCTTGTCTACATGCTTACAGCTACCCTCTATAATATTTACCAGTGTGACGAAGCGCTCCAACCTGAGTCTTCATCCTTATTTACTGCTTTCTTGTATCAGGATGCTGGGCCTCGCCACATGCTCTTGACCCTTTTGAACCGCATGATTGCTTTGCTTTTCTTCATCAGGCTCAATCCCAATAGCCACCTAGCAACAGTATGCTTTGGCATCTTGAGAAAAAGTCTGCGAGTCGCAGTCTCCGGTCAGAATGTGGATGTACTTTTACCTAGCGACGGGAAGCTTGTTATGGATACCACGGACCAAATTGGCCTTATCGACCTAGCGCTTTACAGCAAGGAAGGTCTTAGATTTTTGTTTTCGCTCGCTTCACTATTAGAAGATGTGCATCACTATGCTCTCATCACACAAATGAGAGAGAAAACTCAGATCTCACCAAAGTTTCTATTTTCTAGAAGGTTACGTGTTATATCTCACATTTGCAAGACATCTGCCAGCAGGCCACACGTATGCACCGCATATCTGCAGCCTGTCGACCTCCTCACACTTCAGAGCACAGCTATTGACGCTATCTTTACAATGCTGAACTGTGTAGAAGAATATGAAACATTTATATGGGCATTAAAGAGCTCCTTATCGTGCTTAAGAGAGATTGTTTTCTCAAGGGTTTCGCCCGTACACATAAGCAGAACCTCTGGGTCTCTACGTACCATGTATCGGTCTACAGGCTTTTTATATGCGTTAGAAAAGCTTGATGTGTTGCTTTCCAAGGATGGTACGGGACTTCATGAAATATCTCTTGCTCTCGCGTTCTATGTGGATTGTATCCAGCGCCTTGCTAGCCTTCGGTGCAATCTGATTGCCCATCAAGCCTCTTCTTCCAAAGGAGGAAAGCTCGTTGTGAAAAGTGATCTGACTAGTCGCTTACTTAGTGATAAGCTAGAGAATGTCCTGCTTAGCATACTAACTAAGTACTTCAGCATAACGGTTTCACTAGATACTCTAGACTCAGATTTTCTTGTATGTACTCTTATTAAAATCTTTCAGTTGGCGCCGGTGCGGATGGATGCCGTTTTCAATCTATTTCTAGGTTTAATTAAGACCAACATTAAGCGGCATATGGCGGCAAACGTTGATGCTGCGTTTCTCCTCCATCTTATGTTGATTCTCTACAGAGTGTGTCTTGCTATCGGAGCCCCTACGGGATCCACGTGGCTTGACCAAGCTGAGGCCCATTGCATTACTATGATTACTTACGTAGCGCTACCCTTTATTTATAAAGAATGCGTCCCGTTTTTACAATCTCTGCATACTACACTTTCTCCAGAGGATGTTCCCATCTTTCAAGAGGCACTCCTTGGACTTCTAGAAGTGTCCCCGACCGTGTATAGATCTATCACTAGAGAATTGATCGACCCCTCAACGCCAGGGAGCTCGCTGCACACTACTTGCAAGACTATATATAACGAGTGCTTTACTGCGCCGAATGAGACAGCCTCACTGACAACAGCTAAATTTCTTGACAGTTTTCTGTCTGTCTCATGGGTATATAAAGGCTACTCATCCATGCTTCAGCAGCAAATGTTCAAACTCCTGTGCGATAATCTGATTACCTTCTTAGAATTCGCCTATGTCTCAACATTGTGCATCAGCGAACCTCCCTCCGGTAATGTCTTTCTTGACGTTTACTCTCGTGTCGTTCGTGAGGTTATCGCGTATGGGGGGCCATGTCTGGAAATCGTTCTACTTTGCATGCTCTTCCAACACATTACACTCGGCCATTTTAATAAGAAGGAGCATCAACTAGTTACCTTTTGGAAGGCATCTACCTCGGTTGAGTTGATTCATCTTTTCGACTATGTCTTGGTTGAATTTGAGAAGTTGTCAATATCACCCCAGAATGTGCTTATACTCATGTTTATTCTTATTGGGGAAATGCTCAACTTGTCTGCATTATTAGAGGAGACAATCCACGAAGCTCAACCTGAGCAGTACGTTCGAGGGTATGACTTTGATCTAAGAACGCTACTAAGGAAGATCATGACGCTTGTACTTAGCGACAAGAGTGCCCGGCTTGACCTCATTCACCAGTGCCTTATCTTTCTATGTGCTTCATCTATGTCCTGCTATATCATCTCTGGCTCTTTGTTTCAAGGCATTCCGTCCTTTCTGTCTGTTGGTGGCAATAAGCGTTCGCTCCGGGGCAGACTCCAGTCTATTAGAGACTCTTCACACAGTTATCAGGCAGGAAAATGGAGTAAGCTTGTGTCTCGTGACTTCACAGTATTTCAATCTGCTTTGTATGACTTGGTGCTCCACGATCCTGCAGCAGGCCATGACGATATTTCTATTCGTCTCCTGTTCTTGTCAACCCCGTCGCTAACACTTTGGAAAGCCTCTTCTCATCGTTCACTACGGTGCATAGCTGCGTCCTTAGAATATTTGCATGAACTTACGACAGGTGGTAAAGCTTACTTTTCTCGTCTGGCCCTCAACCTGTTTATACGTTCATGCATTCTCAGCGGGGAGCAACACACACTTCGCATCATTGCAGACTTTACTGCGAAAGTCAATATCTTCCCCGCATTCTTCTCTGCTGCCGATGAGGATTCGCCTCTAGATGTGCGTCTGCTCTCTCTGCTGCTAAAGCAGTCTAGTTCCCTTATTCTCCACAATGCCGTTGCTCGATATTTACTGAAGCAATTGGGCAGCGAGCTCCCCTGTTACTATCTGCTAACGGAGCGGCAAGAGGCTTCTGCTGATGAAGACGGAATGCTGCGCTTTCTCTCCTACTTTAATGTGCTATTTCAAATTCAGGTACATCCATTGTTGGAGCCGAGTCCTGATCAGGTGACTCAAACCTTACAAGCAGAAGCAATTGTTCCAGGGAACTTTTTAATATTGCGCTCGGGGAGCTCTCCACTTAAAAGGGCACGCAAAACAGTCTCGCTGAGTTCGATAAATGCTACAATCTTTACTTATTGCCACGTGAAAAATAGCTATACGATGACTCTTACGTTGACTATTCACAAGGGAGCAGGTGACACAACTAGGCCGCAACCAGAGGCAATAACCTTGACCATTTGGATACAGGATGGATCAGTTTTCTTTTCTACAAGTCTAAGCACGTCGTCTAGCAAGTATATTGTTCCATTGGATGAAAGAGCTGAGTGGATATACATTGAGGCAACGTTTTCGCCTGAAAACCTTGTTTTATTGTGTTACACAATTCTCAGCAAAGGGGATTCTTTTATCACATCTATCCCTCTGGACATTGATACTTCAAGCTCACTGCTAGAAGCACGCCTGGACATAGACGCGGCAATAAGGCTTCTATATCTTAGCGATGACGCCTTTTGCGCCGTCAATAGTGTTGCAGTCTCATATCCGACAAGGATCTACCCTGTTGCCATTTACACTCAGCAACAAAACGACCGACAACACTTCCAACGTTTTCAAGCACCAACATTTACATGGGCTTACGCAGAGACCATTGGCTATTCGTTTATAATGTATGATGATACCGCAGATGGTGAGCTAGTCAGAGCCATCATGCCACAGGATGTCTGGAATTACGACATAAGTGGGTTGTTCCAGATACTCTCCCTTCTCTTCCTTGGAGAGAATGGGTGCAGTGGGAAGACGCCTCGCTACAAGCAAGAGTTCGAACCGGCTCTTCTTCTGAAGCTTCTTCATATGTTGCAGGACGCAGAGGTAGAAGAGATATTTAGTCGTGCCTGTGGGTATAAGCTTCTCATCGCCTACTTCTCCATACTGCACTGGCCCCTACGGATGCAAGCTCTTCATGTGGTTGTTGTATTTACAAGGCTTCTGTTTGAATTCATTATCAGCTCTCAGCGTGAGTCACATCCACACCTACTTCTTTTGTTGACGAAACTTTATCACGAGCTTATCATTGTTCCAGTTGCGCTCTACTTTCCTGATGCAAGTCCATCTAAAGAAGTGACTGAATTGCAGAGCTGGCAATGGACGGTAGCAGAGCAGTCCTTCTACGTGAAACTTTGCCAGTTACACCACATGGTTTTCTCGGAGGGGTACTATCTCCTTCGCGGTGTTGGCGAAAGAACAGCACCCGTCTGCTTTATCATGTATCAATTACTTCTTTTCTGTCGTGTATCAGATGAGATTGCCAACTGTATTGGCGCCACCTCGTACGGCAGGCCAATGGAGCAGTTTGTAGCTCTTTTGCGGAGGTATTCACAGGACAATGATACGCACACAATTATGTTAGTGCAGCTTCTTAAATGCATGTCTCTGCCCTTTCCAGTCACGACATCGTTCTCAAATAAGGACTTGATTGCACTAATTTATGACCTGTACACAAACGCTGTAAGGGAGGAGGCGTATTCTATTATCAAAGCTGTCCCTGTTGTGGCAGATCTTTATTTTTACGAAAAGATGCTTCTGTTGCCCGTTATTTTATCAATAGACGACGTCGCTGTCTCCTCTACCCTAACGAGACTGATATGGAAAGACTGGGCACCAAGGAAGGAGGCAATTCCTGAGCTTCTTATTGGCATCGAGCAGCTTTTGGAAAGCACAGATTTTTCAGTGTCAGAAGAACCAATTCTTAAGACATTTACTACACTATACGGCATCACAGACTTCTTCGCATTTCTTCTTTTCAATTTGCTTGTCAAGGGGCAGTATGATCGTTTTGAGAAAATGCTAGTGACTTATGCAGTGCTACCACTTGTTGCAGATGAGTCAGTGTCTTGCCCTAGTTCTCTAGCTTCGTTGAGACATGTTCTCGGGCTCTCCGATGAATTATTATATACAGAATACATTCACATGACAACAGGACTCGTTTCTCTAGCTGCATTGGCGCTATTTTCCCAGGTCGGTGCAGATGTGCTATCCCTTCTGGGCTTGGATGAGGCCAGTAGAAACTACAGCGCGTTGGATGGCAGTGTCTCGTTGCTTCGAAAGATACTCGATATGATGGCCGCACTTTTGGATCACTTCACGACCACGCATTCTTACATAGCTACAACAATATCCATACTTCGTTCTGTGTGTGTATTTGCAAAGAGTGATGATGACCCGGCAGAATTTCTTCAAGAGCTAGCTACCAGACTATCATCAGTCAACGGCCTCGCTACTGTGTGGCAATCTGCTCCGCTTTCCTTAGTGTGCACCTGCTTGAATACCTACTCAAAGGCAGCTGCAGAGCAACTCCACAAAAAGCTTGACGTTCTTCGCACAAGTGCATCTATCGACGTGCTTCCCTTCTCTACGGATGGGAACTCCGCTCGATGGACTCCATATCTACCTGATGAACTGCGCTTTTGCCCCATTGGAAACCCGTTTATCAACATGCCTAGTATGCAGAATGCAAGGGCAGATGGAGATTCGGCTGAGCGTTACGTCTGCCCAGGCTGTCTGTCTTCCATAGCTCTCCAAGGGCTTTCACTCGAAATGATACGGGCAATCTGTGGAAACGTATGCATTATCTGCAGCTACACACCAAAATATAGATCTCCCAAGACTATTGTCGCGTCTGTAGACTCTTTCGGGATCTTTTCAACCTTAGCTCATCTCGAAATGATGAACGCTTCTGCTGACACAGCGTTTTCTTTGGATGGGCAAACAAAGACCGAAGGTAGACATAAGGGAGGAGACCTGGCTGATTCATCCACTGCTTTACATCTATTCTATCAGAAGTATCTATACTCCAGGGAGTCTATCGTGGCTCACTTCTTTCTGCCACACCCCATATATAAGCAAATGCATCATCTCAGTAGCCAAAAGTTGGTGTTACTAAGTCCATCTGTATTTTCATATCCCTCTGTGCGCCTAAGTCCCACCTTCATCCAGTCTGACGTCAATGGTCGCTTGGCAGATTCTTGTCTGACTGATATTGGCGGTGCGTTGCCACCCCTCAGTTCAACGAGCTTAAGGCAGTATAGTGTGACAAATACCAGCACAAGCCGTCGTCTTATAGAGTTTGGCGACGTCTTAGTGGTATCCCTGGTCTATACAGGATACGGGGTGCTCAGCCTCCGTGTATCCTCAGACCTTATTGACAAGGCTGAGAAGCAAGCCCCGCCAATGGGAGAGCAGCTTGTGATTACGGATAAATATCAGGAAAAGATGTGCTTCTCAGTAATGGACACTGAGCCCAACTTTGTAGCATACACTGGACACCAAAGTCAGACGTTTCTATTCAATTGGGCGCGATTTGACCAGCGATCAGAGAGCGATGCAGACGACTCCACTGGAGCACTTCAAGCTGCAGATGAACCCGCAAACTCTGCTATTAAGGAGCATCAAGAAGCAGAGTCGTTCTCTATTCTGAGGCGTCTCTTGTGCACAAAGGATAACCCTCGAAGCATCCATCTAGAAAATAGCTTTTCTAGGAAGCAGGACAGCTTTGGCCGGCGGATATCGTATGGGCTCTACGACTATTGTATGTCTACTCAGAATAGGGCCTACCATAAGTATAAGGAGGTTGAACTGTCCATTGAGTATTCGCGAATCCTATACATGGTTCCGTTCTTCTTTATTCGAATGCAACCTGCCTTGCAGATAATCGAATCTAATGGGGCTGTGCATGTCCTACTCTTCAAAACGCAAGAGCATGCAGTTAAGCTGATTCACAATTACGGTTATTACCGTCGGTTCGGGTGCGGAGAATCTGGTAGTGGAAGCGCTTATGGCACCTGCTACTACTATTCCAAGTCCCCTTATAAGAAGAAGGGTGTTCTCTTGGACTTCGAGACCATTGTGTCTACTTTCCAGGCAGAGCTCCTTGGACAGCTACGGCTGATCTTGGGTCGCCGTATCTCTCTCTTGATGGCTAACAATACCATTTCTCTGACAATGATCCAGTTCTCTGTATTCACATTGCTCTCGGCAATGAACATGATCGCAGCGCGTTCCCCTGTTGTATCTTACATATACCCCATTTTCCCAGCATTGTCTCCACGAAAATCTGCTAAGCCGCGAAATCTAAGGTATCCGCTGCCTGCACAGAGCAACACCTCCCTCTGTAAGAGCATCGCCAAGTATGCAGAGATGTCCCTTGGTGAGCTGCAAAGCACATCTCTTCAGGACAAGATGGCTGCAACTGCTTTCCTTAACGACATCCTTAAGCAAAGCATGCAGACACTGGAGAAGGCTGCTACAGCGAGCAGTGAAGACGCCATTTCTTTCTTTAGAAAAGGCCTTGAAAGAGCCAATCTGTCTCCCTCCGCCATGAAGTTACTTTCGGCAAGCCCCCTCTTCAGAACGTTCATAAGTAACAACATGACTCTTCCTTATTATTGTTTTTGTGTGGAGCCCTTTACGTCGTTACAACGCAATCTCCAAGGTGGGTGTTTGGATGCCTTCTCACGACTTTTCATTAGCCTGCGATCTCACTGGGAGAAAGTGGAGCTGGGCAGCTCATTCCACGAGGCCATTCCGGAACTCTTCTATACTCCGTATATTTTTACAAATACTAACGGATTGCAGCTTTCCTCTGACGCCGAAACTGTAACGGAAGCCTTGCAATCCACACCCTCGCAGGCGATCGACACAGTGCATGCTCAGAGAACTGCTCTAGAATCTACAATCTTCTCCAATCAAGCAGACCAGGGAGGGCTCCGGTCGTGGATTGAGTTACTATTTGGATCTAAGCAGCAATCTCTGGATGCACTGAATCTCTTTCCCAGTGGCACTGCGGAGTATTCTCCAGGTGAGGCAAGCATCGCTACGAGTCTTTACTTTGGGACCTATCCTATACGATTGCATCAAGACGAGCTTTCCAAGTTGCTGGCGCTGATGGATAACGTGCACAAGCCCACAAAGATGGCCGAAGAGCTAGTTCTAACGCACAGCGTTGATATAAGAAGATATCTGCATACGGTTCCTTTTGAACAGTTGACACCAGGGTCTGTGCAAAGTGTAACTGAAAAGTGCGATCTAATATTTCGGCACTTTAACCAGCCAGCGCTCTGTGTTGCAGGACGACACGTTACTCTGGCAAATCACATAAATGGATTGCTTTGGACCACCAAAGACTGCATTGTCATAGATACCTACATGCTCTACTTTGATATTAATCGCCAAGAGATCAGCGTATTCGAGCTGTCTAAGGTATTCTTGGACTCCTTCCACGTAGCTCCAAAAGGAGGGTCCGGAGGGCTTTCCTCCGTCTTCACCGGTGGTAACCTTGGGCGTGAACAAGAGTCAGGAAGCCTCAACACTCCAGATCAATTGCTATCAGGAGCACAACACCCACCTCCAGGGCAGATCGTTATTCTAGGATTCTCACGTGCTTCTGGCTCGCAGCCACGGTTATTGACAAACATCCCCGTGGCTCAGCTAGCTAAGCAAGGCAAGACCATAGGAATGCACATCACTACATTCAAGCTGGCCAGCACACTCGGTAGACGGTGCTCTACAAGCAAAAATGCCATTATAACTAAGATCGACAGTGCAGGGTACATGCCCTTCTATGGGTATGTCCTCCACTTATACACCGACCAGGGGATCATATTGGCCAATATCCGCAACCTGTCTACTGATGCACAGCCACAATTATTTATCATTCAGCATTGTCCCCTCGATGTAGGATACTACAGCCGACTGGCCATGTCAAGTTTTCTCCACGTTCCCGAGCTCTCACTGGTTTGCTACTACTCGCCCCATGTTCTTCATGTCCTGGAATATAATTCACTGCATCGGACTGTATCCTATGGTTCACGAGAAACAGACTCTCCCTACCTCTTAGCCAAATTTAGAATCTCATATGAAGAAAAGCTAGCAATCACTTACTGCGCAGTGCATGAGCGGCAAGGGCTCATTGCTGTTGGTCTCTCTGTCCTAAATGACGACACAACAGTGGACTCGGAAAGGACGCTCCAATATTACATATACCTGTACACCTTGGGAAACATACACATAAAAGCACTGAGTGTCCCAGCGCCTGTACAGCACATTGCCTTCTTCGGGGGGTACGACGATGGCTTTGCAGGGTACATGCTCGTGAATAAGCAGCTCGTATACTCCCTCGATTCTGACGTTTCAGAACACATAAGGAAGGTCTGTGAGACTGAGATACTAGCCGACTCTTTGGCTGTGGTAGATGGCGCAATTGTAGGGTATCAAAGAGAGACATTCAGATGGTACAGCTAGGTGAATGGGGCTAGAGGGGGATGTCTATTTTCGTAATCCAGTCGCGTACAATATTAGCAACCTCTTGTGAACTCAATGAATTTATCAGTGGATCAGAGCGCACTCGGATAGCAGTATTTAGAGAGCGCTCCATTTCTGCCATGGTGCGCGGCATCTTCGGTGTGATGGAGGAGAGAGCCTCGTTTGAATTCAGGTTAGTCCGGGTCATGATGGCGGCAAGTTCCCGACAAGTCCCCGCTCCTGCTGCAGGAGCGGAACCCGAGGAAATGCTTCGGGGGATGGCACCGCTAGTGTATCGGTAATCTGGTGGTGGAGACGGCGACCAGGACCGCCGGCGGCCCATTTCAACGTCAAAGTACTCAGCCATCGTGTAGGGGCTGATAGCCCTCGTCTCCAGGTCGAGGGTTGCAGCCAAGAGCTTAGATAAAAACGCTTCCAGATCAGTCCTGCGCTGAAGAAGCATTTGCGCCAAAGTCCGCAGCTTGTAGAGTTCTTTGCACTTAGCATAGACGAGCTTTTCGAGAGACTTTATTTCGAAGAGGAGATCTGCACGTTCCTTGTTGAACTTCGAGATGAGATTGGCGATAAACTCACTAGCCTCGTTTTTCTCCCGCTTAAAATCGGACGCCTGCTCTTCGAGTTTTGCTTGAAGATGCTTGACAGTCATTTTGAGTTCTCCTATCCTCATTTCTAAACCTCTGCTGATGTCCATTTCAAACTTTTCTATTTCGTCGCAGTTTATATGCCCGGAGACAGATGCCTTGGCCATGGAGAGCTGAGAGGTCGTTCGTGAGCGGCTCACGCTGGTACCAGGAAGCTCTGACTCCATCCTGCTGATTGTGGGAACCCGCCTCGTACCTGTATTGCCGCCCGAACCCTTCAAAATAAGAACTGACTTCTGCAAGATTTGGTTCTGGTCTCTGAGGAGGCGCGTTTCGGTGGAAATGTTCTCATTGGTGGCCCGGATTGCTTCCTCAACGGCAGCCTGGACCTCTGCACGGTGCCTGCTTTCGAGCATTGCCCGCTGCTCTGCCGCCTCTGCAAGGAACTGCTTTCGATCTACATCGAGGAGAGTTTCTAGGTCTGACACTCGAGACTCTGCTATTTCCAGGCGGCGAGAAAGGTTGATCCGTTCGCTGGCATAGCTGGACAGGGCATCGAGCTCCTGCTCCATTGCTTTTGTGCGGTCCCGCTCTCGTGATAAGTTGGCCTTTAAATCCCTACATTCAAGCATAAGGTCCTCAACACGCTTTGTAGCATGCCTTTCTGTTGTAAGCTGAAATTCATCCATCTTCGCCTCTAGAGCTCTGTACCGGGCCCTCTCGCGTGCACACTCATCTTTAAGGCTGTTTGACGTGTCTGCAAGTTTCTTCTCAAGAGAAAAGACCCGCTGTCTCAACTCATAGTTTTCCTTCTGCAGAGTTGAACATCGCTCCTGCAGAGCGGTGCTCTCTATGTCTGTCGCCCCCATGTACGCATTTGTCATGCCACTCAGACTGTCCAGACTTTTCGCCTAGCTTCGATGTAATTTTAAAGCAGATTTTGGGCCACCGCTCAATGGCTGATCGCACAGATGTCCTCTCAAGCGTGATCAAGTGGATCAGCGTTGGTTCCTGCACAGCAGGGGCTCTTGCATCTGCGTCTCTTCTTTTCCAGGGCTCATATGTGGGCGACTTTCTGCTACACTTAGTCTTATCCATGTGGCTTGTCCTCATGGGTCTTGCGGATTTCAGTTTGGAGCCGGCAAACACGCTCAATGCTAAGTATATCTCAGAGACAGGAAGAATGCCCGTAAAGCGGGGCGCTTGTATGATCATAATCTCGCTTATGCTCCCTTGCTACACTACCTGGACGCAGCTTTTAGCATCTGTTACAACACTTTTCATTCTCACAAAGGTGCTTTGGATCATCTTACTCACGGGAGGAGCCTTGGTCATGATTTTGGGAATAGCTCTTCACTTTTGCGCCTGACTCCGCCCACTCTCCATGCTCGATCTATAACGTGCTTGTTGCCTGAGATCGGCGACTGCAATGCGAAAATCGGCTTGCGGACAAATTTAAAAAATACTGTTGCGAGGAATTTAAAATGACTAAGGCGTCCGGTTGCGCGGGTGAGACTGCGAAGTGGTTCACGGTCGTTGGGGCTGCTGCAGGCGGCATTGGTATGCTCACTAAGATGCTGCTGGGCACCGACCATGTCGGGAATCACGTCTACCAGCTTGCCCTCCTCTTCTGGATGGTCATCACTCTCATCTCTGATTTCGGGACGGGCTTTGGGGACTCCTTCATCGAGAACTCCTGGTCTGGCTTTATCGCCCACCACCTTTTCCGCGGTGCCATGATGCTTTGGTGGGGCCTGGCGCAGCCTTGGTATGAGAATTGGTCCTCCAGTATGCCAGTAGAAACCTGGTTCACTCACGTCGCTTTTGTTGTACTTGTAGTGTGTGCTATCTGCGTCATCATAATCGGCTCGCTGGCCATGTGCGGAGTTTGCTAACCACCTTAGACTTATTCTTCTGATCGTCTCTAGTAAATTGCTTTGGTGCGGTGTGTTTACATCTCCTCTGCCCTAAGGACGGTAGTTGTTGATGCACTCGAGGATGGTGCTCGTCTTCGCAAAGTCTATCGCGGTCTTTCCGCTGGAGTGCCTGATATCATGCTCGCGAGGAAGCAGTGCGCGCACACACTTAATGAACGACCATTCTGCGGCAGCCATAAGGGCCGTGTATCCTGCCCCAGCAGCGAACCGCTCATTTGTCTGCATGCGCGCCTCGCGGTCCAGGAGCGCCTCAACACATGCCACCTTGTTGAATCTGGCTGCGCTCATCAGAGCAGTCCATCCGTTGGCGCAAGAGCAGCCTCCCTCAACGTCGATTAGCAGGTCTACGATCTCCACACTTCCTGCCTGCGCTGCAAACATAAGCGCCGTCTGACCCTCCCATGAGTCGCGCATCGTCCGGCGCATCCTTGCTTCCTTCTCCTTGAGCAGCCTTGCACACTGAACATGCCCACGCTCGCAGGCGTACATGAGCGCCGTCTTCCCGTCGACATCAACAAGTCCGCCCTGACTTGGCAACAGACAGTAAACCGATACGGCGTCTCCCTCTTCTGCGGCGCGCATGAGATCTGTTCGGCCGTGGAAGTCACGCGTGAGTTGGCCCACAGCAATCCCTTCTCGCTCTGCTAAGAACCGGGCTAGTTCTTGGTTGTTGTAATCGAGCGCGAGTCTAAGTGCGGACGTTCCATCCAGCATGCGGATGCCACCCTCTGTGGGCACCAGGATGCGTGCAGACTCTGTGGCACCTGCCCGAGATGCGATCATCAGGGCCGTTTCCCGTTCGTTGTTCATAATTGTAGCCTCCTTGGGCATGAGGACCTGCACCGCATTGACGTTATTTTTCTCAGCTGCAAGCATGAGCGCGGTGTAGCCCTTGTTAGTGCGCATTCCTGATTCCCTCTCCAAGAGCTGCAGAATGGCATTGGGATTGTTGCAAACCGCAGCATACATGAGCGCAGTCATGCCATCCTTGTCCTTCATTCCGACGTAGTTCTCAAGATAGAACCGAAGCTCTGTCATGTCATCAATGGCCGCTGCACCCATCAACGGAGTCCAACCATCAAACTGATGGAAGCCATTCTCTTTGCGATAGAGAGCGCGGGCTGCGTTCTTATTCCCTCTGATGCACGCATTGTGAAGGGCAAGATGGCCCGCCTTGTCCTTAATGAGCCCTGCATGCTCCACAAGTACTGCGCATGCTTCTGCGTGATCAAGATTTGCAGCAATGTGCAGAGCCGTGTTGCCCTCTGTGTTCCGCATCTGACCCTCTTGCTCCGAAAGTAGCTTGCAGATCCGCACATGGTTCTTGGATGCTGCTATCATGAGTGCAGTTGTACCATCTGGCATTTTCAAGCCCTGCTCATGTTGCGCAAGCTCGACTGCAACCTCGTAATTATCCCGTTCAGCGGCACACATGAGCGCCGAGCGGCCCGTCGCATCCTGAAGCCCGGACTCCCTTTCAACAAGCATTAGGGCTGCGTCTGTGTTGTTCATTTCTATTGCGGTCATCAGAGCAGATTCGCCTCTGTTATTTTGGACTCCAGCTTCGACAGGCCAGAATCGGCGAACAAGGTCCATGTTGTTATTTTTAACAGCACGGATAAGGTTGGTGTTTCCATCAGCGTCCCGCTTAACGTTCTCGCGATTTGGTGTAAGGCCTGGAATAACGATTTGCATGGGCCCGTTTGTCCCCATCATGCCCATGTTTTGAGGTGGAAGGGACCTGAGTAGTTCATTCTCGCGCTCAAGACGCTGAATCTGCGCTTTGTATGTGTCCAGCTCGGTTAAAAGATGCTGGGAGGAGGCCTGGCTCTGCATAGTACGGGAGTTTATCTCTGTCATTAGGCTAGCGCGCGTTTTATCTAGCTCAACTTTGAGTGTCACATTTTCGTTTCTGAGTCTTTCAAGCTCGTAGGTGGTCTCCGGAGGAACAACATTAGTGATGACAGATTGGGGCTGTGGTGGAGGTGGCTGGTTATGAAGGGCATTCTTGAGCATAATGTTTTCCTGCTTTAACGTCTCAATCTCTGTAGTGAGGCTGTGAAGCAGTCCTGTGCTAGTGTCATGCACCTGAGTGCGCATGGCCTCTCTGAGGCTAGCATTTTCTGAGCGCAGCATGCTGATCTCTGTTGCGTCTGACACTGAGTTACCAAGGGGTTGATTCTGATTGCTCTGAAGACGATGAATTGTGGAGCGCAAATCGATATTCTCATTTGTGAGTCTATCCAGCTCGCGCTGAAGCTCAAGTGGTGGGTGGTTGGGCTGTACAAGTTGCGTGCTATGTAAAGTTTCTACCGAAGGGGCAAGCTGTGCAGTCGCCAGTTGATGCTTGAGTGTCTGATTCTCCTGCCGCAGAGACTCTATCTCCTGGATAACTGCTGGTGGTATGGATCCGCCATTTCCATGCAGAGTGGGGTTGAGAGTAGGCGAATATCCGTCTTGGTATGACGGCTGGTGCACAGAAGCTGCTTGGCCAATGGCACGCCTATATTCTATGTTCTCCGCTGCAATAATGTCATTCTGTCGAGTGAGTTGGTCAATAAGATCCTGAGGGACATATGTAGAGGTGCGGGACCGAAGCGCGTCGCGCAGAAGAACATTTTCTGCTCGGATGGTCTGAAGATCCTTCTCCATGTTGAGGGTAAGAATTGAGTGCTTAAGCAGGATTTCGTGCCTAAGAAGATCATTCTCGACCCTAAGCTTATCTAACCGAAGTATTTTCCCATCAATGGACTCTGGGTCAGTGTCTAAGGCTACAGGGTTCACGCGCATCCTTATGACCTCACGCAGATCTGCATTTTCTAACCGAAGTAGGTCGAGCGTCCGCTCCCTCTCTGGATCCTGCTTTGATCTTATTACATGTGGGCCGTTAAGGTCTACCTTTTCTTGTGAAGTGTAGTCCCTAAAAGAGTGTGTCATCGAGGACTGTGCTGCCAAGCCAGGATACGGTGGCTGATTGGCTTGCATGTTTCTATAGTAGTCAAGCTCCTGCTTCAGCGCTCTGTTCTCGGCCTGAATGTCCTGCATCTGGGCGTGGCCTTGCTGAAGGACAGCCATATTCGAATCGTATGGATTGCGATTCCCAGCTTGTCTGAGCTCGGTGATTGTGGTATTCAGTCTGTCTATTTCATGACGAGCGTCCTGAAGCTCTCCTGCCAACTGGGACGCGCTGGTGGCCATGTTCTCTGCATCTCCACGCGTGGCTTTGTTGTCTCCACGCAAATAATCTAGCTCTCTTCGCATGTCATCGATCTGCCTGTTTAGTGTTGAGATCGTCTGCGTTCGCTGCTCCTGAATTTCCCTAGCTTCTATCAGCTCAGCTCGGAGGGCCGTGACCTCCGTATCATCGACACGATTGTAAGCTGACTTTGCCTCCTCCAGATTTCTGCGAGTGTGCTCTAGCTCCTGCTCAAGCTTCTCTTTCTGATGCCAAAGATCGTCATACTTAGCGTCCAAGTTGTCGCCATGCTTAGAGCTATTGCCAGTGTCTCTCTTTTGGATTGTCTGGCGCAGCATATCGTTTTCGCGCTCCAGTTCCTGAATTCTTGCCTCCAGCTCAGCATCGTTTGGTGTTTCGCGTAGCCGCCGCTTGTCTGTAGCTCGCAGCCTTTCGACCTCTTCATTCAGCTTGGCATTCATCTGTTTGAGCGATTTATTTTCTTGTTCTAGCGAGTTCTTCTTGTGACTTTTGCTGGAAGAGCGCGACCTTGTCTGTCCGGACGGGCTGCCAGTAGTCATACTATCATCACCATATGTGTCCTTTTCTGCCTGGTAAATCATAGACGCTAGGTAATCGACGACATGCGAATGGCCCTTGTCATAGGCCACAGAGATAGCGTTCTCGAAGTCGCTAACAGTAAGGGACGGGACTTCTGCAACAAGCAGTTGCACGCACTTGAGATGTCCTCCGTTTGCTGCGTGGTCAAGAGCCGTCCACCCCAGATCGTCTGTAACGTACTGTATGTGGCGCAGGAGCATTTTGGTAGCGGAAAGAGAGCCATTAGCAGCCGCGATCATAAGTGCATTCTGGCCATCCTTGAGGATGACGTCACTCTCCACCTTTGCAAGGACTTCACACGTATCCTTGTTATCAAGCATCGCAGCAATCATTAATGCGGTCAGCCCATCCTTATTGGTGAGCTTCGCCTCAACGGGCATGAGAATCCGGATCATTTCCATATCGCTGTTGCGAGTGGCCAACATGAGCCCAGTTTCCCCATCCACGTCTGTGGACTTGCTGAACTTCTTCATGGAAGCGCGCACAGTCTCATAGCGATGCGCGAGGATACTTGCAAACCACTCTTTCTTGGTACTAACGGAGAAATTCATAGCGCGGACTCCTTCTTTTTTGTAACTTTTACAAGGAGTCGATAAGATTTGAACCATAGCCGACGTAGGGTTTTCTGCAATCCTGCCGGGGTGTATACTTGCTCAGTGTAAATCTTTAAGTAATCTGTATTATCTGACTTCTGAGGCGACCTTTACTTAATCCCGCCAAAAAAGTTTATTGTCTCCATGCCCACCTTTTCTTCCCAAGATTGGTTCCATGCGATTTCTACGCGGCGACACGATGTTGTCAGTGTGCACTTGAAAGAATGTGCGGGGAAGAGGAACACTTTCGGTGAGACGGGCTTGATGTGTGCAGTGCGACAGGGAGACGCAGAAACCGTAAAAATCTTGGCTCCCAAGGAGTGCGGAATACTTAGTCAGACGTCTCATTCTACTGCATTGATGATGGCATGCGAAGCAGACCACGCGGGCCTGGTAGAGATCTTGGCCCCCTTCGAGCACAAGGACACCATGCCAGATGGTAAGACAGCCTTTATGGTTGCGGCCCATGCTGGGGCCATTAACTCTATCAATATTATGCTCAAATACGGCACTAGGGAGCAGGACCAGAGCAACCGCACTGCTCTTGACTACGCAGTCATGTCTATGAAGCAAGGGATTGTCATATCTCTGGGATTTTCTGGTATCTTCAGGCCCGACGACATTCGCCAGGCGATCCGCACGGCAGGAGAGTGCAAGAACATGTTTGCACCTAAACTTCTCAGGCTTGCCTTGCAGCACCTGACAGGCCAAGAATCAGATGTCCCTGACCTCACCTTTGAAGTGGAGAACCTTAACAAAGAGATTGCTAGCTTTAGAACCTGTCTTCAAGAAGTGATGGGCGAGGATCGGAACTATTACCTCAATACGTTCAACGGGGGTCCAGAGCCTTCTAATCTGTTGATAAGCCGCTTCGTCGATCATATGCACCGCATACAAAGTCAACTGGAGGAACTGGCCTCAGTGACTGCTAATTCGCAAATAAACACCAGCAAGGGCAAAACAAAAACATCAGCTAAGAAAGACAAGTCAAACATCTATGATCTCGAGGAGGAGAATGCACAGCTGCGCACGAAGGCTGCAGCGCTGGAGTACATCATAAGAAGCCCTGTCTTCAAGAGCCACACAGGTTACAATCTGACGTCAGAAGACATCTGTGATCGAATCAACGCAGAAATGATGCAGAATGCTGCCTACATCAAGGAGCTTGAACGACAGATAAAGGACATGCGCGCAGAAAGACAAAGAGAAATGAACCAGGTCACCTCTATTGTCGGGCTGAAGGATGACTATGAAAAGGCTCTTGAGAAGCTTCAGAAAACGCAGAGTCTTCTTGACAGCAGAACCGATCAACTAAAGACGTACAGGATGTACATGGGAGAAAAGTCTCCACTTATGCCTCAAACAGAGCCTGATTTCGTATTTCGTCAACGCACTATGAGGGCAGCACCAAATTCGGCTACATCTGACTACCACGGAATGTCGGCTACCTCAGCTTCTAACAAGTCCACAGAGAGGCGCGCCCTGACCTCTCATCGCTCTCGCACAAATCAGCATCTGTCCAGCGATTCTATGCATGCTAGTGCCAATAGTAGCGGACTCTACGATTCAACGATGGCTGATCAAAGCAACATAGTTAGAGAGGTTACCACCGTGACAACGACAACAAAGACTTACAGTCCAAATGGACGTACAGGAACGCTTCGTGATCGTTCTACTTCTCGAAGTCAATCGCACACAACACGTTCGCGAACTGAATTAGAACGCACACAGGACAAGGATAGAGATGGCGATAGGAGTGGTGACAGAAGCCTAACAAACAGCTTTGGCCTTGATAATAGCATGAGGAATATGCAGGCCATGTCGGAGCTCTCTACATCTCGCCGTCGTCGCCTTAGGCCGATTGTCGATCCAACGCCCAACGGATCGTACCACTCTTTTAACACAAGCAGGTCTGCGAGCCGCGATACAACCATTAGAAACGCTAATGATTCGTATGGGTCCGGTAAAGCTAGCGATCACCAGAGCCTCTACAACTCGACCGCGGAAGTGGAGCACCCCTATGAGATTAAGACATCATTTGAGTCTCACACAGAGTACGATCATCCTGCGCCCATAACAAAAGACGTTCCTCGTGAAGCTTCTTTGCGCACCACCTTCACCAATCAGGCGGATGACTACAATGAGTATACCTCGCGCGGAACCAACTTTAATCCCGCCCACGCGAATCCAGAGGTCCACAATGACTCGCAGGCGCACTTCGACCCGCCGTCGTTACTGACAAGCACTTCATTTACTGACAGGGCGCACACTGCGCAGCCCTCGCATCTGAGACATGAACAGCCCTACTCGGATCCGATATACTCTGCCATCACCGACAGAAACAATTCGTCCTTGGATAGGCCGAATCCTTGGATGGCCAGAGGTAGTGGAAGCCAGTGGGAAGACAGACACCCCCGCGTTCTTTGATTGCATTGGGGCGGAGGGGTCCTCGAGCCCCTTAAGGTCCATCACGTCCTCACTTAGGGGAGGTTATACAGTAAACTGTGGTCTGTAACTGTAGATCCACCGACACCGGTCAAAGAGATTCAAAGAGGATTGGGGGAGGCTGCGAAACGCGGCGTGTAACTGCCAATAGAAAAACGCCAACCTGGCATTTAATATATTTATTATATGCTTTTTGAGAAGAGCTAAACGTCTACACGTGAGGTGTGTAAACTTCCGGAGAAAAAAATCCTAGTACATGACTGACTTCTCCAAGGATAAAGAGAAGCTTGCACAGGCAACCCAGGGGGGAGAGAACGAGCGCGCAGAGATAGTCGTCGTGCACCTCCCTCAGGGAACGTCGTTCTTGACCTCTCTCAACCCCGAGGGGAACTTGCTTGAGGAGCCCATATGCCCCGACGAGCTCAGACGCGATCACGAGGGCTTCCAGGCCGTTCTCAAGGAGAAGGGGTGCCGGGTTTATATGCCGTACGACGTCCTCTCCGAGGCCTCTCCGGCTGAGAGGGAGGTCCTCATGGATCAAGCAATGGCCTCGCTGAAGTACGAGCTCCATGCCACAGGTGCACGCATCACCCCCAAGATGAAGTACTGTGTTTCGGACGAGTACAAACGCAAGGTCCTTTCGGCCCTGTCGACCAGAAACCTTGTAGACGTGATTTTATCCGAGCCCGTCATCCACCTAGCTCCTGGTGTCCGCAACACGGCTCTCGTTACCAACTCTGTGGAGATCCACGATAGCAATAACATGGTCTTTATGCGTGACCAGCAGATAACCACCCGGCGCGGAATAGTCATGGGCCAGTTTCAGGCGCCGCAGAGGAGGCGCGAGCAGGTCCTGGCCCTGATCTTCTGGAAGCGCCTCGGGGCCCGCGTCGTGGGAGACTGCCGTGAGGGAGGACCGCACTGCATGCTCGAGGGTGGGGACTTCGTGCCTGTGTCGCCCGGGCTGGCGATGATGGGTGTGGGCTTGCGCAGCACCTATGTCGGAGCGCAGTATCTTATGTCTAAAGATCTCCTCGGGACCCGGCGGTTTGCTGTCGTCAAGGACTGCTTTGATCAGCACCAGGACCGTATGCACCTTGACTGCACCTTCAGCGTCCTCCACGACAAGCTAGTGGTGCTCGATGACTATATTTGCTCCGGGATGGGCCTGAGGTACGTCGACGAGTGGATTGATGTCGGTGCTGATGCAGTGAAAAAAGCAAAGAGCTCCGCAGTCACTTGTGGAAATTACGTCTTGGCGAAGGCAAATGTTGAGTTCCAGCAGTGGCTCAGCGAAAATGGTTACACGATCGTCCGCATTCCTCATGAGTACCAGCTTGCATATGGCTGCAATAATCTCAATCTGGGAAACAACTGCGTCCTCAGCGTCCACCAACCAACAGTGGACTTCATCAAGGCAGATCCTGCGTACATCTCATACTGCAAATCAAACAACTTGCCGAACGGGCTCGATCTAGTTTACGTTCCGTTCCGAGGAATCACCCGCATGTACGGCTCTCTGCACTGCGCATCTCAGGTTGTTTACCGCACGCCGCTGGCCCCTGCTGCCGTCAAGGCGTGTGAGCAGGAGGGTGACGGAATTGCCGCCATATATGAGAAGAATGGCGAGCCAGTTGATGCGGCGGGGAAGAAGTTTGATTGCGTGATCTACATTCCCTCAAGCGTGGACGACCTTATTGATGGTCTGAAGATCAACTTGAGAGATGATGCTGCTCCCAGCAGGGAGATCATCGCAGATGCGTACGGGCTCTACCAAAAGCTCGTATCTGAGGGAAGGGTCCCTTACATCACGTGGAGGATGCCGTCGATGCCTGTTGTCAGCCTGAAGGGTGCCGCCAAGGCCGGGTCTCTGAAGGCCGTCCTGGACAAGATCCCGCAGCTCACGCCCTTTACTCCCAAGGCGGTTGAGGGTGCACCTGCAGCCTATACGCGTTATCTGGGCCTGGAGCAGGCTGACATCTGCGTCGATATCAAGTGAAACAGTGAATTGTAATTCAGATATCAAATAATTGACATGTTCATATCCAGTTCAAAGCACCGGCCCCCGCCGCCGACTCATGTCACGGTTCCGCGGGCGCTCAGGGGAATGCAGAACAACACAATGCTATCAGCGTTGCTCTCACTTAGAACTTCTGGAGAAGACTCAGAGCCTCGGCAGGACGACAGCTACGAGTGCAGAGTGGTATTGCTTAGAAGAGATGTGTCAATCGAGCGCCTCTGCCGGCAGCACTACTTCAGGCCTCCCGTGGCAGGCTTAGAAGATCCTGTGCGCAGGCCGTGGCCTGCACTGATCAAGAATGTATCCTTTGTGGTCGAACTAGAAGACCACATCGCTGCAATACCTTGTTATCTACCGGGGAACCTGGTCTATGCAAACCTTTCTATGGGGATGGGAATCGTTGATATTACCATAGACACACTCAATGGAACTTTCAGGAAACGCATGCCCACTCCTCTAAACCGTATATTTCTTTTAGATGATCCCGGCATCGATAGCTTCTCGGAGCTTATGCTGGCTCCAAAGACGTGGCGTCGCGATAAGAAGTCTGTGACGAAGACCCTCACAAACACAGAGGTCAAGAACCTTGCGCGTATGCAGCTTGTGCAGGAGCAGGGGCCGGGCTACTTTCAACCTGGCCATCCAGGCGGGTCTGCTGCGCACAACATCTTTGAAAAGGTGGGGGAAGCGCAGCCAATATTGGAGGAAGAAAGACCGCTCGAGGATGCTTCTTCATACAGAGATAACTGCATCCTACAGAACCTAAAATTATATCTGACCCATGTCTACTGGGCCATACAGCGTCAACTCCAACGCTCGCCTCTTTTAAAGCGCGCATTGAATCAACTCCTTCTTACATATGCACGCCATCTGGCATACAACGAGCGAGAGTTACTTCTTGAAGATCTAAATAAAAGGAGCAAGGGATCTATCCTTGCTACGTCCCTTACAAAATCAACTGGGCCAACAGCATCACTTTCCCTCCTACCCACTAAGCGATCTTCCTCGGTTTTAACATCCAAGGATTTGATACCATCTCGTTCGCAAGCAGGAGTGGAAACAGATTCATTTCTGCTCCAAAACCGCAGTGGTTTACTGAAGCGCTCAGGAGAGCGTGTAGGCAGCGTACCAAAAGCGTTACCCAAGCTCTCGTGCACCAGAGATGACCAGGGTTTAGAGGAGCGCGATCTCACCATGACACAATTGCAGAGCACTCATTCCACAGAACCTCAAAAGTCTCCAGTACGGTCCCAGTCTCAGGTAACACACAGTAACCCAATTTTGCGGGCCAATTCTCCTGCTCTTCCAGCCCGCCGTAGCCATCTAGTCCAGACCATCGCTTCCAACGCCCGTATTCCCTTGCTACCCTTGAGCACTAAAGTGGATAGTCGGGTGATAAAGATGACCCAGGTACTCAATGCAATGCTTGATGATGTACGGAGGGAAGAAGACTCCCAGAAGGAGGCGCTGGATGACGTTGTGCATGATCCTGAACGCGACTTTAAGTTGCAACTAGAGGAAGCTTATCAGCGACACATTAGCGCGCTTGAGAATGAGTTTTTTCTATCCGTTGCTGCTGCTCAGCAAAGGTTCCATAGCCGGGTCTTTAGTGTTCTTGAAAATACTCCTTCAGTCATGAAAGAGCATGAAATAGTCGTTCCAAAGATGGGGGTTCTGCGGCCCAGTCTTTATACGGTTGGTCTGTCTGCGTCTGCCACCGACGTTATGCCCACTTCTTTAATTTATGAACCAACCCTACCTTTGGGTTTGTTCAGCCACAGAATTCCAACCACGTCTGCTTGGGATTGTAACCTAGTTCTATATGGTACTGAGTTTTCTAAACGCCAAAGTCGCCTATTGTCGCTACGCCAAACTCTTGCTGCCCAGATTAGATTTCAACCTTGCTATGTCGCCACTGCACAGCCATTAATCGGCAATCTCGTAAAAATATCTGAAGCACTGATGGATATCTTTTTAGATCTAAGCACTCTGGATCAATCTAACACTCGTAGTTGTAACCTTAAAATTGATAATGATGGTAATATTGTACTTGGTTCTGCTCACGAGCTCATCGGTCGGAAGGATCAGCTTTTGGAATATACCCCGGTCATTGAGCAGACCATCGCTTCATTCATTCAATATCTTGATGGAATGATTGCAAAGATAAATCAGCACTATGAGCACATCAAATTTTTCGAGAGTCACGACCTCTTTAAAGAGCGTGTGGACTACTTCTGCAACATGGACCAGCTGCACGACACCCGCAAGAAGCTGTCTGTAGAGTTTGCCGCTTTACGAGGCAGCGAGGACCCGTGCACTATTGATAATCTTATTAAAACAAACGATACCATATTCATCAAAGCTCTCAAATACTTCCTGTTCTATCACACTGCTCTCGTCCCGTACTCGATCATTCTCGCCACTATCTTAATATATTATCAGTACCTACACAACCACGTTGTAACAAAATTGGAGAAGGACACACAAGACTCTCAGGAACAGGGGCAAGAGCAGGACCCAGAACAGTCCACAAAAGCTGCGAGCGCTGCAACTGCTCTGGCAACAGTTAAGATCTACGATGCCACCCGGATCTATTTTACTTTAGCCCGCATGGTTGCCTCTGCCCTCAATGACCTGGCAGAGCGTGCGTGCCACAAGGTCTTTATGTTAGCCCTCAAACCCCTCAAGGAGTTCAAGTATTCAGATCAGGGGATGCAGAGTATTTCGACCCTCGACGATCTGTCCCTGATTGCATCACGAATGTATAACTATGGGTTTTCACGCTTTGACTTTGTGCACAACGCTCTCTTCACACAGAAGTCGCACCTCTCCTTCTTATATAGTGCTGACCAGCAGACTATTAGTGACATGAGCCGACTTGACACAGTGCAAACCATGCCTGGTGCAGGACTCGGCGCTGCATCAAGCCCAGAAGAATCATTTAACCCCGAGAACTACGAAGACTCTCTTCCACAGGGTGGGGATGCGCACGATCTTAAGACTATACACCGACGAAGAACAGACTTAACAATTGAAACAGCCATGGATGTGGAAGGAGACGAGAAGATGCTTTCTGCACAAGAAGCATTGGCAGCAGAACACGACATCAGAACTGATAAGATTGCAGGGTGCGCTTTAGCCTGTAGTGAGGAAGATGCCCGACTTGTTTCTGTTCCCTCAGTAGTCACCACTGTCGGATATCACTATAGTTTTTTCGATGTGCTGATGACATTTTCCTTCAACCTATCTATTTGTGTCATCACGGGGATCAATTGGGCTGCTGTGGAACGAACGCATTTCGATAGCATCGGGTTCACCTACTTTGCTAATTACATGACGAGATATTCAAAGCAGAAGTTTGCCATATCTCTGCAGGAACAGAGCATGCGCTTCAAGGTGATGGCAGGATATATAACAGCCGGCGAGGATAAAACTAATGAGTTACAGGACGAACCACTAACTGAAGCCGAGGACGACACCATGCTGAATTCTATAGATGCTAGGCTGGAACTGAAGGAGGGCTATGATGTTCTACTCTCGCTCCAGAAAGAGAATAAGCTCATAGAAATTTATGATCACACTATTGCAGACATGTACTTAGACTTACCGCTTGTCTTGATGGGAAATTCAGCCGTAGTAGCTAACAGACAGGACGCCTCTAATACAAACATTGGTAATGTCAAGCGCGGCCCCAGCGCCTCGCCCGCCTCGCCCATGAACTTCCAGCCAAATGACATTAGCAACAACTCAGATGCCATGACCTGCGGAGCCTCGTTGGCTTCTGACACATATGCAGACATCTTGACGCAGCAGCGGCAACGTGTTTTGTCACGCCACTACTCTAAGCGGGAGGAGAGCACTTCTTTTAGCACAGATTTGCTTAACACATATACTGCTCTTCTCACTCATCGGAAGCTTTCGCTCCTGGCAATAAAAGAACGAGGAGTGGTCACACGCTTAGAGCTTTCTGATAGGGCCAATGAGTTCTCGTGCTTATTAGACCTGACTCAGGATCTTTTTTCGGATGACTTCAGCCCAATGAGCCTCATGACCAGCTACAGAGAGTGGTTTTCTACTGACAAGCAAATAGAGACTCTTCTATCGTTTGATTATGAGCGTTGTCTGAAGATTAAAGAAATAAAAGGCCTCCTTCTCTTTGGAAACCATGAGCAGGAGTTTCCTCTTCTTGACTTCTCTACCCCTCGTTCCATCATAGACAAGATCGAGAATCTCAGGTCGATCATTGTTGTGTTCCCCGATCAGTTTTATGCGTCCATGATTACTGTTTCTGTGAGGCGGATGAAGGAAAATCTTCTGGAAGCTTTAGACTATCTCGAAAAGCACATGATAAATAAGCTGACGGAGGCGATCGAGTGTTTTACTAAATACATTTTGGCAGAACTTAAGTTCGTCTCGTCCCTCATACTCTCGGCTACCACAACTCCAGAGAAGTTCCAACTCGTGCGTGACCTGCACAACAAGCTATCCAGCGATTCTGCCTGCTATATCTTTTCCAGCTTGTATGACAAGTTTGTTCTGCACTATGGGACCAATTACATAACCCTCTTCCCAGCCACTTACAAGAAGCATCTCCCGGCCTTACTCGAAGAGCCCAGTCGACAATTTATGAAACTGGCGATGCTTGCAAAGAAGCATTCACAAAGTATCTCTAGTCGCATTAATGCATATGCAGACTACGTTAGCGCGGTAGACAATTGGATTGCGCAGATTGCCTTTTCTATTGCAGACGGCCTCAAGGTCATCTTTACTATAGACTATCCGTCATTTCGTGAGGCCAGAAATGCGCCACTCACGTTTGCTGAGAAGTACCCCATTCTTTGTAAGAACTTTGAGCTGAAGCTTCTAACTTTGGACGACTATCACTGTGCATCTAATCATTTGCAGCTAGACCCCTTTTCTTCGGAGCCAGACAGTTCAGTACCAGAGGCCCATTCAGCTAAAGATCCTTCTTCTAGTTTAAACTACGCCAAGGCTTCCTCGTTTCGGACAAACCATCAGTTCAAGAAAGCCACAGCTTCCACGGTTCCTTCCGGTGAAGCACACAATCCAGAGGGGCCGGAAGTGTTAGATGAATCGCAATCTCGCGATGAAGAATCCAGAATGGAGCATCACGCCGAAGCCACCAGGTTCTTGCTAGCTCCTAAAGAATCCGTTGCTAGTATCTCCTTGGAGAACACGCAAGTATTCGAACGGGATTTCCTTCAGTCTCTTGCTGTTTCTTGTAGATTTGAGCTCCACACAAAACGCATTTCATACAGCTCCCTTCTCAAGGGCTTTCGTGAGATTGATGGGTCAGAAACAGCCAACAACCAGCGCATCATATGTCTCCGGAACAACGTGCCGGATTCTCTGTCATCCAAAGTACCTGGACACAAGTACATATTTTCAACAGCCAAGCTATACAAACGCCCCGTACGTAAGTCAACTGCCCCCTATCAGCGTAACGCAGAGAGATACGATATGAGACGCATTCTCTCAGAGTACAAGTTCATTCTTATGGAGCTCTGCTGTTTGATCCGTCTCCTGGATCGTTGGCGCGTTTATCTTTTGGCTGCAGACTGCTCAACCAGACTCTTGGAGATGCCGGTCTATCCCTCTCCCTTTGCAATGCTCAAGATCCTTGCTCCAATAGCAGACATCTCCATTACGCTCTTTGATATAGACTCGTGCCATAACCACTACAGCGAGAGAACGTTGCGATCTTACCCGCACATAGAGCTGCTTATGGCCATTGACCGCGTTGCCTATGGGATACGGCAGGCTCGGAAGTTTGCCCAAGAGAAGTTTATCGACGTTCACACAAACAAGATAGACATTTTGCATTTAATCAACAAGGTCATAGGCCCTCGGTACAAGGATAAGATACAGCTCACAGATTCAAGTGGAAGCGATATGCCTTTTATGGCTCGCATAAGGGATATGCCGGACGTGGCCTTTAGTGTCTCTTTTGAGCCATGGACCGAGTATTTAGACAACGCAGAAAATGTTCTTTTGCTCTTTGTGCCACCAGTCACGCTGCTTCATCAAGTCAGCAGCGATTCCCTTCGACCTATTCACCTTCAACGAATAACGTCTTTTACCGGAGTCTTTGTAGAAAAAACCTTCTCAGTTAAGCCACAGCTTCTTCTGGATGCTTTTGAGAAAAACAATGAGCTACTGGACTTCGTGCTGGTGCTAGTTCAAAACGCTAGTATTGATAAGCAAGCCCTTCGCGAGCTGAAACAAATAGAGCGCGCGTTATACTCTATTCGCATTGACAAAACATACGCTCTTTCAGTTGGGACATCCAGCTTTGCTACAAATGACAGGTCGATGGGATGGAAGAATGCCATAGACTTTGCCATTATCACGCCCGCCAACGCGGAAGAGATATGCAGAGAGGCCTTAGTAACGATTTCCCTTGTGCTAAATAATCTTGGATACGTTGGGACACGATACATAGACTATACTCAATCCTTCGACATTAACCTGGCATATGTGGCCAGTAAGAGCACCATCCTGACTGCACGCTACTTGTCTGAGGCCTTTGACGCACATCGACAATATCTCCAGCAATGGCGATACACGCAGAATGTAGAGGAGTATGCACGCGATCTCGAGGCATTGGCACAGCTAATGCTCTTTCTCATTACGATATTTAAGCGCATGCCATTTGTGCTACAAGATCTCCTCACCTACCAGGCCAACGCCAACCTGATCAATTTCACGGGCCCCCAAGAAACTCTCTTCACCAACTATCATAAGAAGATTATCAAGGACGTGGCAGCACCAGGTGATGCGTCTCCCTCGCCCAACCAGTTGGCCAAGCGTTTTGGAGGAGCAGAACTCACAGAGGCAGAACGGGCAAAACTGGCTACAAGGCTAAAGACAGAACAGGGGAGGAAAGCCTTTACTGTCAACATACTGTCAAAGCAAGATATCACAACGCTTCAGGCTGCATGTGCCGCCTGGAGAGACGTGATCACGAAGTATTGCTCTGTAGAGGAGATTATGAAGAAAAAGTCCCTTGGAGCACGAATTCTAAGAAATATCTCTACGGCACGTTCTATGAGCACGTCTGTGCCCTTCCTCTGTATAGTTATTAACATGAACGTTCTCAAGACCCTCTCTAAGCACATGCTTGAGGTCGATGCTATTCATAAGCGCATTCACTTCTACCAAGATTTCGCCATTCTGCAGTCGTTTCAAGACCTGGCTACTAAAAGCTCGACTACGACCACCTTCTCTCCATACTACTCAGTAAAGACATCCGACCCGGAGACTCTTTCCATTGGCCCACGGAAGTTCATTCCCTGGAGCAACGGGAAGAATTTTCCTTCCGCACTTTTCTGCTCGTCTGTGTGCCAGGTGTTTTGTGGCTGTTTTCCACTAAAAAAGAGCCTTTTCAAGCTGGTTACTTCTCTGAGTTATGAGGTTTTTCACGGAATGGACGAGTATCTTATTGACTCGTCGTCTATTCGTGGCTCCATCATAAATGGCATACGATCTGGTGACGAAAGCTTAATGTTCACCACTCCTGTTGAGGCACCCAATGTCATTTATCTTGTACCAGACGCTGTAGCCGCAGAAACCCGTGCATCTTTTGTGGATGCTGTTAAGAAAGCGTGGGATGAATTTGCAGTGGCTTACATGAAGTTTACGGGCAAGGGGCTCCATGGTGAAGCACCTCCGGAAGGGTTTTTTACCTATTTACACCTGGAGCAGATGGCACAGTCGGTCAGTCAATCAGCATCATCTGTGACCAAAAGTGCACCTATCAACGAGGAGTTAGAAAGAAATAAGCAGAAGTTGGCCTCCTCGCCGATGATCAGAGATCCAGATGGGTTCTCCAACTATCTTAAGACCAACCTGTTTCGCGCAGTTATCATAGCAATATCCACCTGGTTGCTAGAGAAGACCCGCAGCTTACTCTTCAGATTCGCGCTTGTTAAAAACCCCACATATAATGATCTGGCAGAACTTCTTGACTTTTTCCAAAACCTTATACTCGCGGTGAAGATCAATAGCATGCAAAAGAATCCTATATATGTAAAGGTATTTATTCAGCACATGGCTGATTGGTGCGAGTACCTCCAAGACCTAAAGAAGATCCTCCGCGGCGATGACCTAAACAGGATACTCTCAATGAATAATAGCATCACCTTCACCGTCTACAACCCTACAACCCATGATCTGTATGTCACATCGTCACTCAGTGAGTTTCTAATTACATACGGGCCTCACTGGATCGGTGCCCCGACTCCGTTGGACATTATTTCAGCCATTCCTTTACAATATAGGTATGCTGCGACGTCGATAGTTAATGGATTTTCCATGGGTCTTCCAGTATTCCTTCTAACAGCAGCTACTCGGTCCATCTATACCCAAGAGCCAACGAAATTGGTTCTGCACACGTGCCACCTACTTGGTCGACGACTGGTATGTGTCTGCGTTGCAGAGTTCACGTTTGTGAAGTGTTTGCAGCGGATCACCGCCTGTCTTTGCGCCGGATATGTGGTTCTCGTATTCGGGTTGCAGTACTTGCCAACACCGCAGATCCTGGAGCTGGTAGAACTATCGCATAGCTTGCGCAGAAAGGCCGGTCCCCTCGAAACGCTTTGCGTTACCCATGAAATAAGCGCTGCTGAGAAGAAGAAGGCCATAAAAAGCAAGCTGTTCTTTGGCAGTCCTGAACTAAACTACATACAATCCAGGGTCACAGTTAAGATTGCGGACTTCTCAGACTTCTCGGATCACGGCTTGCTGATCTTCCATCTTCCCGAGCTCGCACCCATTATCACAGCTGACAAATTTTTCTTTGCCCAAAAGGAGGAGCATGAAGCAAATCCAGAGAGCCAAACATCAACAACTGATCCTGGACCTCAGTCTGGCGGCGAAGAACTGAGCAAGGTCCAGGACAATTATGCAGCGGTATACCACCTTACAGAGCATGGAAAGAGCTGCATCAATGCGTTTAAGCATTCAGAGCTCGTATACTTGGAATTTGACCAGCCCGAGTCATCATTTAAGAAGGTATCACCGGAGTATTATCACACATTTTGCGAACTCAATAACTTCCTGGCCTCCATGGGTCCTCTTTCTTGTAGATTGCTAGCTTCCGATGTCCAGATGATCTATAGCCGCGCCAAAGATAAGTCCGACACATCTTGTGTTGCAGCAGTGACACTTGACTATATCCTGCGACAGACAGGAAGCTTTCTCTCACTGAAGGCCACGCGGCATGAGCTAAGGTCATTGACCACTGTCTATTCACAGTTTGTATGCGCAGCATTTGGCCTCGACAAGATGAACTCAATGCACATAGGCCGCCTGGCTCGCAATTTCCTAGGGACCGTTGAGTCTGCTCGGGTTCATCTGGGACTGAAGTATGCAGAAACTGGAGATACTTATGAAATGGACAAAGCTAAGAATGCGCCAATCAAGCAGGTGAGTTTTCTAAAGTATTACACAGATAGTCTTTCGCGCTACTTGTCCCAGCAATTTCAGTGGTATATTAACATGTTCTCGCAAGCACATCAGCTTTCCCTCCAAACAGTCTATGACGTTCTGTTTTGTAACGACCTTTTGCGGTCATACAAGCCAGTCTTGGTGGTTGTTCCGCAAATCTCTTACCTCAAAACCTTTGCTAGTATCCTTGCTGCTGTGCGCGGCTGGCGTATGCACTATTGCTTCAACGCCACGTCTGTTTATAGCGCACATAAAGCCATCCAGGCAATCGATCTCAGCGATAGCATTGCAAACGACAAACCCGTTCAGGAGCACCTGATCGTCATCGCACCATCCAATGTCAGTGCATTCCTTCAGATGTTTGAAATAATTATCAGTGTATCCCTTGGATTCCCTGTCCTAACAGACGACAAGAACCTGTCACAAATCCAGATTGATGTAACACACGGACCACATTACCTTATTGTTTTCAGTCCTAGTTTCCTCCCGGACATAATTGGTTATCCGCTTATCAAATCAATATGCCACCGTCTGATTTTGCTTCCGTCCATCGAGGGCGCAGACGGGTCTAAAAAGATATGCCAGGGCAGCCTGCATATTGAAGAAGCGCAGCTCCTCAGTCTTGTGCACCGTAACCACATGCTTTGGAAACGCGATTTGGACGCCGCACTGGAGGGTATGGAACACGTGAATCAATACGGGGATGATCCAGCCAGTCCGCTTTCGTGTGCTCTAGAAAGTGTTGTGACCAACTATAGGTCGATCTTACTCCACAGCTCGCTCAAGGACCGGCTCTTGATAACAGCAGAAAAGCGCATCTCTGCACTTCCCACCTTTGTGAAGGGGGTGATATCCTTCTATTACGACGTCATTACAAAGATATTTGGCTACGGGAGAAGTATAGAGGAGGTGTATCTCTTGCGGTCTATCATCTACTTCAACCTCTGTCGTAATGGAGTTGTTACACCAAGAAAGCGCAGATTGCAAAATGACTTCCTCAAAGAGATCTGCACAGTAAGTGATAAATTTGATCAAAACACGGCATCTGCTTGTGTCCAGCGCATATCTGAGGTTGCTATGGGTCAAAGAGGACGCGATATTAACGCTATGACAAGAATTCTCGGAGCCCAGTATCTTACCACCACTCAGATGCATGAGAAATCACAGAAGGCCGGGAAGCACAAATCTGAGAATACATATGTCGGCCACCTGTCGTCTGATGCTAATGTTCTACAGGTGAAGCGGAAGCAGCTATTTGTACTAGGAAACCTTATGCAGTCGCGTGTTCGGGTGTCTGATGATCTGTACCCTTTTTCAGAGGTTGCCGGCTTTTCAAAGAACACCCTAATGAGTCTGGAGGCTCAAATGAAGAAGTTGACGGCAGAAGCTGGCAATTCAGCTAACGTTTCTGAAATAATCAACCACACTGTTCTTCTTAATGCAGAAAACGATATAATACCTTTCGGAATAGGCTTCCAAGGCAGTCTATCCTTTGGATTCACAGAAAAGTATCTCAACGAGGCGTTTTTCCATCCAAAGAAGCACATGACTGCGTTCATTAACATATGCACCCCATTTTTCTGCGCAATCTGGAATGCATGCTCTCTTTTTTATCTCACATTCACTGCAAGTAGCAACTGGGAGCGCCTCTTAGCACAGGGACCAAAGACAGCACACGATTTGCTATTGAAAAGATATACGAAAGTCATAGCTGAGCTTTCTGAATTACAGAAAGTCAGCCACGGCACATTTTGCTCAATGATAGCCGCCATAGTTTTGATTTTATCAGAAGCAGATCAATCTCTTCCATCTTTGAAGAGGGAGTGCTTGGCTAGTTACACTGTCTCCCAAAAACTCTCCTTGGCCAAACTCAACCACGGACTTACAAACGAGCAGCTTATGACCGGAATTCGAAATACCATGCAAGAGGTCACTCATATCGTGCCAAAGTATATGTCCGGTGACACGTTTAGTTACCTCGATTACAAGTTCGGCATCAATAAGGAGAAGAAGTCTAAACATTACAATCACTTCCATGCCCGCGTCGAGTTCCGCACATATAAGGTAGGAGAGGGCCTGCTCAATAATGTTATCCTTGATGCTGATAAGGTGTCCTTAGAGAAGAACATTTTGTATATCGCAGAAAAAACGTTGTGTCTACGAAGAAAGCAGGCATATGAGGCACGACTTAATAAGGACACCGAGGAGCAGGCTAACGAAGCAAAAGGCGAATCGGGCGACGACGATGACGACCTTGCACGCGGAATGGCTGCAAAGCGACAGCAGAAGCGAGAGAAAAGTGATATTAATGAAATCATTCTCGATAAGGACAGAGGGGAAAGACCCAGTCTTCACTCGCTGTTGGACAGTCCCATTTATTTTGACTCCCATAGGGCAGCCATTTTGGTGGTCCTTGGGTGTGCTATGCTCAGTCCTATTTCTCTGGCCCTTGTGGGGGAGCGGGGATCTGGGAAGACAACTATCTTGGATGCTGCCAAGATTCTGGTTCGGGATATGGTCGATACAAACATGATTTTACTGTCTGATTTGCATAGCGACTCCTCAACGTTTTCTGTGCTTACTGGTATTGCACAGAAGTTCACTCTTCGCAGAGCAGCACAGTCATCCGCAAACAGGCATAGCAGCACTACAGCGGCTATCCATGACGAAGACAGCAATATGATACTTGACTACTACAGCTCTTTGAGTTTCCCTTCTTTCCACTTGCACTGTTCAGACTGTCGGAGTGCAGAAATCTCCGAGCACATCGCACTTCTACTAAGGGACCATGTCATTCTGATGGATGTTGCTGAAAAGGACGTGGTGCTTCGCAAATCATACAGCCAAATGCCTTCATCTGTGATCCTACCCAACTCTATCTACCCAGAAACACTTCAAAGCTTTAAAACTGGGTGTGCATCGTTATCCGACTGTAGCTTCATTATCGAGTGTGATAGATTCAATACTGAGATTGCCCAGAATGCCGCCTTGACAATTAAAATGCCGCCGCTTACAGAGCCCTTCCTTCGCAGTCTATTCCTGAAGGTGTATCCTCACCATACCGAATCGTGGATTTTCCAGTTTATTAATGGATACTTCCTTATTAAAGGGTCTCTCCCGGTGGGGCTTATCAATAGCTTCACAGTGTTTGACAGGCTGAAGAACTACAACTCCTTTTTGATGAAGGACCCTGCTGACATCAGCGATGACATGCTCGCAACAATAGAGGCGTACCAGACCATGGGGAAACACCCTGGACGACTTCCGCCCGACTCTATCACGAGTATTATTAAAGCTAACAGGGATAGGGAGCTATCTAATGCCAATATCCATTCCTTATTTGGTGCCCTCCGCAATCTTTCGGAGACAAATCTCGTTGTCCTACAGGGAATTATAGAGCGGTTTGCAAGCCTAAGTATTTTAGGATATTTGGATGATGAGGCAGACAACAGTGGTGAGGACCAACTGACTGCTCTGCACAAACAGCAGCTGGCCCAGAAATCACAAGCTAGCTCTACTACACCGTGGAGTGACGCACGACTTTTAGTCAAGGGAAACTTCATCCTTGTCACGGCGTGGGAGCGGTATGTATTGAACCAGTCTATTAACTACATGACAGCTAGGCGTGAGCAAGGCGGCACTCAAACAGGCACCGGAATGCAGCAAACTGCAACTAATAAAACTTTAGACACGGCAAACATACAGATCACCACGAAAAGCACCAAGTCTGACATTGCAGATGCCCAAGCCTCTACATTCAGACTCGGAAATCAATACATGATTAATACGCTGATATCTCATCACGTCACAGAGGTAGACCTGAGGGATTCCCCGGTCAATCTCTTCAAGACTCTAGTTGATAGGTCGTCGTTCTTAAGCCTCAACTATCGGAGCACCAATCCTTTTTGGTTTGTGCATCTCATGTCCATGGTTAAGCTTTACGGCCAAGACCTAGATCCGTTTATCACGTGTCGCGCACTAGAAGCATTTCTTGTTATAGCTACGCGCAGGGAGCTCAACCTTGCAAAACTTAATTGCCTCCTAACGTATGGTATTAGCATCAGAAGCGGGGGAAGTATGAGCTCCCTCTATGGCGAGGATCCGATATTTCCTACTAGGCTGCAGATTCTCAAGCATGCCAGTATTTATGCTGCACGCATTCTAGCGTATACGAAGGTAGCAACAACTGGGGTCCCGAAGGACTCCTCGGCAACCGACATCCTGACTGATCCTCAGCAGATAGCAGCTTCTCTTTACTCTTCAGATATGAGTCAAGAAGATAGAGAGGTCATCACAGAGGTTGTTGATTCTCTTGAGAACGAAGTTAAGGTCGCAGAAGATATAGCTCGGCAGGAGCACGAAGACGGCGATGAGCAAACCCAGTTTGACGGGTTCCCTCTGCTCACTATGCTTTCCATGAAGCCTAACAAGGCCATCATTCGTATTGATAACGCCCCAAGCAACTCCTACAATCAGCTTGTTAGACTGTTTGCTGCTCTAGGGAACTATACTATTCTCAGCTCTGATAGGTTCAAGCAGACGCTTACAGAGATGAACAGGGCTGCCGCGGACGAGGATCCTGATGACGCGCAATCTGAGATTTCAAAGGGGAGTAGCAGGAGTAAGCTTTCCAGCATGTCGGCAGCTACATCGGCCGTCGGGCTCTCAGAAACTGGCAAAAAATCGAGCCAACAGAGGATTTTAATCGACGTAACAACAATCCTGAGTCATCTGGACGGACAAACTGTGCTACGGACTAAGCGACCGCCTAGAGGGGACCGAAAAGAGCCAAAAGAAAACCTGGACCTGATCGACAACCTTAAAAAGATGATTGCAGAGCTACAAAGCACGAGCCTGTACAACAGCGACACACTAGATTTTCTGGCGCTCATCATGATTTTGCGAGTGTCTTTTGCCATGGCGTTAGGAATAAAGCCAGAAATACTCTTGACTGCAAAGTCCTCAGCAAACACTGTTTCTCCGTCGCTTCTCAACCTGGGTTTCAGCGTCAACTCGGCTCTAACTACCTCGCTTCCTAGCCGCGTGATTGGTACAGGACGGGGTATTTCTCAGCTACCTTTTGCAGTCATGTCCTGGTCCGAATACCTGATAAAGATAGAACAGTACTCCAAACTGCTTTTAGAAGATCATGTCAATTTGGACGAGGTGGATGTTGCTCCTCAAGGCCACGACGCTAACAAGCAGGTAACACGAGATACCATCATGAGTAAGTGTCTACTTCACAGTCCTATGAATGTCCTAATCATGACCCCAATGTCCACCCTAATGAGGACGTCCCCAACGGGGGTCACGGCCTACTCACTTCTTTGCCGGAGCCTCGAGCCCCTGAACATTCTTCAGTCCATCTTTGACGAAGAAGAGATCCAGTGTCTTTGTAATCTCGCGACATTTGGTTTAGGTTTGGATATCGTGGCAGATTCACGCGTTCTAGTCTCAATCCTATCACTCACTCTTAGCGTTGTGATCATCGATGATTTCCCCCTCAACTGTGCCGATAAGATCTTTTCTAAAGACATTATGGTAGTATCGTCTAGCGAGTGCATGCGTGCAAAGGTGCTGGGCAGTGTCAAGTCTCCCATCTTAGAATTAGTAACCAATCTCGTTGACCTGCACAAGGAGATGCGTCTAAGTAGAGCAACTAAAAAGCTGGAAGATGCTGCGCAGGCACAAGCGAAGATGGCAGAAAAGACTGACAGTAAGCTCACGCTGGTCCGACCGCAGGTGCCAGATGCCCCAGTACAGATGAAGAACTTCCTCGAGATAATGCTCCAGAAGAGACTGCACGAATGCAATGTTAACATTGTGGCCATGGACAAGCTCGACCTGTTCTCACTTTTTCAACTCTCTGACTGCAAACTTCCAACGGAAGTTGTTCTCCCAACCAAAGTCAGTGTGGACTGGCCACTTTTCCATCACACATTCATGGTGGCATCTGTTGGTGTCTATCGCTTTTGTAGCACAAACAGCATCAATGCATGCCCCTCGATGTCTGTCTTCACACATCTCGCTTCTCAAATCTGTAACACTATCTTATTAAAGGTTGCTGACTTCATGTCCATTCTAAATACGCTTTTCATCGCATTGAGATTGTATGAAGCCTTAGCGTCGCCTAGCAAAACAAAGCCAAAGACCATTGACGTCACAGAGCTATCTCCAGACTCGGTTGCGAAGACCATTGACCAAGCTGTCAAGGCACAGGTTTCCCAGGACGATAAGAATAGCGATTCAGCAAGTAAGCGTCAGCGAGACTTACTTACTGCCATAGCAGAAGCTGTTGTGATGCGAGATTTAATCCATACCTGCATAGACGCCTTGAAGACTGACTTCCGCATAATGGCGGCAGCAGCACGCTCTGCTGCGTTAGACTCTGTGGCCATTGCAGCCTCGCTTCTTTTCTCGATACCTGGATTGGTTACGGAAGGAACCGCTAGAGATGCCTTACTTGGTGGTGTCTTTGGAGATATACCCATGAAATTGCTTAAGTTACTTGATCAAAGCTCCACAACCGCAAATATCTCTTGCTTCAATGTCATGATAGTGGCGCTTTACAGCAGCCTTGGATTCAGTGTGGATTTCCCGGACCCAGAGGCCAAGAAAGTCGATTTCAACGAAAATTCGCCGACGATGATATGCAACGCCACTCTTCAGTATGGACAGTTTGCCTTTATGGGTCACTTAGTGGAACTTCTCGGAGCTGACTGGCCGATCCTAATGCTTCTCAAGGGCTTCCGCATCCCATGGTCCATGGGAGATCCTGCTATGCTTGGACTCTACTCTGTTGCTATACGGTACATTACTGGAAGCACGGTCTTTTGTGTTGATGAGACGTTAGGGGTAGCGGCGGCGTGCTTCTTGGAAGCATGCAAGAAACAAGAAGCCCAAGGGACTTTGTATTATGAGCAAGTGGCCAGTGTAATTGTTCATGGGATGAATCCAACAAATCCTCGTCTGAACGATGTGACAAACCTCCTTGCTGATCTGCAGAAGCGCGTTCTGGTGATAGACATGCGCATCCCACCGCGTGAATTCAGCGCAACCCTTGCCAGAGGTCTGAGCACTGGAGAGTACACATTCCTATTCATTAACATGGAATCTCGTAATACGGATACAAGCAACTATACTACCCTAAGAAAGTTCATGGTCCTGCGATCGCGAAAGACCATTGGGAAGCGACAAACCATTGCCATCGGGTCGGTGACAGCTATAACTGCCCAGGCACTTCACAAGTACACCATCATCTTTGCTCTGAGCCAGGGGATGAGTCTGGGCGACGTGCTGATAAACGCAGGGCTCTTCACTCAACACTTCATCAACACCATTGCCGTCTGTACACATTACTCATCACCAAACAGGGTAGCACTTGCAGATACTGAAATGATGTTACTTCAAAGCCAAAAGCACATCATGTCCCAGATCTTTCTGGAGTCGATCTTTGGAGAATCAGAGGGAATTCGTAGCCGTAACGAGCGGTATCGCTTGAATAATGTGCGCTTCTCACGCATGATCAACCTCGCTAGCGACCAGGTTAAGAGCTATCTCATGGTACATGTCCTGAGTCTGTCCACCGACAAGGTGTCCCAGATGGGTACTTCATTTATTCGTTCAGCTGATCCCACTGTGGCCAAGCGAGAGATGGAGCAAGCTGCTATGAACCAAATGGTTACGCAACTAACAGGGTCTTCGGATAGTATACAGCATGTTTGCTTTGCAGCTAGCTTTGTGCTCCACGCTTCTTCGTCAAGGAAGACCGAGGTTAGTCAGCTTTTGTCCGCACTAAAGGGGCTGATTCTTCTTCAGCAGGAGCGCTGCAGCATGTTATCAAAGGACAAGGAGAAGGAGTACAAGCTAGTTGACACGCCAGTCAACATTCGCTGTGCTATATTCGATATCGTGAATACGTATGGACAGGCTCTTTGCGACGATATAGCGCTTGCTGTCAATGCCATTATCTACTACTTGAGAAAGATCTCGGCCTACCATCTCCCTGCCCTCATAGGGTATTCTCGAGACTTTTTCATTATCTTCAAGATTACTCTAGTCAAGGCCGTGTCCTCGTTTCAGGGACACCTCAAAGAAAAGTATGCTAAAGACCCTCGGTTCCAGCATGATTTCTCAGAGGAATATATGCTTCAGAACGGCCTTGTAAGCATGCAGGACGAGAATATCCTAGCGTTCTGTATAAGATATGATCCTGGGACGCTCAAGAACTTCCTTATGTCTGTGATGATTCCGACTCTAGAGGCCCGGCTTATCAACGTCTTCCCTCCAGAGCTTTCTGCTGGGATATGGCACTTGATACATATTCTCTTTTCTACGGCAATTGGAGACTTGAGTGGAATAAGCAAGGAACGGCCCTATTCTATCAACCCCCTCATGGAAAACGTGACAGCTCCAGCTCTATCTTTGTTTGCTGTTCTTCGTTCATCCATAAAAGATATTACGAGACTTCTCACAACCCAGCAAATTATGGGGGCGTTTTATATGAAGAGCAAATTTGCCTTGACGAAGATAGATGCAGACAACGCTGATGCAGACGTGCTGAATAATATCAAGCATCTAATACCGGAAGTTACCTCCATGTCTCCTAAGGTTGTTATGTCCTGGATCTTCTTCTGTCTGTTGGGAAGGTACAATCCTGTGATAGCCAATTCTCTGACATGGTTTCTAAAGCATCACGCTGCCTTTGTTTGTTTCTCTAGGTGTGAGCAGCCCTTCGCCTCTGTATTAGCCTTTTACGCCAGAGCTAATATGGCAGCAGGACAGCACTCTACCGAATTAACGATAAAGGGAGCAAAGGACACAGAAAAGAAGACTGCACTGCAGCAGTGGTACTCATCGCTGATGCAGGATGCCATGGCATCTAATTACCAGGTGTTCAAACTGCCGCCTATGCTAGCTAAGCAGGACAGCCAATCCTTCTTTGCTATCTTCTCCCTGTCCAATGCCTTGAAGCCTGAGCTCATCATTGACACCTTTGAAGCGATGGCTGTGATGCTGGAAAAGCGTTGTGGACCCAGCGCTTGGCAGCTTTCTGCGACGATGTCGGTTAACGCACCAAAAGGGCTAACTGGCCATTTCAGAAGTGATATGAAGATATCATCGGCTGCAGAGCGCGGGGAGTTAGTCCAGACATATCTGCAAGCCATGGGCCTATCGTTCCGGAACCTGCTCACATTTGTTGGACTCCCTACAAAGACAAGCGTCGGAAAGGACATAGAGATGCCACCCGACTTAGCATCAGATTGCGTCATGCAGCTTTACGATGCGTATACTTTCTCGTTTAGGGTCCTTGAGCGATATAATGCCAAGGTGCAGGAGATTGATGCCGATCCGCAAATTCTAAAGGACAAGAAGATGCAGCACATCATGGCCATGGGGCCGTCGCCCATACAGGTCACTCTGATATTCTTTGACAAAATCATCTCCATTGACCATGTCTTCACGTTTATCCACCTGCTTCCAAGTAACCCGTATAGAACCGTACGGGCTAACTTTGCTAAGCACCTTTCCTTCCAAGATATAATAGAATCAATCACCGTTGCCGTGGCAGACCCTGCTCTAGGTGGGGCGGCTCTGCTCCAAGATGTCATCAACATCTTGAGACAGAAGCTGAGTATACGAAAATACGACATCACATACCCTATTTTCATCTTCGTACCATCTTCTTCTCTGTTTCCCTCCGCCCTGAACGCAAACCACAGCAGCTCACCAGCACTGACTCATCTCGACTCAGAACACTTCACTAGTCTTTTATATGAGATATCAATCCTGACTGTTCCAAACTACATCTACATACAGCATCCTGGCACACTGAGCAAGGCATTTGTTCACTATCTCAATCTTTGTATGGTCGGCATCACGTTGCTCATTATGATTTGCTTTAAAGTGATAGACTTGGAAGCTGTTCCAAACTTCCAGCCCCCTATAACTATGCGTGGGATTGTTCTTTTGGCTCTAAAGCACTCGTTCTTGAGTTATCAATCTACTATATTTATGGACGATACAAGGCTCTTTTACAAGCTCAAAAAGGTGCTATTGCGGGCTGTAACCAAGCAAGTGCAAAAGTATGACAAAACGTCCTTCAAGAGCTGCGCATTCGTCAATCTCACGCTCTTGAGAGACAACAGTGCAATCCTCATGAATCGAGTAGACTCCAAACAATATAAGCGCGTCGCGAAAGTAATTTACAGTCTCAACTTTGGCCAGCTTGAGGCCTTATCAAAGATAATACCAACCAGGCTGGTTGTCTCCGAGCAACAGGTACATGATGAGGTTGTCATGCGACTACTGAAGGAAACTATGCGCGCAAAAGCACAAAAGGCAGCGAAGAAGAAGTTGCGCCTTGCAGGAAGTTCTGACAGCGAGGAAGATGAGCTCTCCTCGAGCACTTCCATTACAGAGTCTACCCTTTCGCTAGAAAGCAGTAAGGCCTCAACGCAGCTTACTGGAATGGACGGAGACGGTCGAGAGGGAGACTTTGTCGGTTTTGACGATGGGGAGTCTATAGCTGGAAGTGACAACTTATCCTCACGAGGGTCTAGTATTACTACTCGCTCTCGGGGAACCAGCATTCTGCGCAACAATCAAGGGGTACAGTCGGCTGCTCGGTGTGAAGAGGACGATATCTATGAAAACTTGCTGGTCACAATTCAAATTGCCGCTGGAGACCTTACTGATGAACGCCCCATCGACACTAAGAAAATAGAAGGAACTGTCCGCAAACTGGTAGAGATTGAGCACCGCTCTCTTAACACCGTTACCATTCCAAATCTTGCCGCAGAACGCGCTTCTGGGACGACTCGTGCAGGAAAATTTACGGAATGGCTGGACATTCTTCCGTTTTATAATGACATTTCTGACTTACTGGACCTTGTACAACAACTACGCTTATACGCTTACAGCACTGAGGAAACCAGTGACCTGCAAATCTCACGACAGAAGAGATATCTGGTTTCTGCTGCCCAACACAGCCTTCCTCAGGAGTTCTACTATCGTCACCTTTTCTCGTCAAACACGACGCTGAACACGCTTTCTACAGTTGTTAACCCAAACTTTCCGTCTACCATGAAAATAGTCAATGCTGCCCGTAAGACGGACCTCAGCAAAATGACATCTGCCCTAAGGACCTATGTTATGGCACACGAGGACTTCAAGCGTATCCCGTTCGGATCTCCTAGCAGGAACCTTTCGTCTATGTACATCCTTAAGCACATTATCCCTAACGTGGGTCTTCCAGATATGTTCACTGTCGATGGGAACGTAGGATTTGGTTCATTCCCCACGCACTGGATCATCAACGTTAGCACATATGGCCCGATTCTCGGAGACATACTCAACTTTGTTCGAATGCACTCGGCTGTCCTTACATCGACCCCCATTAACAGGCAAAGGATTGTCGTAAGCATTAAAAAGCCCAGCTACATGCCGCAGATTCGTGAGGATGGCACCATAGACACTGAGACCAAGGGCACAGACCGCCAAAATCAATGTCCTTTCTACGTGGTTCTCAGAAATCTTGAGCTCTTCAGGATATCATATGACGCCGTGTTAGAAACTGTCTGCGCTGACACTGTCGAAAGAGCGCATGGATATAATAACTGCTTAGAGCTGTACGCCTACTGCGTAGTTACCAACAACACAACAACCAGACAGACATCAATAGCGGGCAGCCACAGGCACACGTATCTACGGGTTCCTGCCAACATGGTCCCCGTACCTATCAAAATAGGAGGACGCATCCAGCCCGTAGTCTACTTGCCCAACAAAACAAGCATCAGTAGCGAGGAATGGCTAGAGCATAATCCTTTCTTTGGGGTAAGATTTATTTAGCTTAGATTGCAATGAGTTTATGAAGAACTTCGCGATCTGCTGTGCTGCAGTGCGGAGGGGTGGGTAGAAAGTATCGCAAAAACAGCATGCTTGTTTCCACGGTTAAGAGTATTCTAAATGCACAGGCTAATGTCATGGTTTTTGTCACGTGTGCAGATACACACGTACGCGTTTCCGTGGAAATGGGCTCCAAGTCATTAGAGATGCTCAATAAATCACGCAGACTGTACAGAACATTCGTTGTTGACATTTCTTGATCGGAGCTCAACTTACATCTAAGTGTCTGCTGATAGAAGTCTCGGTGGTAGCGCAATACCTCGTGGATGAGAGTAAAGGCCCAGATGAACGAGATCTCCTCAGGAGTATCTGCTAACTGCAATATGGCGTCAAGAATATCACGTTTTGATCTATTGTCAGCACAGTGGTCAATCGCTAGTTGTTTGAATTTTGCTGGATCAACTAACTCGGGGTTTGGATGCAATCCAGCAAGGTTAATAGTTTTTTCTATGCCGCGTACATTATAGTCGTATTGATAAAGAGTCAGCGACTCGCTAAAAGTTACACTGTCAACAGAAGGCGGATCTAGCATGGCCTCGTAGGTTTCACTTGAATCATAGCAAATGAACCGCCGGAGAAGACTGCCAGCATCAGTAAAAAGGCACACGCGCTGCAAGATGGTCAGTGATGCAAACTTTGTGAGGCCCATTGCAGTGCTACCCTCGGTTGTCCTACTCATAAACAACCACTGCTTTAGGAACCCCTCTGCACGTTCATAGATGGCGAGCTTGTCGAGATAAAAGGACCGCATAATTGCAAGTCGCCGCCGTCCAGCAGATAGATGGTGTTGGCTGCCAAATACTAGGCTAACAGATTGCGTTGCATTCTTAAGTGAAAACTCTATGAACCCTGTAGTACCCCTGCAATACTTAATTGGTTTATCCATCGAGAACTGGCTCAGCCACTCACCTGCCGAGGGTGCCTGTAGGTGCCTGATCAGAGAGGACAAGCAGTCTTTTGTGTCCTCAGAAGTCAAGTCATTCATTTCCACACCCTCAAGCTTTAGAATAACGAGGTGAAAGTCTATATCTGAGTAAATGGTGGCCTTGCCAAAAGCGTACGAGCCCTGGAGCTCGAAAGACTTGACTTTGTATGCCTTGTCTGGGTAACTAAGGGATGTGAATACGGGGTAGCGGGTAAGATAGCCCCGTAGGCTGTCCTCCACACTCTTGGCTGTAGTAGAGCTAACTGGTGCATATAGATTCATATAGTATCGAGCACAGTGTAGATTGTTCTTTAAACTCTCTGGACAAAAGTACTGGCCAATGATCGTCCTAGCTGACGCATATGCAGATGACATGGAGCCTGCTAAGCAATCTGTTAGACAGCCCTGATAGTGAAGGTGATGCTTAAAATGATATCTATAGTATCTCTTACACTGACTGTGGTGATTGGCTGGGTCAGTGTAAAAGAGAAAGCAATCAGGACAAAGTTGAGCATCTTCTTGTGGCACCAGCTCGCTGTAAGAAGCAAGGGCATAAATTGCTGTCAGGGATTCAGCACCACTCAATGAGCACAATAACCTATATCCTACTGCTGGATGCTCAATGATAAGATGCACAAGCATTGCAACAGGAGGTGAAAGGCCGTAAGGAAATTTGCGTAGGAGAGAGAACGACGCTATATATGTCGAATAGATTGAGCTACAGGCTTCAAGAGAAAAGCCAGTCTCCCGTGGCGCAAGAAGGTCACTGGCTACCTTCCGATAGACCTGGGCTAGCCGACCCACCAGCTCTTTCCGTGTGCAAATTAACTCAGGATACAAATCTTCTGTGATGTACTTTTCAGAGGGACAAAAAGGACAAAACCCATGTTCCAAACATAGGTGTGTTGCCAGCGACGAGAAGCCATACCGTCCGCGGCACTCTGGACAAAGGGCTTCGTGAGAAGAATCGTTCATTTCAAAAAATACTACAATTAAATGGCTCCGATCCCGGATCTTGAGGATACATGGGAGAAAATAGAGACAATGCGGGCAGAGTATGTCTGCCCCGTCGATGTATTCGGGGCGCACATGCTCTCGGATACAACAGAAACTCCAGATGGTCGCTTCCGCTTTGCCATAGGCCTTCTCCTGTCTGCCAGAAATCTGGATAGAGTAACCGCTGCCGCCATGTACAAACTTAATCATATGCTTCCAGTGCCCCCTGACGGCCTTGACAAAGAGCGTTTAAAGAAGCTCGAGGCAGAGTTTGAAGAAAAGACGAAGGGGCTGCAGAAGTCCACCAAAGCAGAAGCCATGCTCAAGAAGAACTTTCCTATCGATATTGACAACCTAATGAAGCTTGATGCGTGGAGGCTGACAGCGAAGAACGTGGTGGACTCTGGACTAGATGAGTTGGGGAGGATAATCCATCCAGTGGGCTTCTGTCGAAGAAAGGCAGAGTACATGAAGAACGTTGCTCAGATATGCCTAGACAACTATGGGGGCGATATTCCCAAGGACCTCGCGGGTATTCTAAAGCTCCCCGGCTTTGGACCAAAAATGGGGCACTTGTTGGTTCAGATCGTCTATGGCCAAGTCGAGGGAATAGCAGTGGATACGCACGTGTGCCGCATAGCGCAGAGGCTGAGATGGGTCGAAAAAGGAATGTGTGAGCCTAACGGGAAGATGCTAAATCCAGATGATGTGGCCAAGCAGCTAGTCGAGACCTTGCCAAAGGACAAGTGGCGAGATATTAACCATCTGCTTGTCGGCTTTGGACAAACCGTCTGCAAGGCAAGCTTCCCCGAGTGCAACCGTTGCTTAATAGCGGGAACTGGTCATTGCTATCATAAGTCAGAGACAAAGCCTGAAACAGGGACAGGGAAGCCTCGTAATCGAGAACGAAGAGCTAAAGCAAGTAAGCGTGAAGCAGAAGATCAGGGCGGCGCTACAGATGAAGATGAGTAAACTTTACATGGTGATGCGTGTCACTTCCCGCGTGACTGGAGATTATATGTGGGAAACGGAATGCTCTCGAAGGCGTAGCGGGCCTTTTTGATTATGTCATTTTCTCTGGCAGTAATCAAGACTGAATTCAGTGCTCGCAGTTTAGAAACATCTTCTTCGTGTGCAATGCCATTGAGGACTGTTTTGCGCTGCTCGTCAGTCATGCTACTTTTTAACTTCAGATAACGCTTGCATCTCTCGGGAAGCCCCTTTGCTGTAGCCTTGCCTTTAACCCCAACTGCGTCATCGTCTGCTGTATGGGTAAATATTCGAGTTTGTAACTCACTGCAGTCATTGGAATCTTGACTGTCAGAAGATAGGTCTGGATCTGGTGCCTTTAGGGGCGGCTCGGACTGCTGAGCTCTAGGTTTGACAACATTAGGCTCCTGTACGGCTCCTTTTTGTGCCCTCAACTGAAAGCTTAACCTTCTTGTCTTGGTATCGACAGTACTCCTTGTTGAAAGTTCCTGCCTGGGTCTCGCTTGTGTTGGCGTGTGTAAATTAACGGCTGGAGTCTGCTCTTCTGATACAGAGTCCTCTGATACAGCAGCGTGAATGGGAATGTTAGCTTTCTTTCGTGGGGCAGTGCTGGATTCTTGCCCAGACCTAGCTACCGAAACTGCTGAAAAATTACCACACGCAGGCCCTAGCGTGATCATGTTATGAATAACGGGGACATCTAGAATGTTAAGAAGCTTAGACTTAATAGAGAGATTGTTCCAGATATTCTTATTGAGATCAAACAGGTCTTCTTTGATGGTTAATCTAAGATCCGTATCTGCTGGGGCAACAATAACCTTGTCAATCTCATGATTGGTGTGCTGACCGCCGCTTGCCTCACACTTACAGAGATCCTGAAGAGGAAACACCTGCTCGCATTTGGCACATGTACACCAGAATAATAGGCCAAATAGGGCCCAATAAATGTGCACGCTGGTCAACTTAGGGTATATCTTAATGTCGGCTAGGTGCTTTTGAATCGTTTTGCTGAGTTTCTTGCAAACGCGAAAGTTGTGGTTGCTAGTCATCCGTCCCCTACTATCAATCCTAGAGCATCCATTGACGCAATTGAGAAAAGTACTGTTGGGGTAGAGCTTAGAGATAGTTGAAGAATCTAGTATCTCCTGAAGACAAAAGTGTCCGCACTGGTCGCAGAACAGAATCTTATCAGAGAACTTGTGCAGGAGCGAGTGACTGGATGCGTTTGCTAACTTTGTGATGAGGTAATTGCTATGATTAGCTCCAAGATATCTAATGAAGATAGGCAGGGGGACGTGTTCCAGGAACCGCTTAAGCAAGTCTGTATCCATGCAGGAGAAATTATAATTGAACGAAAGAATCTGTGTGAAATTGGATCCCTTGAGCATAAATAGAATACAATCGTTGACTAGGTTGGGCATCCCAAGAAAATGAGCTGACACTAACACCGGAAAGACAATTCTGATTGTCAGTGAAACAGGGGGATAGTCAGAGGGCTGGTATAGGTGGTAGCAGTGCTCCATGAGCCACTTGAAAATGCAAATATCCGAATGAATGGACAGGTCAATCGCAGTAGATTCCTTGTTAGCCAGGATGTTTCTGAAGTAGGCCATGTTATTGACTAACAAGGCCCTGGGAATACTCATCGTCTCCTTCTTGTCCCCGTCGATGATGGTCACTTGAAGCTCTTCGTCGGGCATAGGCACCTTTGGACGATAGTCAAGTGGTGCATACTGCTTCTCGGTCACTAGGTAATTATACCGTTCGCTACATTGTTCAGGAGTAAGTCCGTTCATATACCGTGCCACGTTTTTCCAGATCTCCTCCGGCCGACTGCCAGCACGATGCTTTACATACTCCACAGCCTGAATAAGACGCTTATCAACGATCACGGTGAAGATGTCGTTCATTAGTAACAGTCAAGCCCAACAATTTTAGACTAATTTTGCAGGCAGACTTTGGTGGTAACTCGGGGTATCTCCTGTAGGACAGAAGCCTGCATTGTACAGTGGAAAGGAGAAGCGATTGGTGGACCAGCAGATGCTCAGTTCACTCCAAAATGCTCACTTGTAGAAGGACTCGGAGAAAATGCGCGCAGCATCTGCCTTCTCACACGGAGCGGGCGAGAGAGCTATCAGCCCATCCATGCCCGGGCATGCCCAGGTTGCCTCGACAAGCTTTTCGACGTCTGCTTTGGAGAACCCTATGTCCGCCAGCGTCCCCGAAAAGCCGACCTTGTTGTGGAAGGCACGCATGCGCCTGAAAGCCTGTTCTGCTTCGTCGGGTGTTCCTTTGAGGTTCCCCAGGATCGGCCTAAAGAGGTCGTTCAGGTAGCCACAGACCTTCGGCCAGATGTGCTTGAGGACCGCCGGCTGGAGGAGTGCCAGACCTTGCCCGTGGATGAGGTTTGGCACATATGCTGAGAGCGTATGCTCTAGAGCATGGGTGAGATGTAAGCAACTTTCATCGAAGCACAGACCAGCTATGGCTGCAGCGTACGTCAGCCAATAGCGGGCGCGCCTATCGTCTTTATCGGCAAGGGCTCTGGGGAGATAGCGAGCGACTAGGAAAACAACCTCTCGTGCCAGGGTGCACGAGTATGGCGTAGCTATCGTCGTGGTGGAGCCTTCCATTACATGGTTGAGAGCATCAATCGTCGTGAAACGGATCATGTCGGTGTTCATAGAAAGCATCCCATTGACATCATCAAAGGAGTAATCAGGATAGATGACCGATGTGGCAATGCATGGCTTGTAAGGGTGGGAGTTCCCGGTGAGGATAGAAGCCACTGCAAACATGTCACACTCAGTTCCAGTCCCGTGGGTGATGTTGACCATGATAAGCTTAGAGCGGCGGTCAGGGGCAAACGTGTGCGTGTAAAGGTCAACGGCCGTCTTGTCTCTGTGCTCGAGAAGCACAGCAATCGACTTGGCCGAATCTCCGGGAGAGCCTCCACCAATGCTGCACACTACGAAGTTCTGATCGTACTTCGGACTAAAAAGCTCAACAGCCTCCGTCAAGGCCTCGACGGTAGGATTCGTCATAATCTTGTCGTAGTGCAAGTACGGGATGCCGCGCTTCTCCAGTTCGGAGGCAATCGTGTCCCAGAGCCCACATTTCTTGTAGGCAGACGGCGATGTGACAAAACCCAGACAGGATGGTTTAAGGTCGTCTAGGGCCTCTCCAAACTTTGCAATGGCCCCGTAGCCCAGATAGAGCCCCTTTTTCGTCCCATGTGTCAGCCTAACAACATGAGAAATGTCGAATTCTTCATAAAAATCTCCCATTTTATTTTATACTCCTAAATTCAAATTACTAACACAATTAAACGCCGTCAATGTTTATCTTCTGTCAAGAAGCCGTGTCAATCTTTACAGAGTGCCACTCACATCCTGGATTCCACATACCGCTGACCCTATTTATTTCAGAATGAAAAGAGCTTGGTTTGATGCCATTTACAGCAAGAACTACAAGAAGATAGAGTCCCTCCTCCCCTTGTATGATGATTGGCGAGCAGCTAACGGGAACACAGGGCTGATGGTTGCGGCCAGGATGGGATCTGAGGGCCTGGCTAAGTTGCTGCTGAACCACGATGCTGGAAAACGTAACGATGCTGGGGAGACAGCCCTGATCATTGCAACAAGAAGTGGAAATGCCGACGTTGCGTCTTTGCTTGTTTTTGTTGAAGCTGGGGTCATCGATAACAGAGGCTATTGTGCTCTCCATTGGGCTGTCCAGATGGGGAATGCTGCCCTCTTTAACATACTACTGCACTACGAACAGTATGTACTGGATGAACAGGGAGCAACCATGCTTATGAAAGCCGCTTGGTACTCACGACCGCAGTTCGTGCTGGATTTGAAGGCGAGGCTTCTGGGCCGGAGGGACTATACAGGTGACACTGCGCTGATCTATGCTATTCTCGGCGGATCTTCCCAAGTGATAGAGATGTTGCTGGAAGAGGTGTGCCTGTGCAATAACTATGGAAGCAATGGGTTGATGGAGGCTATAAAGTGTGGCTATGGTGATCACTTAATTAAGCTTCTGTCTACAGAAGCCCTACAATCCCTGGTAAGTGCTAAAGATCAATATGGAAGAACGGCTCTCATGTATGCAATTTTGTATACTGCACAAGATGCGGCAGGCGTGCTAGTTAAGTTTGAAGAAGATATACGAGATAACCAAGGCGATACTGCTGCTCTCTTAGCCAAACGCCTTGGAGTTACAAATCATTTTGCCATATTCGCTAATTCGAACCTATCAGCTAAGGTTCCTAATCCATCCGCTGAACTGACAGATTTATGCGACCTTACTCTAATACAGCAATCTGATCCTGCCGTTTCTGCTTTGAACGACCCCAACTGGAAATCTATTTCTGTAGAGTCGGCTTCTCTGCTCTCAGAGAAAAGCTCCGACTCTCACAGTTCTCTTGATGAATCAGGGAATGGCAGCTCGAACACTGCAGATCAAATCCTGTTTTCTTCCATGGCAGAGCGCTCGAGCAGCACCTCCCCTGTATATGGGCACGAGTTTAATTATCTTCGTCGCTTGCAAGGTAAAGCACCCGGGGGAAAGAAGTCCAAACTAATACAAAAGGCTCAAAAATCAAAGGCACTGACCTACAGGCGTGTCAAAGCCCTTTTTAATCCACGTAGGCGATGTCATAAACTTAGTTCGACAAAAAGAAAGGGTCCTGCGTCAAGAGTTGCTTCAAACAGACAAGCGCCTTCATGGCCTACTCAGAGATTGTCAGGGTCTAGAACACAGTATTCTGCTAAGAGAAAAAGACAAAAGCCCCAAAGACATCACAAGATGATAAGGAAAAAGGAGGATATATCTATTTCCTTTAGCACAATGGACGCCCCGTCGCACGATGTTACTGAGAGCGGCCACAAAGAAGACGCTCATGAAAGAGGTCTTACTAAGTATGGCATATTACCATCTCTGTGTTACCCAGATGAAGAGCAGGAAGTAGAAGGGCCACCCGGCGCCTTGACGTTCAGCGCACAGTCATGCTCTAGACCTCCAAGTGTTTGGACCTCTGTTTCTAAGCGGAAAAGCGTCCCTTTGAACGAGTACCGAGCAAAGAGCTATAGTAAGAAGTACATTAAGGCGCTAATAACAGGAAATATTTTACAGGTTAGAAAGCTGGGTAAGAAGGAAAAAGACTATGGCCATTATCATGGAGACACTGCCCTGATGTATGCAGTACGTGTTAACAACCCCTCGCTGGTTCGTGTGCTGGCGCCACTAGAAGCAGGCAGGCTCAATCCTGCGGGAGAATCAGCACTTATGGTTGCCGCTCGGAAGAATAAGCTTTTTGCCGCGCGATTCCTGGCTCCATACGAGGCAGGATACCAGGATTCCTGCAAGTACACAGCTCTGATGTATGCCGCCCAGCACGGGAACTTTTCGATTGTCAGATTGTTAGCGAAGAAGGAGGCAGCTATGCAGAATAGGACGGGAGAGACAGCTTTGATGCTAGCGACGCGATACTACTACCCAGAGATTATGGCCTTTCTCTCTCCGTTTGAAGGGCATATTGCAGACAGTACGGGTATCACCCCACTGATGTACATGACCTTAAGGAATGATAGAAACATGGTAAGGATCCTTGCTCCGCACGGTTCTAGACAGACAACATTGAAAGGAACTACCGCTCTGATGATGGCTGTATCACGGGGATACTATGAGTGTGCAGGAATTTTGCATGAAGCAGAAGCACAGATGCAGGATCACAGAGGCAGAACGGCGCTTATGATAGCAGCCGGCTGTGGAAACAGTGAGCTAGTCCGACTGATGATTGGAAAAGAGGCTGGGATGAAAGACGCCATGGGCCGTAGAGCAAGCGATTATGCGCGGCTTAATGGATATACGAACGTGGTTTTCTTCCTCCACAGGTGGGAGCCTTGGTAGTCTTTATGTATTAATTGTCAAGATAACTGCTTCTTTGTCTGTGTATGCTGCACTCTGTGCAACACTAGACCTTTGGTCATTAAAGGACATGCCCCTCTTGACCTGCTGGTCTATCAAGTAGCTCTTAACCATTTCGTCGTATCCCTCTTCGTGTTCGATGCATTGCGAAAGGGAGCTGAACTCCACATACTCCCCTGTGTTCCATGTATAGACAGTTACAGATTGCATACCTCGTCCTGTTACAAGAAAACGATCTAACCTGGAGTCGTGGTCCACCGTATAAATCGGATACTCTAGTATGCTACATCGAATACGCGACATATCTGTGTATGCATCAACCTGCACCTGCTCTCCCAGTGTGAGCTTATTAAGAATCTTACTGAACTCCATCTCTACCTCTGCTACTATACTTAAGGGGATAGAGATCATCTTGGTTCGATTGGAGCCTCGGAAGAAGAGGGCGATAGCCCCTGACAATTGAGAGCTTGCTATGAAAATAGGGATGTACTCCCCGATGTTGCCAGACTCTATGTGCACGGGAATCTCGTACTCCATTTCGCCAGTCGAGAAGCTATATGACTGGATGGAGTACACAGCCACATAATTCCTACTTTGCCCCTTAGCTATGCTATATCCTGCTCGGTTTGCGTCCCTGATAACTTTCTCATCAGCAGTAATGTTGCTAGGCTCTTGGACTTCGATGCTGTCTACCACAAGGACAATAAGCGACTCTGTAATGGCATTAATGGTTATCAGAACAGGTGTTTTGATTAAAGGTACCAGGTCATCGAATCGATAGCGGTCAGACGGAATGCCCATGTTTTGAAATGCATAGGCATGTGCTAATTGTGGATACCGAGTTATTCTTAGCATTTTTGGCTTGGAATTGAGGAGCAGACCTTCAACTGAGAAGATCGACACCTCGTTTCGCAAGTTAATCATTGCCAACACTTCTCTAGATCTTCTAGACGACCCTCCGCTAACACCTACTACCACCTGCTTGATTGGAAAGTTACTTATGTACACCAACCGTAGCTCTGCGTAGCCGTTTGTGCATATAGAAAATAGGTAGTTATCTATGTACAAGAGCAGGTGAGAACCGGAGGGAGTAAAGATTATATTGTGGTTAGTCTCCAAAGGCCTTGCTAACTCACCGGTAACAAGCATCTTCGTGTAGCTTTCTGCGATGTAATAGAGTGCCGCCTCGACTTGCTTTTTTGACCCCGTAGTCACTTTGACAGACTGGGGTTGCCTGGATAATATGTCCGAGTAAGCCTGCTGGGCAGTTGCTTGGCGTGCAGAAGCAGACCGCATGGACTTAGATCGATTATTGACTGCAGCATGTGACCCAGAGGCAGCGCTCTCTGTATGCCCGCCTCTAGACGTAGATATGATATCGTTGTCAAAAGTAATTGTCTCACTCGTCTCGCCAATCCACGAGTCGAGCTCCTCCCGCTCAGACTCTCCTTGCGTGCTCAGCTCCTGCTCATAAATAGAGGCATCAACGTGCATGGACTGCATGTAGGTTGTATTGACTGCTATCATCTCTAGCTCTGCGTTGGCAGAACGCTCTGCGGCTAATTTTGAAGCTTCTCGCAGGAAGCTGCGGAGGTTACAATTATAGATGACTGTCTGGTTAGAAACATCAAGGAGCAGGCAGTTCAGGGTATTTGTCATGACTGCTATCACATAGGAAGTTGGATGATAGCAGCACTTTCCCAGAGGGGGGCTGTATGTGCTGATCAGCATGCTGGTATCTGGCTCCGAATCTGCCACTTTGAAGTATACTGACCTCAGCCCCGTGGTTAAGTTGAAAATGTTGATCACATTGTTTGTGAGAGCGACTCCCTCGTTGTGTTTTGGATCAATCCTGGCGTCTATGACGTTCTTATACTGTGTGCAGAGAACTGTGTTGTAAACTGGCCCTTTGCTGTCCCCAACAGATAATAGACCCACATCTCCGTTGAGGCAGACACTCATAAATGTTCCAGAGGACGTTGGAGCCTGTAAAGTCTGCAACATTTTCATGCTTGGAGTAGGCACGCTAGGTAACGATAGTCCTATATTATTAAATACCAAGCGCTGGGTGCTGCCTTTTAGATGTGTTGTTAATAGGTTCCTAAATTGCCTATTGAGTGAATCTGCTGTCTCGCGAGAAGTTAGGGTCTTTGAGTCCGCGCAGCTGCCACCGTGGTTGTGGTGCATTCGCAGAGTGCTCAGAACAGGGTCTTTCTGCGTGGCATTGTTAATGGGTCGGAATCCATTGTTGACCACTTCATGCTGCTTAGATCCAGTGTCACTTGTATCACTGGCACTGTCAAAGAAAATGGTATCAATAGACACAGAGGGATATTGAGACCCAGTGCTTTCTCCATGAGTGATGCTTTGCCGCATCCTACTTCTTTGGCCTAGCATGTTTATGTAGCTCAATTGTCCAATGAGGTCCTGGGCCACCATGGTCGCTGTCTGATCCATGGTCGATTGGTCTGATTGCTGATCTGGAATAAGAGAGGACCCTTGCCGTAACATAAATGGGCCTCTTTTTATATAATACATGTTGTTTGCAAGATGGGCATCGATGTTCTGGGGTTCCTGAGGAGATGTATTATATACTGGCGGAGCTAGTCTAGACAAATCAGTGGCTCGTGGTCTGGTAGACGAAAGATTGGAAATATTTGGAGGTATAGTGCTATAGACAACAGTGTGCTTTATGGCATCATCATCATAAAAGGACGATTTGCTAATGCCGGAAAATCCACCCAACTTACTGTCCCCAATTATTCCCAGGGGACCGTTTGGTTGCTTCGAAGCATAATCCGATTGATACACTGGCGGAGAGATTACTTCCATGCGGCTTGTCCCAGAAAGTATGACCTCGCGAAGATAGACAACTGGGGCTTTAAAGCGAGATTGCATAATCAACGTTTCAAAGTTATTCGTCCAGCTTCGAACGATTCCATCGGTGCTGCTGAAGATAATATAGTTGTTTATGGAGGAGTCCAACAGTGGCTCCGGCACCCGGTTAACTGAGAGGGCGCATGCAGCCAGAGGACGGTAGTCTGGTGTGTTACTAGGAAGCAAAAGCATAATCTTGCTTGAGTCCCGAAGTATCTCAGTAAAGTTAAAGATAAGTATCACGCCACATGCAGTTGCTATTTGAACCCGATTTGGTCCGCTAAAGCATATGTCAGTGAACAGAAGCCTGGAAAAACGCTTGATAAGCCTGAAAAGCACAGACAGAAAGCGCTTGTTTGCCTTCTCAGGCTGCATGATATTCTCAGAGATGTATCCCAACACATACTTCTTGATATTGTGGGTTAGGTTAGATTGTACCTCCTTGTTACATATATCCACTGCAACAGACTTAATATACCCTGCTCCATGAATATATTTAATCCTCCATCCCCTGAATTGTGTGGCAGACAGGGTCACGAACTGGTCGTTTGACCCTGGATGGAACAGGACCTGGATGACTGGTTCAAGGGTCGGCGAAGCTTGTAATTGATCACCTACTGCCATGCCGGATAGAAGTATAAATTCGTTGGATAGGTCAATGGCATCAGTTAGATCTATAACGGCCGTTACTACCGAAGTCAGTGAACTGTTGCACCCAGCGATGACCAGCTTGGTTGAGTCGTCGCTAAAGGACGCGGCCTGGATAATGTGTGGAAAGGCGGAGTTGCTGTTATAGAATAATAGCCCTTTGAGCCGTGCGCAAAGACTAAGGGGCATAACTTCGAAGAGTGCCAAGTACGTACCGAAGAACACAGCTACGAAAGGCGAATACTTTGCAGAGGCAATGAGAAGAACTTTTGTGGACTCATGTCTCTGCTTGTCACTCATCTCTCCGGCAGTCTGACTAGAGCTCAAGGTATCAATAATATCCTGGATCTCTGCTTGACCTAGTGAAGTCTGATTGCTCAGATCCCCGTTATACTGCTTATACCGTGCATAGGTAAATGGTTCAGTTGAGTTCTTGGGCTTGTAGAGCCCGACTTGCTGATGAATGCTCTTATATCCTATCTGGTGGAGGCATTCTGTGGACGGAGTACCGTGGTCAGGATCGGTGGACTCTGTACAGGTATTCGAAAGAGAGTCGTCATCTATCTGGAGAAGTGCAAGTGTGTGCTCCTTGTGCTTATCCTGCAAAAGCATAGACGTGAGACAGAGGATGCAGTAGTCATGGCTCAGTGAGAATTGCGCCCTGAGCGGGGACACCGCATAGCTACCATCATGTGATACTATATATTCATAAAAGGATAGAAGTGCAACTACATAATTGGCACTCAGGAAGCACAGAACAAGAGGATAGCCTGTGTACACAGGTTGGATGCCAGATGACGGATGCAACGCTAACGTTAGAGGTTCGGCCACACGTACCTTTTTCCTGGAATACTGTTGTTCCATCTTGGCAGCACTCTCATCGTAGAGGCGCCTCTTTGACTGCCCAATCATGGAGGCACGGTTAATATCCTGGATAACTTGCCTCTGGGGAAACACCTTCGTGGGTGTGAGCCCTTGTGCAGCCAGGGTTCGGCGGCATATCTCATTAACAAGTTGATTGGCTTGCTCCAGGACAGGCACAGTAGCGGCCTCAGTGGGTGCTGACTTAGCCGGAGACTTTGTAGAGGATGGTCTAGAAGCCTTTTTTGACCTAGCGAAAGATACACCATCAGGACTATCACAGACTGGAGGTTGATAACATGCTCTCTCCATCAAATCAAAAAGGCGCATGTTAAACGTGGCATTGAGGACCCGGCACGCAGCCTCCTCACACTGCTCATCGGTAGCATCATCCAGAAGCCCCCGTGCCACATTGTGACACGATAGGGGATCAGAGAGCAGGGATTTGTGGGGAAATGAATATATAAATCTAGTCGTTGATTGAAACCCTATGGTAATTTGAGGCTCAAGCGCAGACATGTGTGTAAGATAGCGCATCGGTACCTTATTGATTAAAAGGAAGCTACTCATATTTGCTGTATTGATATGCCGAAGCATCTGCTTTTGCCGTGAATAGATTTTGTCTATTAGTATCTTGACACCTGTCATGCCTTCATTGAATTTTGCAAATCCATCTTGCAGCCCCTGGTCAACTCTTTCTCCAGTGTCCACCAGGAGCTGGTTTATTGTCAATGTCTGCGTGGTATCAGAGGGGTTGAGAACTGGCAGATCGACCTTACTTTTCACTGCGACTGGCTGGGTAATTGCAATTGTTGGGGCACAAATGGCTGCGGTTAGGGGCGTCTCCACGGAGCAGCATCCGTCACTTCTGAGTCGAGAGTCTGAAATAGATAAGATTGCACCGCTTTCTGGCGTGCTAGCATTTAGCTCAGGAACGTCCTGGTTAAGAATCTCAATATCCGCCTTCTGGAGGAACATATCTGGCTCATCGGTTAAAGGATTAGTAGGTTGGACATATGACTTAGGTCTCTGTGTAACAGGGTCAGCCCCCAGTTCTCTCTTACTCCGTTTCTCTGATATATTTGCTGTGCGCACTGGCACTGTCATCACATTCTCACTCTCTGACGAGATAGTTGCTGATACAGGTGCAGATAGCCGGCGAGAAACGTTGCCTGGCACTTGGGCAGTCACTAGCGTTGTCGTGCTTGATTTGGTATTGTACTTCGCACTCTGAACGCCCCTTGTTCTCTTAATGCGTGCATCAATGGTTTCGGCATCCTGAAGGGATACAGTGCCTCGCTGTGCGGAGGTACTCCCGCGGTTCCTACGAGAAGATGGACGTAGCTTAGTGGGTAGTGGACCCATTGTTTCGATTTCTACCCTAGCAACCACCTCCCCAGATATCCCGGTGGGATGCTTGGCAACATTTCTGGACGGATCGAAGAAATCAACGTGCGTACAAAGCTTTGGCCACAGCCCGGAAAGGTTGCTCTTGTAAATGTTATTGCTTGCTTGAAAATCGTTTGCTTTTACATTGTCAAAGCCGACAGCAATCCAATCATAAAATTGCAACAGGGGAGGAATATCAGATTGGAAACGAGACTTGTAATTCCCTGATGCTAACTCAAGTGGAAGAGGAAGCAGCATCACTTCTGGTACGTCATAGGGGGTAAAAGGCTTGGTGCAAAAATAGACGCCCTTGATGACGGTGGACGACATGGCTTCAAACTGAAGAACCCCCTTGTATGAGATAGCATTTCTGTACGCATTGCGGAAAACTTGGTCCATGTCCACGGCAAGGGTGGTCCAACGGTTTAGCTCTAACGGAATGACAATAGACGTGCTCGTTACTTTGGGCTCGAGGCACGAGATGTTCGTGAACACAACCCTGACTGATGTACCGCTGCTACTGTGACAAAGAAATGCGATTTGATAAATGCCCATTTCCCCCTCCCCACCTATACTTGAGGCTAGCTGAACAAATACATATCTGTGTGTCTGACAATACGATTTGGGGTTGAGAGTCGCCGGGATAGTATACTTGTTTGCTGCTGGGGGCGTGCCCTGAGCCACAAGAACAGTTCTTCGAATCGTTGGATCTACGACAGTAAAGACAGCCCCCTTCTTGAGCATGTTGGTATTTGGAACTCCAAGGTTCTTGAACATGTCTACACAGGAGACAAACTTAGCTGTGGCCAACGCGGCCGACAAGGGTTTCATGCCCGCTCTAAAACAATTTTGTAGGATGGATGGGGTGCTAAGTCTTTGCAATTTGCGGCCCGAAACTGGTGAGGAAGGAACTGCAGAGCTTATAGCGATAACAGTCTTTGGTAGAGGAAACTATGTTTATGTGACAGATAGAAATGCCGTCTATTTAGTGACATCAAATGTAGTAGAAAATGTAACCCTTTGCAACTTTCTCTGTAGGCTTCAAGGCTCCTATTGTTCTATGGCATTATATAGTAATGGCGCCGCAACCCCGTGTGTGCTTGTCGGCACAACCAGGGGGCTCTATGCATACCCCCTACTCTCCAAGCAAGTATACAGCTCTCTCACAGCAGAGGCGGGACACGTAATTGCCCACGTAGAGACAGTGTCTAGCCTTATTATCTACTCCCGAGAAATAAAAGACCAGGGTAATACAAACTCAACTCTTCCCTTCCTTTGTCCGGGGAAGAACAATCTTAAAGCATCTCTCAAGCTCAAGCTAGCAGAAAAGAATAATTTTACTCCGCATGCACAAGAGAATCAGTACATGAGCTCGAGCCAGGAGCGCAAGTCTCAGCGAGGCGCCCCGGAGCCATCCACCAAACACTATGAATTGGTCATTTCCAGGTGGGATACAGGTAACAGATTACGGTACCTTGCCATAATAGACGACTGTATAGTATCTAATGGACAGTTCACGGCCCATGAGCAGGATGGGGTCTTAATCATAACGGCCTTTGCCCTTAACACAGGATCTCCTGTTATCTATTCGTACAGTGAGGCAGACAAGCTTATCAAGAACTATCCTCCCTCATACGACACAGAGCGGCTGATGGCATGCTCATTTAACTCTATTGGAGCTACAAGCCAGATTGTTTCCGCAATGGACCTAATATATGTCAGCTGCAATCACTCCTTATACGTATGCAATGTGTGCACAGAGAAACTCGTTCAAATTCCCTGCGAGAATATACTACAGATGACCCTGACACCATCCAATAACGTCTTAATTATGGTGAATCGTGGCCTGTATCTGGCCTGCTATAATTACAGCACAGAATCCATTACGATACACAAGCTGTATGACTTCGCAGCTTCTATTAAGCCAAATAGGATTGCGATTAACGGGCCATTTATTATGTGCTGTGGATGTCTCGTAAAGGGCAGCTCCGACGGACGTAGGGTGAACACGTGCATTCCAGTTACCATGTCTCTTGCTGGATCAGACTAGATATAAAGGCTCTACATCACAGCGCACCGACCGGATCGCTTTGCTCTCTCTACACCAACCAGGGTCTGATGAGGGATTCCAGTCGCCTGTCCCTCAAGTTCCTGTATCTTCTTCGCCATTCTACTCTCCAGATCCTTTGCACGGGCGACAGCACTAGCACCGTCAACTGTGTCTGCATTACCAAGAAATCGATCCTTGTTGATGCAACTGACGGTCTCTTCGGTATCCTTGCTTACCTCCACTGTGTGACCCATCTTTCCATCGAGAATCATACTGGTTACATCCACTCCGCACAAACGTCCTGCTAGGCTGATGAAGAGCAAGCCTACGCGATCGCCAGTCAAGGCCGACAATAGTAAATGTGCGGAAGCATTAATGGCAGCAGAAATCTCATTGCTTCGAAAGGACCGGACGACCCGGAGGGTGGCAAGATCAGACTTGTTGCCTACCAGATAGACGACGACATCTTTCATCGACTTAACCGATCTTCTCGCCATGGCATACCACTCCACAACGTTCTCCAGAGACTCGGCGTTAGTAAGGTCATAGACAAAAATGAGTGCGTTTGTGCCAGAAATGTATGCAGAAAGCATCTTGGAGCCAATTGATTGCCCTCCAATGTCATACAGGTTAAAGGTAACCTTGTTGCCGTCGTCGAGGCACACAGTTTGTGAAAAGAAGTCCACACCGATGGTCTGCTTGTACGATGTAGCGAAGAAATCTTTTGCAAATCTGCTACAAATGGAAGACTTGCCAACACTCCCATCTCCAAGCACCGTCACTTTGAATGTGCGAACCGTGGGTGCCTGCTCATCGGATGATTCATCCAGCTCCGCGAACCGGGCCATTGAGGATTAAAGCTTGATTTTTCCTGCTCAATTTAATTTATCAGCCTCCCCGCAGCTCAGGTCCACCTAGCCAGAGCGTGGCCAGAGCAACCGAGAAAGAGTTACATTGTTGGGCAAGAGTTTACAGGACTAGAATATAACACACTTTCCCTTTCCAGATCCATCCTTTTTCTTTCCTGCCTTGGAAGTCCCACTACCCATCATCCCCATATTCTTGAGAGCCGCGCGGATTGCACTATCAAACACGTCCTTTACGCGAAGTTGGCATCGGGCACTGCAGCTAATGTACTTAATGGCCTTTATCTCTTTTGCAACTTCCTCTGCACGTTCATCAGACACCGGGGATTGGTTCTTCTCTTTCATCTTGGCCAGGTAAGCCTCGTCGGACAGCAGGTCATACTTTGTTCCGACAAGGATCATCGGCACGTTTGGACAGTACTCCTTGACCTCTGTGTACCATTTGGATCTGATGTTTGCAAACGAAGTGCTGGAAACGACGCTAAAGCAGAGCAAAAATACGTGCGCCCCTGGATAGCTCAAGGGTCGCAATTTGTCGTAATCCTCCTGGCCCGCAGTATCCCAGAGACCAATATTTATCGTCAAGTTGTCAACAACGACGTTGGCAGAATAGTTGTCAAAGACTGTTGGCAAGTAGTCCTCTGGAAATGAGTTATTCGCATAGACAAAAAGAAGGCAGGTCTTGCCCACTGAGCCGTCTCCAACCACTACGGCTTTGATATGTATCATCCTTGCACCCGCTGTATCCTCATTTCCTGTACTAGTCATTTTTTAATTTTTGTAACATGAAAAATGTTTACATAACTTATCAATCAAACGTGCTATGTGGTGCTGGCGCGAGAGATGAGGTTAGCCCGCTCCTGTGCGATCGCATCCATCTCCAGCGGGTCCTCTAGGCAACGCTGCGCCGTAATAGAGTCATAGAGGGTAGATCCCGTGACCCAGAGCAGGCCGTTCGGACCTGCGAAGCCCTTGAAGGGAATTAATCTAGCCAGTTTTTTAAAGAGCAATCCCGCCTCGGCACCCATGGCCAGCGTTCCGTACACCACCCGTCCGTGCGCCGAAACGGTGTTGAGAGCCATATGGCCATCAAGGGCGCAAGTGAGCTGAGGTTGTGCGCCGAGGGGAGCGCTGGAGACCCGCGCATAGATGGCATCTCCGGGCTTCAAAAGGACAGGATTCTTACGGCTCGCCCCAATGAATGCAGTGGCGCCTATAAATGCAGGAAGCGCCGCCCGTATGTCGACAAGATATCCATCAATGGCCCTCTCTATGACCACCCCCACTATCGAGTCCCCCTCATACGGGGTGTAGAGGCGTGCAAAACGGGAGGAAAGGCTGAGAACGCCGGCCTTGTTTTCGGCGTAGCACACTGCGGTGGCCCGCAAGACCCCGTTAAGAACCGTCGCCTCAGAGCCCCCTGTGCACGAACCGGCTACGAGGCCGTCTCCGGGGACGACGAGCACCCCTGCTCCCTGCGCAGCATCCCCTTCGGCGACACCCATTCCGGGAAGAAACAAATTTAATTTGGAATTGTATGCGCCGCAAAATCGACAAAGCCAAAATTTGATGGACGCTGATCGCACTCCTGTTGCAAAGATATGGCCCGTAGAGTTCTGGTCTAAGCACGACGTATCCGTCTGGCTCAGCTCCATAGACATGAAGAAGTACAATCAGCAACTTCGCAAGCACGACGTCTGCGGACGCTCCCTGATGCTTCTCACCGAGGATGATCTGAAGCAAATGGGGATCGACAGCCTGGGCGATCGTAAGGCCCTTCTATATGAGATCAAGCGCCTAGACAGATGGGACGGCTTCCTCTGGAGGACGGAGCTCACGGAGGAGAACTCCGGGGAGATAGTGACGCTTGAACTCATCATGTCGCTCGCCCCCAACCACATGTCCGCAATCTGCACTGTCCGCAACGCATCCGGAGCCGAGGAGATCCCTGCAATCAAGGTCAAGTGGATTTTCAGCCAGGGCACAACTTCGGAGCACGACGACGTTATAGAGAGGTTTAGCACGTGCGCCATGTACGATACGAAGCAGTCCCGATCCATCATCAGGCTGCCTTGCCCTGTCAGCGACGCGGAGGTCGAGGTCGAGCTCGCGTAGGCGTCATCCGAGGTGAACGGTCGTGTAAACTCTATCTTCAGTCCAGTCGGGGCTCGCACCCGCTTCCCTTTAAATTTTGGCTTTTGCGGTGGGAGCTCCCGAGCAGCAGTTTGGATTTTTTTGGCTCTGTAAAATTTTATAGCCCCATGTCCCACAGCAACGCCCCAGAACTGCATCCTCAGATCGTGGACCCCTTTCACAACGTGACCTACCGTCCCGGAAAACTACTAGGAAAAGGCGGCTTTGCATACGTTTACGAGTTCCACGACGTTAACTCTGACTCCTCCTACGCCTGCAAAATTACTCCACGCTCGGCTCTCCAGAAGAAGAAGTACTATGATAAGTTCGTGACGGAAGTCACCATCCACCGGGGGCTTGTTCACCCCAACATTTGTAGAGTTCTGAATGTCTTTAAGGATCAAATGAACTACTACATTATTCTTGAAAAGTGTAATGGAGGTACATTGACAGATCTCATCAGGCGGCGGAAACACCTCACAGAAACAGAAGCACGCTTCTTCAGCAAGCGTATCCTCAATGCTCTTTGGTATCTCCACGACCTCTACATTATTCATCGGGACATTAAGACGTCGAATATTTTTTTGATGGAAGACTTCGACGTGAAGGTTGGGGACTTTGGGCTTGCAGTCAAGTGCGAAACTCCAGAGGAGCTGCACTGGACCATGTGTGGAACGCCAAACTTTCTCCCCTCAGAGGTCATATATTCGCACATAATGAAACGCAAGGCTAGCGGGCGTGGTCCAGACCCGAACTTGGACGAGGACTGCGTAAATCTCTGTCACCAGCTTCTTCCAGCGTATTCGGGTCAGGGGCACAGTTTTTCGGCTGATATGTGGTCATTTGGCTGTCTTGTCTTTTCAATGATATATGGTAGGCCCCCATTTGAAGCCGCGGACATCAAGACGACCTACAAGCGCATCGTTCGTTGCGATTTTTCTTTCCCAGGCTCCATCTCTGTGAGTGAAGACCTCAAGAACTTCATCAAAGGCCTGCTAACTCCAGATCCCCGCAAGCGGTTTACCGTCAAGGAGTGCTTGGACCACTCATGGCTTAATCCGTCCAAGTACTTTATCCCAGAGAGCCTACCACCAAGGATCATATCGGAACCCTACGAAGTTCCACCTCTGTGCTCTGCGTCACCGACTCGCAACATGCAGATGACTATCAACATGGCCAAGAACGCCGGAGGAACGGATGGTCGTTTCATTGCAGCCACTCCGCAGGCCATTGGGGGTACCGAGCACATACCAACTCCTGGGACCGCAAACTTTTACAAGCCTCAAAATGCAATACTTACGACCAAGAGCGCAGCAGGCATCTCTCGCGCTAGCACAGCGATGGCCATGCAGAACGTTGGATCTGCACAGGGTGTGGTCAATAAGTATGGCATCAATGAAGCCGAGTATCCACAAATAGACCCACCGTGCTACATCATGTCCTGGGTGGACTATTCCAACCGGTATGGGTTTGCCTACCAGATCAGCAACGGCAGCATCGGCGTGATATTTAACGATGAATCGGCTGCGATTCTCTCTCCCAACGCTCTCATCGTTGACTATTCTCCGTCTCTCCTAGACGCTGCCTTTGACAGGGCCTTGTTCGAAGAGGGGACTACCATTCTCTCGGAGAAGAAGTTCAAGCTCTTGTCCTTCTTTAGAGACTACCTTGAAAATAGGTCTATTGTGCCCATTCCAGCAGCCGATCGTCCCAAGGAGGATGAGGAGCTGAAGAGGGTCATTGAGCAAGAGCGCATGAATAATCAAGAGATAGACTTCAAGCGACTGACAAAAGGGCTTCCTCTGCCACAGCTCTTCCTTAAGAAGTGGAAGTTGTACGATGACGGCACTCTTTGCCTTCTATTCAATACCAAGGTGTTTCAGGTTAACTTCGCTGACCATTCCAAGGTGGTTGTCGCGCACCGAAGCGTCACGTTTATGAGCGAGAAGCGCGAGATATACACATATCCTTCTGAGTACTTGAAGGACGACAGGTTCTCATTCAAGGAGCTTCGTCGTAGAGTTGACAGGGCAAGGAAGTACTACGAGATCATTAAGGCGGCAAGGCCTGTTGATTCCTTGGCACAGTACAGATATAACAAGGATTCTACGAAGAAAAGCGCCTCTGGCTCCTCCACAAGGCAGCTCGGTCAGGGAGGGGAATAGGACGCTTTTGTGGCTATAGCTACACAGGTCTTCTTCTTCTCTAGATTCCCTTTTAGTTTTGCTGCGTAAGGGGGCTTACTAACTTGTAAATGAACATGGATGCCGGCTGGTCAGACCAAAAAATGAATGTGGTCCGGATTCGGCCGTCTGCGGTCCCTGGGCGGCAGGAGGTTGCCGAACTAGCGGTCTCCACGGACCAGTGCACGCTGAAGCTTAGCTCACTAACTTTCTCAATGTCTCGGTCCTTCAAGTTTGACAGGATTTTCACCCCCTCCTACCCCATTTCTGCATTCTATGAAAGCACTTGTCTATCAATCGCAGAGGACGTTCTTTATGGACGGCGGTCAATGGGAATTGTAGTTCTAGGCTTGCCTGCAAGCGGCAAGACATACACATCCATCGCCATTGTAAGACGCACCCTTCTACTCGCGCTCAAGAAGATAACCGAGGGCGGGTTTGTAACGTTAACTGCCATATACCTCAACGAGATCGCTCCAATGCAAGAAAAGATACTACTGGAGCACAACTTCTGCTCCACTGACGATTCTATCTGCCTTGAGCGGACACTCGGAAGAGCTGTTCAAGAGTATGCACGAGTCCAGAATCCTCACTCAGGTTTTCTTTTGCGGATACAAGAAAAAGGTGCGACAACGGAGCTCAAGGTCCTTGATGCTTCGTCTCAGCAGCTGCCTCTCCTACAAGCTCTTCATAAACATCTTACGACGCGATCCCTTTTGGCGTTGAGGGAGTCAAAAATGCTTCAGCACATGAAACCCATTTATCCTGGCAAGAACATGACATGTTCAGAGACGCAGATTCTCACCATTTCGTGCGTTGACTACAATCTGATCCACGACAATACTAGATTCCAGGACACAATAAAGCAACTGGCATTTGCTGAAACGCTGAGCTATGTACGACAAGCACAGACTCTGACTCTCGATAGCCTCGCTGGTGTTGCAAGTACGCTGGGAACCAGATCTTCGAACTCCATTGCCATGACAAGCATTGGCGAAGGCGTTGACAAAGGTAGCTTCAATGCTCGCTCTAGCGTAGACGTTGCTGTCCATCATGAAACCGTCCACCAAGCACTGCGTGTTCAGACAGCCCTGCAAGAGAGACTCAAGGCGGTCAAAGAGCAACTTTCTCTAGTGGAGACAGCACTATCTGAAGAAAAGGCCAGAAATGGACTGCGTGAGAATGAGCTGCAAGGGGAGATTATTGAGCTTCAGGGTAGAGTTGAATCGTTATTAGCCAAGAACTTTAGCTTAGAACAGGAGAACAAACTGCTCCGTGATGAACTAGATCATGCAAGGCCAAGGCCTCCGTCCATGGATTCAGGAATGCGGCCAAATACAGTACGTTTCCTGCATCAACCGGAGACAACGCAGGCGGCAGTAGGACGAGCAGATGCTTTGAGGTCTGGCACCTTCCCAGGAAATGTACGTAATCAGGCGGCTTCTATAGCTGCTTCCCAAGATTTCTCCCGAGTGAGACCCGCAGTGGTAGCGGGTCTTTCCCTCCCGCAGAACGAAGACGAATTTGACGCATTTTTACTGCAGGCAGCAACTATGAACCGAGAACTAAAGAATAGAAGCTCAGTCAATGTTTAATTGATCCCAGTAAATGGCACTTTTCGATAAAAAACAGAATTTCTTGTATGACGGACCCCACCCTGGCCCATCGCATAGCGGAACGGCTAAACGCACGCAAGAGTCTCTTGACAGGCATGTCTACAGGACTTACAGAGTCATCTCTGAATCCCCCATCTGCCTCCTTTTCGTCTATTGGAGGCGTTCCAAACGGAACATCTGATCCGAGCGGGCTAGTGATTAAACCAGCAGCGCGGCAGCACTTTGATGGTGCAGGGGGCCAAGCTCTTGGAGTTCCTCTGCCAGCTTTTCACACGATGCAATCTAACCTGGATAGCGTCACAAGCGAGTCTATAGCTCGTGGCAAAGAGCTTAACAATGCGCGGCTAAAGACCCTTGCGCTTGAGCGCGATAATGCCCACATAGCATCGGAGCTCAAGTCGAAGGATATGGCTTTGCGTCGCACAGTCGCAGAATCTGCAGGGGAGCGCCAAGCTCTGGTCGAAGCCCTACAGCAAGCAAAGGCTCAGGTGAATAGCTTACGAGAAGATTATGCCCGTCGTGAAGACCTCGTGCATCGTCTTGAATCTCGCTTGACAGCTCGCACTGAGGAGTTGAAGCAGCTGACCACCAAGTTATCTAATACCGAAATAGAGCTACAGGACGAGCGCTTGGTCTCTCGAAAGGCTGCACAGGATCTAGAGATCCATACGGCGCGATATGAGTCGGCAACTCACGAGATTTCCAGCCTTAAAGAACTAAACAAGCAGTTAAAAGTGGAGGTTGATGACTTGAAATTGAAGTTAAATATGCAGAAGCACGCAGAAGATGACCTAAGAATGCTTCGCGAAAAATACAAGGAAGAAAGTGAAGAGTGGATGAGAACAAAAGCCGAGCTTCAGCAGGCGCGTGGTGACCTGAGTGTCATCGATTCCAAGATGAAGGCTATGGAAAATGACTCTAACGAGACAAAGAAGCGTATGGACTATTTCAAGAACCTTGACGATGAGGCCTCTCAACTGCGCAAGAAGATGCGTCTGTTGACGGAAGAGAACGAACAATTGCTTCATCAGAAAAACTTTCTTGATCAACATTTGACTAGCGAGCGGGAGGCCGGTATTGCCATAAGCAACTATACCAGATGTATTATTAACAATGAGGACCCCACACAAGCGGCAACAGACTTAGACAAGTACCGTGAAACTAGCCTTTACTCTTGCTTTAGTTCTGTCCTGGCTAAGCTGCGCTCCGAATGCAGCAAAGTCAAATCCTTGGAAGATGACTGTCTCAAGGCAGAGAAGAACATCTCTGCCATGCGTAGGGAGAACATAGAGCTTTCGGATGCCAAGGAGGCCCTCCAGATCGAGCTGGCTCGTATGGAGACAGCCATGGCCCGGAACAATTCCGGTTATGACTCACTCTCCAAAGACATGGATGAGTTGAAGATTCAGCGCGACAAGATTGCAACAGAGCTAGAAAAGCTGCGTGTTGAATCTAATAGCGCCATTCAAATGCTCGTGGCTAGTCTGGCTTCATCAAAGAAATATCTTTCCTCAAGCGCGAACGCCCTGGCCATGCAAGGAGACTTATCAGGTACAGCAATGAGTAAGTCATTCGGGGCTAGTACAGGAATCAACATGACTGCGACCAATCTCCAACTACAGTCGATGCTTCCCGGAGACTTGAGTAGTACGAAGGGTTCTGGATCGGTATCAGATGTTGCTTCCAATGCAGCAACATATATAACTAAGCTTCAGCAAGAGATTCAGCTTCTCAATAGGGAGAATGACGAGCTGGGAACAAAGTATACACAATTGGAGCTTCAGAACCGCGAGCTATCAAACAATACTACAGACAGCCTTGCTGAACTGGAAAGCGGGAAGCGGAAGCTGGTGGAGCAAACGGGACGCTTGATGCAGTTAGAAACAGAAAACAATACTTTAACTACGAATTTGATTGTTTCGGGCCAGACAATTCTTTGTTTATTGCGCGAGGTCAGCGATGATCAGGACAGGCTGAAGCGCATCCATTGTTCCAAAGAGCTGGCTGCCACACTTCTTAACCGAGCCCTATTCGAGATATCAAGTACAAGAGAGATTCTTCTTCGTTACGAGGAGTCTTCTGATCCAAAGAAAAACCGTCTTAACAGGACTGTGTCAAAGTTACGTGTTGCCGTCCACGTTATCACCTTTTTGTCACGCTTAGAGCAAACAATGGGCGATCATAGAAGCTACACCCGATCCGTTGAAGAAAGACTTAACAACTTGCTCCAGGTCAACTCGATTCCTCTCCTCCCTCCCACTAATGCGACCTTCTCCGGAACAGCAACAGCTGGGCCTCTTGGCACCACCACATATAGTTCACTGGCGAGCACCCGTGGCCTTTCCGGAACTGCGATAGGTGGAACCACGACGACTTTAGCCGGAGTTGAAGTGACACCGCCACCCATCCTCGAGCTATCTGCCAAGTTCTGCCAGGCCCTTCAGAATCACGTGCGTCTTCTTTCAGACTACAGGTATGGTGGTTTTGCTATGTCTGCACGAGACGATCGGGCTCGCGCCATTGTGAAGCTTCTCGACGTCATGGCTCTTGCACCGAATCCTACAACGGCTGTATACTCTTCTCTCCGCTACACAAGTATCATGTCTGGTCGCACACTAGGTGGTATAAGCTTGGGCATATATGTACAGCGACCGCTCACTCTTGCAGAGTTGGCAATGGATATCTGCAAGTACATGATCAAGAGAAATGATAATCTGTATAATGGACTCACCGAAAAGGAGTCCTTTGTCACACAGGTTCAGGGCGAAAACGAGATTCTCCGTAACAAAATCAACGACCTCAATTGCCAACTACTCGATCTCGGAACACGCTTTTCGGGAATGCAGACTGAGATGAAGACCGATTTCGTGGCCATTGATGAGTATGAATCCGTTGTCAAGGACAGAGATCAAATAAAGTTCAAGCTGAATAACGCAGAATATCAGAACCAGGAGCTACATAAAGACAATGATCAGATCCGCTCAGACGTCGAGATGTACAAGAGAGAGCTAGAGAGGGCGTCAGAAAGTGCAAAACAATATGAGCTCAATATCAATGAACTCAACCTTCAGATCCGCGAGATGACTAACACAATCGCTCAGTACAAGGTCATGTCTGCAAACTTCGAAGGACAGCTGAGCATAAATGATAATCAGCGTAGAGACATGGACAACATGGTGAACTTTCTCAACAAAGAAATCGAGCAATTACAAGTTAAGATCCGCGATTTGACAAGCGATCTTACTGCTAAACATAATGGTCTAGTAGAGCGAGACGAAATGATAGGCCGCCTTAGCTTGCAACTAGAGGAAGAGATCAAGGCTAGGAAGGCTGTTGAAGATCGGATGCTTTTTGATACAGAGGAACGGCGCCGCAAAGCAGAAAGCAGAATTAATCTTTTGGAACAGAGAACGTCTATTGAAAGTGGCCTTGCGCGAGACATAGCCAATATTACTGGGGCCCCACCAACCTCATTAACTGCGGGTCCTTTGAACATTGGCCTAAGCAGCCCAGGCTACGGAACCAATCCACCAAGCATGACTTCCTTCACCCGACCGAGTACTAGTGTGTCTGTGTATCCTCTTAGCACAACTGGATCCCAACCCAGTATGCCGCCTACCACAATGGCTAAAGAAGATATACGGAATCTAATAGCTCAGCTGGACAAGAGTCTTGGGATGATTGACTAATGTAAAGATATCGTTGCACTTGTTTGTTTGATGACAGATCTATGAGAAAACCTGCTTCATCCACCGGGTAGTTTTAGTACTTTGCCATAGTGATCTGCTAGTAGATATGACAGGACCCGCACGAGTAAATCGCAGGGCATCCGGCGTGGCAGGGCGCCACCCTTCGGGGGCTCGTCCTCAAGGGGCGGCCATAGCGGGATTGACGCCCTGACCGTCGAGTCTGTGCAGGAGCTGATAGCGTCATTCAAATGGCCTTCAGGCCTGGGAAGCCCCCTCTGGCCACCGTGTGCGAGATGCCTTGTCGCACAGTGCAGGCGCGTGATAGCAGCTGACAGAGCCGGCGCAAGTTGCAGCCGAGCTGTGGCTCTTGCGCCTCTCCGAAGCAGGGCGACAGTGTCTAGAAGGCGCGAGGTTCCCGCGGTTCATCTGGAGCCAGCCTTCCCCGCGGGTGCCGGAGGCTACTCCAAGCCAGCCGGGGGTGTCACAGAACAAGCATCTTGAGGGCTCCCTAGGTGCAGTGGCAAAGGGACATCCACTGCTTCTTCGCCAGCGGCTTGCCCGGTGGACCACAGGGCCTCCTAGGCCGCCAAGCGCGAACACAGCTGCGATGAGTGGCTACTGTACGCCATTGTAACACGAGGTAGATGTGCAGGACGTCAGAGGCGTGCTGAGGAAGGCCTCTTTGTTCTTTGGCTTTCTATGCAGCTGTCCCTGGTAAGGATGTTGAGCCCATGCTCACAAGTCACGGCCCCTTTGAGAGTGACCAAAGCTGGTACTCAAACAGAGATAGATGGCTGCCTTGCAGATCTCGAATCGCTGCGCATGCCGGCCCAGAGAGGCCCCGATCAGCCCGTCACTAGGGACGAGGATCTCAGCATAGAAATCGCCAAAGCCTCCCGCGCCTCGGATGGACCCAGGCGATGGTAATACGGGGTTGAGGGCCCCGCTACACCCAGGCAGACTAAGCACTGCCTCTGAGCATGACATCAGGTCAGGGCCCTGTCGCAGATAGAGGGGCGAGGGTAGAAGCCAGCCGAGGCGGAGCAGCTGCATAGACGGGAGCGCAGGTTATTATGGCAGCAGACTTCCACAGACGAGGGAGCCCGCGCTCTACTCCAGGATGAAACAGCGACGCCCCAGAGTGCGGCCCCGAACCATGCTGCACCCCTCCTTTTGTGGCGCAGGAAGACTGCATGCACTTCAACCACGATGCACCCGGCCTTGAATACTGTGCGGAAAGACGGGCGGCCAGTGCGATTCATGCGACGCAAGGAAGATGCCTCGCCTTCTGGTGCCCTACAATGCGGGGAACATAGCCCTCTGCGCACGGGCTGCCTGCTTAAGGACGGCAAGCACATGGAGCCAGGCGAGAAGAACCGGGCCTTGATAGCGGCACGGCTGTCTTCAAGGGAAGGGTGATCTCTTGTCTCTTTAAGCAAGACGTGCTGGATCGCACAAGCTTGCGATTGGGTGAGGAAGGCTTCTGCATGCAACTCTCCGACGCAGCCCAACTGCAAACAGGCGGCAGCGAAAGGACCACGGGTTCCAGTCGTGCAGAAAGAGGATGCGCCTTTCCGAGGTTACACGTAGCCATCGGGCGGGGGCGTTCTCTGCAGATGCTACGTGCTATGTAGGGTCGTGTCGAACCGAAGGACCACTCTTAGATGAGCCAGACCAAGGTGCCCCCACCCACGCGAGACGGGCCTGTCAAATATATGGCATGCCTGCGAAAGCGAGTGCTGACAGACGGGGGCCTTGGGGGTAGATCTGGCATCCTAGCCCAGAGAGTGAACGAGGGCGGCCCGCGATACTTGTCCAGCTGAAGTGTGAACGCTATGATGTCTTAGGTTGGACAAGCGGTTCTTAGTGCCTCCCTGAGAGGCTGTCGAGGAGGCGCTTTTGGATGAGGGGACGGCCCCAGCCAGGCAGACGTGATCACAGAAGAAGGGGCGCTGGAAGCCGGAACAGTAGCTGACGACTGCGTGTCTGCGCAGTGCAGTGCCCACTGCTGTCAGCCGGCACACGGCGGTCGTCAGGACGCAGAGCTGCAGAGTGCTGGAGGCGCCGGGCGAGGCCAGCCTCGCTCATGGGATAGTGGCTGCCTGAGCCCCGCAATCCTGCAAGTCTCTGGACGATGGCAACAAGAGGCTTTCTGTGGCACGCGTCTGTCAGGATGGCGCACTCTGGCCAGACTAATAGTGATGGGATCCAGGACCCAAAAAAGCAATCTGCCTGGATGGCGGTGTGCATCCCAGAGTCGGCGCCGTCTCTCGTGTCCGGCCCTGTGCCACTTCACGAACATCACGATCGCTGTGTCCCCCACGATGGTCACTCAGACAATCAGACAGATTACAGGATACGATAGCTATGGGTGTCAAGGGCCACGAGCACTGGTGACTCTTCTCTGTATTCCGGTAGGACCTTGTAAGAGCATAGCGGTAGACGCGTTTACTACCTAAGTACATCTACGCTTTGCCTCTGCAGATGAACCACCAGCAGAGGAAGCCAACGAGACCCCCAACGACGACGATGACTGCGACGGAGATGCCGGCTATGGCACCTGTGCTGAGCCCGCTCTTGTTCGTGCTTCCGCCAGTATTGTCGCCGGTATTATCATCCGTTTCGAAACATATGAACTTGCCGTTAACAGGTGTCGCGCACTGCCTGCATCCAGCCAGCCCCTCGGAGCACTTTCTGCACGGCCCATTACTGCTACTCTCCTTGTAATATCCAGGAGCACATACCTTGCATGTAGTAGCACCGGCTTCGCAGGTGTAGCAACTTTCGTGGCATTTCGTGCAGGCACTGCCAACCTTCACATATCCGTCCATACACCTAGAACAGTCCTTAGTGGTGGTGCATTCAGCGCACCCAGTGTAGCAAGTCACAAGGCTCTCGCCTGTCAGGCTAAATCCTTCTTCCGGAGTCTTGCAGATTCCGCCTGTACTCTGCGCACTCAAGCACACTGTCGACCCCGGAAGCTGGCTGGTGGAGTAGCAGCCGCCGTTCATCTTGAAGAAGCCGTCTGCGCAGACATTGCACACGCCACCGGTAATGCTTCCATCTTTGCACTTATCTGTGCGACTGGCTTTAACAGCACAGACGCCGTTCTGGGGATACTCGTTGTTTTGACTACAGACAGAGCAGTATTTTGTCCCCTCAACAGTCAGACCGCACTCCCTGCACTTGCCTGTGCCTGTGCCCGCCGCGCACTCGGCCCCACATGTGCCAGTGTTTCCTGTGGATCCGTAGGTGAGCGTGCTTCCAGACTTACAGCTTGTGCAATCATTGGCAGTATTTCCGCTACATGTCTTACAGCTGGAATCGCAAGGGGAGCACGCTTCGCCGTAGAAGCCGTCCTTACAGAGACCGCACCCGCCATTTTCACTGCACGCGAGACAGTTGGCGACCTCGCACTTCTTGCAGACCCTCTTGTTGCCCTCTGTGCTACTGTAGTAGCCTAGAATATATTCGCAGTGGTCTATGCACTGGTTTGTTGGCGTCAGATACTTGTTGGACAGACATTCGGTGCAGATCTCTTTGTTTGTTTGTGCACCACTGCATGCCTTACAATCCTGAGTACTGCATGGATTTGAAGGGGAATCATTTGGCACGCATTGTGTTTCTTCTTCGTTAAGCTTAAATCCATCATTGCACGTGCAAGTATTCTCGGTCTTGGCTTCTGAGTTATCAGGGCAGCTACTAATGCACGACTTCTTTCCGAGTCCAAATACCATATTTGCCTTACACGCTGTGCAGGTAACGGAGGTGTCACTTTTGGTGCATGTTTTGCAGTTCTCAAACGTTCCTGCCGTGCACGGCTTGCAACTCTTAGGCTCGGTATCATCTGGGTAGAGGGTAGAATCGGTGGAGCATTGATTTCCTTCTACACATATCCCCGTTAGACTACCGCTTTCCTTCTTTAAATACATCTTACCGGTAGCCTTGCACTTGCTGCACTTCTTTGTGGTTGTCGCCTCTGTACATGTAGCGCAGTTCTCGTCGCCGCAAGCTATGCAGGTCGTAGTGCCTGCGCCGAAATAGCCTTCATCACACGCGGTGCATGTAGCAGGGCCAGTATTGCTTGGAGGATTACATGTTTTACATTGATCTACACCTTGATATTGATCTGCCCCCGTCGTGTCATTACAGGAGATGCACGATTGCTTATTAGCGGCTGCCACTGGACTCTTAAAGAATCCTTCCACGCAATCCTTGCAGACTCCTGTTACTTTACCAACTGTCGCCCCTCCTGCTGGGTCGGCACAGATAAGCCCGCCCAATTCGCCAGCAAATTCATAACATCCGCCCTTGTACATGAAGTATCCATCGCCGCAAGAGCCACACTTTCCTTGAGCAGGGGAAGCGCATTTAGCAGCTGCTTGGTCAGTCCCTGCTGGTACACATTCTCCATCAATAAGGTGGTCTGTTTCGGTTTTACACTGTGTGCAAACTTCCGTTTTGCCAATCATATCACACTCACCATCTTTACACTTACTTGCAGTTGGCCCACTGCACGATGCTGCAAGAGCACTTATCAAAAGGCAGGGAGCTAGTAGCAACATTGTGGCTCTGCTCAGATTGTTAGGTACATGCGAATGGGGAACCATTCGTAACCTGACCTCTAGCCATCCAATGCTAGAGCTTACCAATCCAGTAGCATAGCAATTACTTTAGGAATGCTGATCTATTTATAGAGTACATCACACAAAATAACTATATGACGTTTACTTAGGTAGCCGATGCATCAGTTATCGTATCATTATAGATTTATAGGTTGCACCATAAAAGTTATGCGCAAACCTCCACATAGATGCCTAAGGCCACAAGTCGAAGACGAAAGGCAGAAGCTAAAAAGCAATTCCCCGTGACTCTTGACCCCCACTTTTGCACCGTCCCCATTCGATGCAGGATGCCTCATCATCCTGTCCTTTCAAGTCTCTATGCGTGATCCGTGGCCTTGTGTTCCGCACTGTGCCTTGCATCCTGGTAGTCACCTC